GATTTTAGACCGAGACCCGGTTTTGTACAGTTTAATTTCTTATATATGTGAACTAAGTATGAAACAATACATAGATAAAATATATTTTCAAACAGTATAACACAGGTCGCCTCTACATTAGTAGGCCTCAAGATACACAAGAAACATGAAGGACACTAACCCAATCACACTTTATGGAGAAACTCTGGAAGTGTTGGAAACTATCACGCAACTGGGTAGCAACATCGATAAACATGGAGGATCTGATGTAGATGTAAAGATAAAGATTGGCAATTGATGAGCATATAGAACTTAAAACAACTGTTTACAACCCAACTTCAAAGTAAGAATGTTTAATACGAACGTTAAGACAGTTCTACTGTATGAAGTTAACACTTCCAGAACTAACACAACCATCATCGAAATGTACAAATATTTCTAAAAAATTGTCTACACAGAGTACTCAATGTCAGTTGGCCGGAAATCATGAGCAACAATCTAATTTGTGAGAGAACAAACCAGTTTTCATCTGACGAGGAAGTTTGGAAAATACGTTAGAAGTGGATAGGACACACATTGAAAAAATTATCAAACTACATCACGAGGCAAGTGCCAACTTGTAATTCTGAAGGAAAACTAAAAAGAGGAAGGCCAAAGAACACACTGCGTCGGAATTTGGAAGCAGGTATGAAAGCGATGAATTATAACTGGAAAGAACTGAAAAGAATTGCCTAGGATAGAGTTGGATGGAGGATGCTGGTTGTCGGCTTATGCTCCTCCATGAGAGGTAACAGGTGTAAGTAAGTAATGATACACGTCCCCTTATAAGGTTCTTTGTGTATCATGTAGAGTTGTCGAAAAGTTGGATAGCAAGATTTTTTCAATTTCTCACATTTACAATTGACTTATGAAGTATATCGGTTTAATGATAAGTATCAGAGAATAATTAAGTTATTTTAATGATCAGAGAGGGGTTTTGTGGAGATTGTATTAATTTAATAGTTGAATTCATGAGTCACTTAAAGCTGGATCACCATGAAAAACCTGGAAGCACTGGACGACCGTTTCGTCTTAGTATGGGACTGCTCAGCAGTGCGCATCCACGATATCACCATTTAAAATACGAACCCAGGACCTATCGGTCTCGCGCTTGTATGCTTATTTTCCAGATCACTGAGCCGATATTCAACGGTGTTGATGCTTAATATCAACCAATCCATGAAATTATACCATCGTCCACCACTGCTTTCCGTATAACTCTCTCACAACAGGCCCAGTTGAACTCCTGCGTTCGAATCCAGCAGATCAGGATCGTAGGTGCTTACTTCTGAGAAATCGCATACTAGAACAAAACAACCTTACAGTACTTTCGGGTTTTCCATGGTGGTTTAGCTTCAATTAACTCATAAAATCAACTATTAAAATTTAGATATTACAGTAATAAACCTAACACAGTAATAATAAACTATATATTGCTAAACATTATTCATATCTTAATAAAGAACAAACAAGCTAACTAAATATACATATACATTGAAGTTTTGTTTAATTGTTATTCTATTATTCTTATTCTATACAACATCTGTTTTAAAATAGAACAATCATACTACTATTATTACTATTATCATTAATAGTAGTAGTATAATTAGTAACTAATCCAATTAACGGTTTAACTCATTCATTTTTTTTGTTTTAAAAAAAAACCATCTATGAAACAAACTTCTTATCGTAATTAGTAACTAATCATGTCCTCATTTTATACCATTATGATTGTTGCTGTTCATATTGGTTAGCAATCATAAGAACATAACTGATAACACTAATTATAATCACATTAGAAATAATAATAATAATATTAGTAATATTAATAGTAATAATAGTAATACTAATGATAGTATTAATAATAGTAATACTAATGATAGTATTAATAATATTAACATTGACATTAACAATAGTAATCACTACACTTTATATATATGTTTATATTGTATATTTACATATGGTAGTGAAAAGATAAGTTATGTATACTTAAATTATATTGAAGAAATATAAAAGAAAAGAAAAACAACAATGAGAAATATTGAAATAGATAGTTCATCATTTCAATGGTTAAGATTATGAGTTAGTTGAAGCTAGATCATCACAGAAAACCTGGAACCACTGGACGGTTGTGTTTCCATGGTGATCTAACTTCAACGGACTCATGATCTTAACCATTGAAATTACTATAATATCCCCAAAACCCATCAGATATTTTAAATTTGAGTTGTATTTTCCTTTTATAAACTAATTTTACTTGAATAACTAGGAGGTGTTAAGGTGAGACTATAATTATAAATAGACGATCATTGATCTTGAGAGTTTTGACCTAATAACTAGGATCAAATGAGGGTTATAACCTAGTGTGTGAAGGAATGGAATTATGATTTAAAGTTGATGATTAAGGTTAAGAATTAGATATAGGATTTTCATGACAAACTGATATCAGTTATAATGCCAAAACTCTATTTACTCAAATGTAAGAATGAATTTCGCGCCAAAATCCGAGACCTATTATCTTTTACCTGATTAGTTCGTTCAGAAGTGACAATTTTATTTTCATTTTTCAATTTAACTTACTAATATCAACAATTGAGAGAAAATAACGGGAGTTTTGATGAAAATTCGTGATCTGTGAGGTTCGTTAATGATCGATATGAGATAGGTATTATCAATGAAAGTGGATAAATGTCATTGTTTGAGGTTGGAAATATGATAAATTGAAAGCAAATTCAGTGATGTCGATGTGATGTTCTTGATAAGTTTTGTAAATGAACGCTAGATTCAGTTCCTAAGCTCTTCTAGTAACCTCCAAGCTAAATCTGCACTAGAGAAATAGGGCGAAATATGGAAGAAACGCTTTACTCTAAAGATTATTTTATGTACAGATAATCTAGGGTTTTTATAGTATTTAAGATGGCTTTGGCTTTCCGGGAAATTCTGGAGCGCTACTAAATGTAGAAACAGTATAAGTAATCATCTAATCAGAAACTCGACATGTAACTTTTCACTTTCTGGATGTTTCTGGCAAAACGTCCAGTAAATACTGAGCGGATAAGATGCTTCTCAGTGTTTTCAGAGCTTTTTAGCTTTTTTGGAGGAGTTTTATGGAGTGCTGTTAGAGGTATGAGGGCGGTTATCACTTCCCGGTTGCCCAAACCGTGGAAGGGCTCTTCTGGAGATACCTGAAAAGGAACTTGGATTAGAGGTGGTCTTAGTGACCTGGGAGCGTGACCGCAGTGCCCAAGGGACGACTGCTTGAGGTCGGTCACGCACGACCTTTTTATGGGTAATTTTTGTGTTAGCTCCGTACTTGTTGAGACCTTACCGCCGGAGACGGATGTCCGTGGGATAAGGCGAGGTGTGCATTTTTAGGGTCGACCTTTTCTAACCCCACCCCTCCTTGTGGGAAGGCAGCATCGCTGTTATGCTGGTTGTCCGAGGGAAACACCTTACTGCTGTCACACCTCTGTACAGTCAGCAGTACGACTTCGCCTTCAGACCTTGGGTTTGTTGCTTTTAGTTTATCGCTCATGAACCGACCTGTCTGACAAGGTAGGACCTTGAGGAACGGTTGTTCCAGCCAGTATAGCTCGGTTGCTTCATCACGATAGGCAAGCCCGACCACCACGTCAAGGTAGGAACAACGGTCGGGGGAGTTTTATGGATCTCCTCGACAGCTCTCAATAATATGTCTAAATATTTTTTTGGTATGGTTCTTGTAGAGGCAGTTGTCATATACTCCAGAGGAGTATACATACAAACTGTGTACAACCAAACATCTTTAACTAATAAATGTAAAGAAAATTCATTTACCATAACTTATTATCCAATATGTATATATTTCGAATTTACTACCAAGGTTGAACAGGCAATCTTCAAACTATTTTATCACGTTAAACATGGGGATAATTAAGAAACCAAGTGACTAGCAGGGGAATCCAGGACGCGCCTTTCATCCCATCTGAGGCTAGTCAGCTGGATGTACCTGCATCCCAGAGGTGTTGTTCACTCGGAGATTCGAACCCAGTACAGTTTGATAAATAAATACTTAAACACTTAAAGTAGGTTATTTATAAATAAAAAAACAATTAGAAATAGAGACATTAAGTTTCTGTAATGCTACCTAATCCAAAATATGAACATCCTGCAGTGTTTGCTACGTATATCGACATAAGTAGTATATAACGAGAGTCAGAAATAGAATGTCTGACAACAGAAATCGAAAAGACGAGAAGGGAAGAACGGGATGTTATGGAAATGCAGGAACAATGAAGTCTGAAACAATGAATGAACATTTTGCAAATGACGTATTAGAGTATGGTTTTTCTATTGTACCAGTAACTCTAATTTGTGCTAATTATAATCGGTTGTCCTCACCTGATGTTCTTCTTCACTACAATCCTTCATGTAATGGCATGTAGTCCAAATGACAACAGTGAATTACTAAGACGTGAATGAAGTTCTTTTGTTTTGAATCTAGCTCATCAGACAGTATTTAATTTTGCTAATCACATTTCGATTTTAGTTGCATTAGTGTTTGCTTTACATATTTAAACAAACAGTAACAATTAACAAATGGAATTTTGTTTATGTCAATTTGAAAAAACTGGGTAATTCATGATTTAAGATCAATATGGTTTCAGAATTTTAAGATAGTTCCCACAGATTTTAATAATAGAGTTTGATCGAGATCATGAATCGATCAATTTCAGACCACCATTGAAAACCTGGAAGCACTGAACCACCGTGACGTTCTAGTATGTGGCTCCTGAGTAGTGCACATCCGTGATCTAGAACGCAGGACTCGAACCCAGGAACTCGGTTCCACACATAATGCTTAACCTTTAAACCACTGAGCCAGTCATTCAATAGCGTTAATGTCGTAAAAAACTAAGGATTATTAACTTTGGGGGAAATTAATTTACAATGTAATTTCAGATTCACGTTAATTTTTACTTCATTATTTGTAGGTAATGCCCTTAAACTGAATTAGTTATAAACAACTTATGAAACAACATAAATGTTAGTAAAGAAGGATAATGGCTAGTAGCAAATCCAAACGCGCATCGAATTAATGAATCATATTCTTTATAAATGGATGTACTAAGTTGAAGTTCAATTTCTTTAATCATATTCTATAAGTTAGAAAAAGCAATTAATATCATAAAATTATACTTTCAAGATAAAATGAAAATGGTTAAAGTGGAACAAATATAAGCAGTTGATGTTTAACGAACCGTTGAATGACATGTTGTAACAAAGTAAGTAGTAGAGTTAAATCATATTATCCGTAAACCAGGTATAAATAATGGTCGAACAATTTTGTGAATAAAGTTGAAAATAGAACCTTTTATATACCAACTCTGTTGTCTAAATGTAATGAACCTACTGTGAAGTTTGGTGGTCTTAGGTTTGATCCTTGGAGAAATTGTGGAAGGGGCAATGTTAAGAAGTTCTTAACGAGGATATATTTATTTATTTACTTATTTATTTGAACACATAGATACAGGTACAAAGGGGAACCGAATACATATGCGTCGCACAAGTTATTTGATTTTTAAATGGGCTGTGCTACTGCTTGGGTGCCCAGACCGAAGCAGATGGTCTACTTAGCGGGCCACAGCCAGAGTTCTCGACCTAAGGGTCTGATCCACAAGGCAGTGGAGCAACGTTAGGAGATACAGTCCCATGGTAGCGGGTGACCAATAATTGGTTCGTACGCCATTTGTTCCTTTAGGATCCTGGAGCTGATATGCATCTTGGTTTGGAATGGTGGTGTTCCAACTCCCCTAGATGGATCCCCTAAACCCACCTACCTGCTTGAAACGCCGGGCATTCACTTTTTTTCCTCTTAATGTCGTAAACACCTCGAGAAGATAGTGAGTAGCACTTCCGTGGGAGTGGCTGTATACGCGTGTCTATGTGGAAGCATTTCAAGAGGGAGAGGACTCTCCTCACTCTTGGCCGTACCGAGGCATTTAGAGGATAAAACAATTTCTCAATGATTCTCGGTTTTAATTTCCGTTCGGTCAATATCAATTCATGATTAAAAAATTTCTTTACAGTTCAAAAGTATTTTATATAAGATTCTGACTTGTTATTCCTGATTGTTATGTGTTAAATGAATAACCAAAGTTCTATAAGCTGCGAACATGAAGAAACACAATGCATGTTTAGAGGGTTATGAATGAATACAACGATTGTTTTATGTCTCTTTAATTCACAATTTTAATTGTTACTGATTCAAGAAAATCATACAACAACAAGAAACAAACTTTCCCATTAAAATACAGTAAATCATATGGAGAGGGACAAATTATCAGTAAGTTGAACAACGTTGAAGAACTTCTAACTCCCAGGGCAGAATTTAGATGGTTTGAATTGTTTTTTCTGATTAGCGTTTTTTTAGCGAATCAGTTTTCTACGGGATGGGGTTGCTAACTCAATGCGCAACCCTCCTCCATTATTCGGGCTTGGGACTGGCACTAGATATTCGATAATTGGATGTTAATAAAAATTTAAAAATCTATATACTGTTATAAGATAAATAAAATCGGAGAACTATACATTACAAACAAGCATTATTTTATTTAATTCGCTTACATTGAACTGCTTTTCTATATTCTTCGCAAAGTTTTGAGATATTGATCGATCTGCATCATCCAGTGTTTGACTCATTTGAACTTCACTCAAACTCTTACTCATCTGACATTGTTGGACGGTTTTAACATTGACTTTTTCAGACATATTTGAATCGAGTGAATTTTCATCCTGCAATCCACTATCTATCGAGTCATCCGATGTTATATCACTTGTAGAAATGATTTTGTCTTCAAGTGTTTTACATAAATCTGTATAAGAATTTGTCATAAAAATGTCCGGTTTGTAGGAGAATTCTGGCGAAACCGGAAGACTTGCTGAAGGAACTGAAATATTTTTGAATAAAAAAATCATTCTTATCAACGTGAGTAAAGCAATGAGACTGGGTTGATTGTGTTTTGTGCAAAATAATGGTTCAAAATAGTATGATTTTCAATTTCCAACTAGTGAAGATGTTGTGGAGATGGTTAATGTAGACTTAACTTGTGAATAATGTCTTTATTATTATTTATATTTTTCACGCTTTCATTTAATTTGTATAATCACTGGTTATAAGCTGTTGATTAAAAGGTCTGAATCTTATTCACTTTTTTCAGTTCACACTGATCATCGTTCTTTAAATATACGTGCTGCATATACACTACATCCTGTTCTTTGTCAGGTTGCTGGCACATTAATAGGTTTTCAATAAACCTCTTACGTACATTTGAAGATTGTGATTCTCTACTCCACCTGGGCCAATCATACCTCATTGTCTTTGACTGCATTCCATATTTTGGAATTACTACATCATTATCATATTTGTGGACTTACTCTGAGACCCATTTGGCAAGCAACCATTGATCGTTTCAAATTAACTTACGTAAAACGTATATATACATGTTTTTCGTACACTAGTATACCAAGGCTTGTAACGAATGTAAAATTTCCCACAGTGTCAATCATGAAGTAATCTTACCTAAACTATTGTTGGAATCCTAACAGCACTGTATACTTATTTCGTTCTAGTATAGAACTGTTGATAAGTACATTTCCACGTCCCCATCACAGAAGATAGGACTCGGAACCTCTGGCCTCACACGCGAACATTTGTAAGTTTTCTATTGAATAATATTACTAGTATTTAAATATTTGCATTTCCGTCTACTATAAAATATACCGATATAGGATTCGAGATTACAGAAGTTACTGTAAGTTTTACAGATCATCTGGTGTACTCAATAAGTAATGCCCACTTATCTGACAAAATCAGGCGAAAGTTACACTCTAGTGAAAATCACAGTTTACTAGTGAAATAAGTATATTAACCACCTTCCCTTGATCATTTCTCCTCCTTTTTACCCCCTTTCAGATACCTTTCACTTTATTTTCATAGATTTCTTTTAATTTGTAACTTAAAGCGCTATAAAGTAATATAACATTAATTGTTTCACCGATGAACTTCGGATACAATGTAAAATTAGACTATAAGACGTAAAGATTTTTTAGTTCTATGAATCTTACAAACTTGTGAATATTTCCCATCCCCAGTAGTTTTTAAATACTTACATAGCTTCGATATCCTTCTGAAGTGTACAGTGTATTTTTGTCACACAGAAACTTAAATAAGTATCAAGTAGTCAAATGTTTGAGTTCAGAGAAACGAAAATATTGGTAAAAATAATCACTGAAATCATTAATTTGATTTAATTTAAATTACCAATCAACTACATCGTAATATAATCGGCTTTGAACTATAAAATTTTAAAACATAACTAATATGAACAAAGAATATTCACTTCAATGAATTTCTCATCAGATACTCTACAATGATCTCATATCCAAATTAATAATCCATAAAATTGATCAGATTTAAGGCAGAGTGAATCAACGATTGTTGTCTGTCATATAAAATCAAATCAAATCGTTAATGTTGGGGGCTGACCAATATGAAGTTGTTAACTTGAATAAGTTTATAAGTGAAATGAAATTGTGGAATAAATAATGATCAGAATAAATATGATCACAATTGATTGATCACTGGGTGGTGATCAATGTCATGCTTGTCTAGTCCTTATTAGTGCAGATCGAATGCTATCGATCATGTTGCAATGTGGCCACCAGTCTAGGTGACTCGACACTGCGGGCACTATGTATTGAGATTTAGATGGTGGTTGGAGGTAGTCAACAGGAAACCCTGGACCCGGGTTTCGTGCTACTTGGCACTCGTCAGCAAGGTGTACCTGTAATCTTGAGGGAACTGGTGCTCCCTGGCGGATTCGATCTCGTGTCCCCCAGCTTCACAGTCAGAGACGTTCCCACTGAGCTATCCGAGCCGTGACTAACCTCCTGTAGGACTGAGATGTAATCACAAGGGAGCACCAGTTCCCTCAAGATTACAGGTACATATTGCTGACGAGTGCCAGGTAGCACGAAACCCGGGTCCAGGGTTTCCTGTTGACTACCTCCAACCACCATCTAAATAATATGGTCAACATGAGGTGGAAGAGAGAGAGAGAATAATGTAATTACAAATTAGAAATTACGTAATACGTAGAATAATATGAATTAGGTCAGATATAGTAGATAGGGGTGAATGCTGAATAAATTTATCAAAAAGGTTATCAAATGTAATAATGATAATAATGACAATGGTAAGATGTATGGACATAAAAATGGGCATTAATCGAATTACGTCATCATATTATGAAATTGATTATTAACTAGTTGACCCCGAACTTGGCCAGGATAAAAGGAGCAGCTGAACATATTTCTTTTTGATACAAAGCTTTGGTTTTTTTATCCGAATAGTGATTGCTTCAGCCGTCTGTAGGATTCGCAGTCTGACGAAATCAGGTAGATTGCTGTGAATGCGATAGATTATTGCAAAAGATTGCTCCATGTTGGCTGTATGCCCCGTCTGAATTAAATGGGTTAAAATAGAGCTGTTAACCGTTTTGACTACACCTTTGCTTAATCATACTGGAAGATGCTCACGAGCCCGAATTCACAAATTCCTAAAACATCCGTCAATATAACTTGCTTCACAGGAGCATTTGAATCGATAGATACAGAAAAAGGTAGCTAGTCTAGGTAATTTATCTTTCAACCTCGGAGTGATTATTGGTCGTGTGAAGAATATTAGTTGTAGTTTACCCGTATTAAAAGTCCTTTGAATTGATCTGTTTAACTTCAGTCTTGGCATTTCATTCGACGCATCGCCTCTGAATTGTAATCGTCTATACAGAGGCTTTTTTATTGACAGATAACTAATTAGTTTTGTTCATTCCAAGACTGGTACACATACAAATTAAACTAAGCATAAACAAAATACTTGTTAAAACATTTATACCGATTTTCATTCCTAATTAAAACTAAATTGAAATTAGGATTAGTTCTTATTCAACTTTCGTAGTGAACATTAAGGGCTTAATAAATTAACTATATGTGATTTTCTAAAATCTTTTTGGAAGTAAAAAGAAAACGTAGTATCATTCTCTATGCTCATCGTAAAAGAATTTGAACTGATAGGTTACAAATACAATTGGCAGACATTTAATACAATGAACAATCATAACGGTAAGTGAATTTTACAAAATACATCGTTATCGAGAGACTTGATGCGTATATATATAACTCACTTGTACGCATTATCATTTGTGAACATTCCATTGAAGCTGGACCTAGTAATGAATCATTGTTCATTTGCATCAGTTTATGCATTAAATAACGACTTGCATCTAGATGAAACTAAATGATAAATAACAAAAAAATCTATCAGCTATGTACTAGACCTATATTGATACATCAATAAATATGACGAAATGATAATGATATTGTGGCGCGTGCTACTTATTTATATATAAGTAGTATATGACGCGAGTCAGAAATGTAATGGGAAAGTAATTAGTATGGAAACGCAAGAACAATGACGTTCGAGACAATGATTGAACATTTTTCAAATTAAGTATTATAGTATGGTTTTTCTATTTTACCAAGTAACTCTGTAGTTTTTGGGATCTCAATTTGTGACTTTTAGATTCTTCTCCATTTCCCTCGATTTTGCTTTCATTGCTACTGGAGCTTCCACTACTACTAGAGCTGCTGCTGGTGGTTGATGAGCTGCTTGACGAAGCAGATGCCTCACGTTTTGTACGCTTACTGAGGACTCCTTTGATTATCCTAGAATCTGAAGGTCTTTTGGAAATATTTGGGGGCAATGACGGCCCTTCAGGACTCAGTAAACGGTGGTACTGGCGTCTTTCAAAGGATAAATTTTCGTGTCCAGATGAGGTTTCTCTTCTTTTTATGTGACCAGGATGGTGATTACGTCGGTGATCATGATCTCTGAGTTGCCAATCAGATTCTCTATCGCGCGCGGCTTGGTTCTGTGCTTGCGTTGCGAACGTGTGATTCAGCATCATGTCTGTATCTACTAGACGAACGATAATTATAATGAGAAGGTAGGTCAGGACCTTCATATTTTCTGTATTTTTTAGCAAAACCATCTTTTTTTGATTGTTCTAAACAACCTGATCTTTGGTCTCTCTCATTAACTTCGACCATGTTATGGTGTCGGGATCCAGAATTATGAGTATGCTTGCGAGGTCGATAATAGTCTGCGTTATGAGACGGAGACTTTTTGTGAGATTTGTGGGAGTGACTGTTACCATGTCTTTGTTCATCATGCTTTTTGGAATGCCTATGGCCTTTTAAACATTTTTCGTTTCCATAATAACTACTCTCAGGCATTTCCGGTGGACTGCGACGTCTACCAGCCATCAAGTTTTTTCTCTAGTCAGTGACAGGTGATTTCGGCTTTTGCACCAGCTTAGAGCGAGATTTGGAACGCTGACGACGATGACGAGTGCGTGAATGTGATCTACGGCGTCTTGTGTCGACCGGACATCTCTCAGGAGAGTGGCGATGATGACAACGGCGACAGTGTTGTTCAGGAGAATGCGACGATTCGGTTGTCCTCACCTGTGTTCTCCTTCACTACAATATAAATATTTCCTATACTTTTCGAAACAAATCAAACAATGACAGCATACAATCCATTTAATAAAAGTTATATTAATATAACAATGTCAGTATCTTTAGTATCAAAATATTTTAATATGAAACATCAAGTAGGAGAAGAAGAATAAATCACAACTTGGTGGAATCTTATATAATTGACAAAAAACACGACAAGTTTTAATTTACTACATCTTTCTACAGAAATAAAAACTGTTTATTGGCTTGTTTTAAATGAACTACTTGATACTTTGAGGCTCTTTTAAAATACTGAACAAATTATAAAAGCATTTCCACAAGGTTTTTTGAAGACCGTTGACCATAATTTATCATAACAAAGGGTAAATATTATCAGATTATCAATATCCAGAACTAAATTTCGATCAGTTTTTGTTGACATAAATTTGTTCAATATTCACTGTTTCCATTTAACCACTTTGCTACAAGTTATTTTATACAGAATATATAGAATGAGTGTATCGTTCTATTTAGGGCTTGCCAGCTAAATATACCTTCATCCATATTAATGTTGACAGCGTACGTTTTCGCTTTATTTTGTCAAATTTTGAAATTATGAACTGACGAAAATAACTACTTACCTTACATACTCGATAAAACTTGATGATAAACGAATAGCTAACAAATTGCTATGACACTAAAATTAAAAATTTCATGGAGTTCACGCACGGTCAATGTTAGATCACCATTGAAAACCCGGAAGTACTGGATGATCATTACTGAGGAGTCCTATACTAGAATGAAACGGCAGTTCAATGCTTCCACGTTTTAAATCGTGGTCTAACATTTATCGGTCGATGATCACAAATAAAACTCAACAATCTCCATAACCTTGTACTAATAGAGAATTTAATTTAATTGTAGTTCATGAAATTATAGTTAAACTATTTCCGTCTTAATCTTACCTGTGGTTGTTGATGTTCCAATAACTGAATGTTGGCAAAAATTTTCGTAACACATGGGATAATAGAATCTCTGAGAAATATTTTATAATCATTACTCGATAGTTGATTAAGAGAAATCTTGAGAAAAATGAATAGAAAGTATAGTGATGATGAATAAATTATGAGATATACTAATTAATAATAACGTCATATATTTTATATCTTGTGCTTACTCAAACACAATTGGGTATACCATACTTCATTTCGAACAATATATCGAAAATATAAAAATATTCACCAAGTACCTGGATTAAAGTTATAAGCACAAGATTTGTGCATACATCTGATTATTTTAGAGATAAAAACAGTTTACTTATTTTATTGAATGAAAAATATTATTTTTGATTAAGATCATGAACCGATTAATGTTAGACCACCAGTGAAAACCTGGAGGCACTGGACGGCCGTTTCGTCCGATTGTGGGACTCCTCAACAATGAGTACCCACGATCCCGCTCGCGGATGGTCTAACATCAATCGGTTCATGATCTCAACCAAACCTTATTAATCTCCATAACTCCAGACTGAAAATATCGTATTCAGAAGAGACAATAGTTTCAGCAATTCAAATATTTAGTAAAATTAAACTAATCTTATAAAGTTATATGAATTTGTAATGTAAAACAAATGTATTGGATTCATTCCAAAAGGAATTTTCGTTTGTTGGTATAACGCTTCAGTAAGCACTCATTGAATATATATTTTTTCCGGTACTTAATTTAACTTATCCCTTCTCAAAAGAACCAGCTGAAAGATAGTAGAACAAACAGTTACATTGAAACTAGTGCCATTCAATTTACACCTGAAATACACGGGTCATAAACATATGAATGAATACAGAAAAATTATCACTGCAGTCAAAGTCTATTTCAGTTAGCAAACTTACTTGAGTTTAGGGTGTTTTACTATCCTATATCGATGCGTTCTCCATTCACTAATTAAACACTTCCAAATCCTTTAATGCCAAACATTATTCTTATGTAATTGTTGATGATAATCAAGTGATTCTAAAACCCAAACCTACACTTACGAGTTTTCTTTTCATCTTAATTCTAATTGTAAACAGGCTTAATAACCAATTCATTTGCATTTCTATTTTATTAACATTATTCTAGTTTACTTAACTGTTTCATGGATACCGATTTAAATTTAAGTGCACTAGTATTTAATCATAGTGATGAATTGGCTGAAGTTATATTTTTATAGATTTTTCACTTCCATTCACCGATTTCAAGAATGTGAATTTTGTTTCCTTTATTGTCAGTTATTTTCCAACTAACATATCGAATTAATGTTAACGATAAAATAAACACTAGATTGAGATTACACACATATATATATTATTCATATATGTTCGCTCGCTCACATTGAATCCCATTCGCATTTCTATTCAAATGCACTTCATGTGCTTGGTGGCTTAGTGATTTGCACTGTACAATAACAAACTCTAGTTACAGCTTCATATCGTCTTCTGAAAGTTATACAGCATTGGGAATTATCTAGTAACGGTTATCAGGACGAGTAATATACGAAACCTAAGGAATTATCTCAAAAATGGTCTACTACACTGGAAACAGTTTTTCTATACTTCATGCTATTTATTTAGAAATACATTAGCTACGGTAAAATGTCGTCGAAAAGAAAATATGTTTCTTATCAAGCAACAGTTTTCATTCATTCGCTTAAAACCAGCATTTATTGGTTAGGTAAACAAAGAAAATGTTCAATTGTCACATAGAAAATATCATTTGATATAAAATAGTTCATTTCTAGAGGACTTGTAATTTAGCTGTCTAATAATCAGTATCATTATGTAAGCATACTGATATGAGATATTTATTCATTATTTATTTTAACATATAGAGATTGGTACAAAGAGATACCAAATACATATGCGCCACACAAATCTCATTCGATATGTGTGAAGGCTGTGATACTGCCCGGGTGCCCAAACCGAAGAAGGTGGTTTCCTTAGGGGGCCACACCCCGAGCCTTGGACCTGAAGGTCTGGTCCACAAGGCAGTGGAGCATCGTAAGGAGATGCAGTCCCATAGAAGCCGGTGACCAACAATTGGTTCGTACGCCATTTGTTCCTTCAGGGTACTTGAGCCCATGTGCACTATAGGTTTGGAATCCGGTTAAAGCGCCGGATATTCGCTTTTCGTCCTCTCATTTTCGTAAACAACACCCCCGCCACGAGAAGGCAGTGAGTAGGACTTCCCTGGCAGAGGTTATATATGCGTGGCCATGTGAGAGCATTTGGAGAGGGAAAACGGACTCCCCTCACTCTCAGCCGTACTAGGGCAATCAAAGTTACTGTAGTATTAATCACAACAAAGAAAATAAAATATAAAAAAATGTTTGGTTAAAAGATATAGGTGGAAAATATGAGAATATATTGAGATTAACCACTGAACACGTTCACTGATCAGATATCAATTAATGTAGTTTGTAAATACAAACATAATCATGTTTAAGCTTAGCTCCATGCAACAATTTTTAACCTACTTCTATTCTAAACAATATTCAGTATCAAGGTAAACGCTGTTTAGAAAATAAGAAACATGTTGTCTTAATATTTTTAAGTCGATGAAAATTTATGATCTCACTAATTAATATACCATATCCATCTGATACTCTAAGTTTTAACGAATTAAAATAAGTCATTTATTCAATTTCACTTACTTTATCTAATTCTTCAGTAATATCTCTCCAAAGTAAAGATAATGATTCACTATATTGTATGATAAAATTATTTTTAAAATTATGACTTGAACAGAAATTCACTAAATTTTCCATATAAACATTTCTTAATTGATAGAAATTTTTACATTTCATAACTGGATGTATAATAATGTTAATTAATTCAGATAATTTAAACCATTTACGATATTTTTTAAGTAAAATATCATTCTCTTCAGTTAGTAGTATATTTAATAAATGAAAAAATTTCAAATTAAATAATAAATCTTGTTTAGATGTATTATCAGGAAATTGAATGATTGACCACAATGGTGACGATAATGATGATTTAGAATAGGTTATTGTCGATAAAAGTGACTCCAAAATATTTCGTACACGTGAAAAACTATTCATCAAGAATAATGTGTCGTCAAACATTGAACAAAGCTTTCAAAAAAAAAAAGAAACGTATAAAATAAAACAATCCTTACAATCATAGCCCAAATCTACTTATGTAATGTGTGTAATTAATGTCTAAAATGTATTACATTAGCTACAGAACAAAATAGCTGGTTAATTTTTTTTTTTTGAAGAATGAGAAAAAACTACATACAAAATGGATGCTTTTTTTGAAGGTTCCAAGTACATACGTTTCTTCGATCACGTTTTCTTGTTACTTTATTTCTTGTATAACAATGAAATTTTCAATAATTTCTCTATATCAGATTTAAAAATTGGGTGTGAATCGATTCCTTACTATGATTTCGGAGTCCTTTAAAACTATCTCCTAGGGCAAACTAATTAAATATGGGTTTTTTTCGATGCTTTGACTATAATCTTATGCTGTAATTTTGATTGTTCCTTTAAATAATAATAAATAGTGTCAATGAAAAACTGTTAGATCTGGGAAAAGCATTTATATACCAAATCATCATTTTCACCTGATATAACGGTAGAATAAGAATGTTTTTTTGTTTACCATTCTCTGTTATTCTTATACGATCATATGACCGATGATCGAAGTTGCCAACAACAAACTGCATACTCGATCAATACGCTATAAAGAGACTGAACCAGATACCTGATTGACAAGCAATAACAGGAAACCACAGCATATGCTTGACCATACATTATTCAACGCAATTACAAACAGTTACGTTAGATGTGTTCCGAGTGGAAATCAATGATTGAATGCAACTCTCATGTTTAATATATATGGTCAGCTGTGATTGTCAGTCTTAGACCTGTGGCAAATCACATCTTACTTCCACCAGCCAGACACCACCTTCATTTTATACTTTTGCGGAACTACTATGCAGAAGTAAAAAATACCATGTCGTTTAACTTTAATGAAACTACTACGAAAAATTACCAATATGCATTTACGGAGAAGTATAAAGTAAGATGAAATCAGTACCATTTTATGACCTGCTGCAGTCAAAATGACCTAAGTAAGTGATTTGATCACAAATAAAAACAGTAACTAGACGCCTACGATCAAACGATCCACTCACATGGGTATGTTTAATAATGAATCATAATAAACGATGGTTCTATTTGTAAGCGTTTGTAATTTCCCGTTGCTAACATTATGCACTACAAATGATTAGCATGAAGAGACTAATCAATCCTGACCGTTGCTGCTGCCTTGACGTGGTGGTCAAGCTTGCTTATTGTGATGAACCGACAGGGTGATACTGGCTGGAACGTTGGTTCATCAAGGTCTTATCATGCTAGACAGGTTGTTTGAAGAGCGATAAGACTAAAAGCAACAAACCCAAAGTCTGAGGGCGAAGTCGTACTGCTGACTGTACAGAGGGGTGATGGCAGTAAACGATGCTTCCTTCAGACAACAGGCATAACAGCGATGCTGCATTTCCACAAAGGAATGGTGGGTTAGAAGAGGTCTACACTAAAAATGTACACCTTGACTTATCCAGCAGATATCGGTCTGTGGCGGTAAGGTTCAAAAGAGCACATAGCTAACGCAAACATTACTCACAAAAAGATCGTATGTAACTGGCCTCAATCAGTTGTCCCTTGGGTATTGCAGTCACGCTCTCAGGTCACTAAACCACTCTGAACCTGATTTCCCTTTCAGGTACCTCGAGAAAAATCCTTTCATGGTTTGGGTAATTGGGACGTGATAACCACCCTCATACATCTAAAAGCACTCAAAGCTACTGTATTCATAATCAATTTCCCTTCTCAACTTCTATTATTCCTCCTACCTAGACTACCAACTATGAACCTCCTCCTCAATTATCACCACGGCCAACGATTCTAGTGCCTGAAACACTGTTTCAAATCTACTGAAACCTCGCTCCAAACCACACATTGTAGCCTTCAATGTACGTAACCTATGTCAAATCGGCCAGCAGGCCTCCTTAGCTAAGACCCTAGAATCTCGTATCATTGATGTATGCTGTGTCCCCGAAACACACATACAGGATCCTAGTGTGACCGTTCCCTTAACATCACCTACCGTCCGTTTATCTGGCGACTTGATGGCTAGTTCTCGTGAACTGGCTAGTGTAGGCATAGCAACAAGTATGAGGGCAGAACAAGCACTATTAGGATGGATCCCTGTCAACGGTTGCCTGCATTGTTCGGCTAAACTCAGAAGGGTAGGGACACAAGTCGGTGACTTTTCGTCGTTTCTGCCTACGCTCCGACTGACTACAGCCCGGATGAAGTGAAAGATGACTTTTACAGAAAGCTTCTTGAACTTCATGAAGCTAAATGCTAGGACATAGTACTCGTAGCAGATTACTTTAATGCCCAAGTAGGTAGCTTAAGCCAAACAGAAAGACATTTAGGTGGGAATTTCGGTATTCCTACTCAGCGAACGAGTAATGGTGAGTGTTTGCTTGCAACCGTGCTCAGATATTCGTTAATTCTTAATAAGCACTAATTTTAAGTATAAGGAAAGACATCGTCTAACATGGCGACCCCTTGCACCAAACCAAAGATGGACTCAAATAAACCATATTGCCATGAATCATCATTAAAGTGGCTCAGTAGAAGACTGTCACTCGTTCTGGAATACATGTTTGAACTCTGATCATGCTCTAAAACGCGCACGCATTTGCTCGTGCCTCATTGGACGCAGAAAAGCAACATTAGAAAGACCTATTAAAATTGAGATCAAAGGTAAATTCCAGAAACAACTGAAGTCACACCCAGGCCATTTTGAAAACGAGGCTGACCTAGATGTTGCTTGGAAGACATACGAACAGCTGTGGAAACAGCAGCAAAATCTATCAGTGATTTGAACAAGAATGTTAAAAAAATCAGTGGGTTTTTGAGACAACTATTGCAATGACAGGCTCTCGTAAGCTTTCCCCATTAAGTCCCAAACACGGTAACAAGCGAAAACAAACCAGATCTAGGATAACCAAAATTCTAAGGAACGATCGTGAGCAGTGGTTGGCAACGAGAGAAAAAGAAATAAAAAAGGCAGCAACTATGGGTAACACAAGATAGCTTTTCCGGAGAATAAAAGAAACTGTTCTCATTGACCGACTGTTTGGGAACCGATCACCTATCAGGATGTCCTCTTATGGACTTAGAATACGCAGATAAAATAGTCCTGTTTGGTGAAGACGCCAATAAAATGCATCCTTTTGATAGCACTGACAAGCAATGCCAGGATGCCTAGAATGCGTTTCTCCTACTCCAAATGAAAATTGTTGCGACAGGACTGGTCTGCGTAAGTGCCTGAACCAAGGATAGGGATCAAATCAGTTGAACGCGTCGACAACACTTATCTTAGAAGTATGATCAATCATAATAGGTTGGCGTCTGACAAAATCTCTTCACGGATTGAAAAAGCTCGTTTATAGCTTTACAGCTTTCTTTCTACGAACTATTTATTTTTTCCTGTATTATATCCCTATACACAATTTTCCTATTATATATTAATACCATTGAAGTAACTGCTTCAATGAATTTGACGATCATTTTGTTGTGCTAATGAGGTATGGCAACTCCGACCGTTGTATATATATGTGCCCGATCCAACGTTGGAGATAATTGACCGACTGATTAACCCTTAGACCCCCATAGATAAACTGTATTAATAACGTTGTACAAGCTAATGACCGAGTTCAGTAGATCAGGAGATACCATATCGGTGTTTAAAGTTAAAGGTATTGAGTTTAGGTCTCGGTATGAACGTGGACACCGAGATGCAGCTGCATTTAACTGACTAGCCCCAAAAACGGCTAAACCTCCTTCCTGTATTTCCCTACTTCAACAATAAAGGAGTTGTTTTATATTCTTTTTCTTACCTCATTTGAAATCATTTCTCGTACTGGGCTTAATACTTCATCGTTCGGTTTCACAACTGTTATCAGCACTTCGAGCCAATGCACATGTGGACGGGTTTTTTGGAGAAAAAAACAAAGTTTTCTAATGGTTGGACGGTCAATCATCATGCACAATTCCGTATTGTCTTTTAGCATCCACAAGCAGACTTCAGCATCATCAGTCTATGAAAAAACCATGAAATAAGCGAACACCGTATAAGTACCATAAGATGGTGTTTTAAAAGTAAGATTATTTTCTCCTAATTGATGATTATTGAGGTATTAAGCACTTAAAATACATCAACTTCACAGTTCTGAAGCAAATTGTAATGATTGAAGATAAAGACTGGACTGGAAATAGTTTGAGCACCATATCAGAAGTGTCTTTTAATCCAGTATGAGGAACTATGAATGTTAATCAATAGTTTGCTATTAGGAAGACCCAGATTATTCTTCTAAAAAAGCCTAGAGTGGTCGTAAAAACTCTGGGAAACGTTTTATCCAACCAGCATTGAATAGTGATTTCTCAGAAACATCTGGAAAGTAGAAAGTCACGTGTCACGCTTCTGATTGCATAATCACTATCCTGTTATCATGATTAGTAGTATTCCAGAACCTCCTAGAAGCTCTAAACCATCTGAAATGCTATAAATACCCTCAATTCCGTGTGCATAAATAAATTTTGGAGTAAAACATTCCTTTCATACTTTGCGTCTTTTCTCTCATGTTCAAGTTGTCGTGTAGATTTAGCCTGGGGTTATTAGAAGAGCTAAGGAAATCGATTCAAGCGTTCAGTTAGAATACTTATCAGATGCAAACTTTTTATATACGCCCCTGAATAGGTTGTGCGACTAACGTACAAATTGGTGTGTAAAGATAAACAAAACAGGATAAATCATTGAAATAACTGGATGGTAATAGGAACACGTAGCCCAGATGCACAAGTCCACATCCTGTAGAAGCAACCATTTCTTGGGATATTTTTGAAGATTGATCACTTTGAAAACAATTTGAAGCATAAAATAGCATTAACTAATCAACCATTTTAAATCAAAGAACGGCAAAATAGCTATTTCGTTTTAGCATCTGTTTTCAGAGCGCTGAACACCCACTACCTCATCGGGATTTTCGAGTATCATGGTGAACGGATAACTTTTATAAAATTAGATTGATACCCAATAGGTTCATTAAGTGTGTATACTGCACACTCTCTAGGTCAAAAAGTTTCCCTGTTTCACTTGTTACATATAAACCACACTAAAAAGTTACATGAATACAAAAGTATTAACTTTTTTTCATTTCTGCTTTAATAGTTTGTTGTTGAGAATAAATTCTTACTTTCTTTATATCTAGAACTAAATTCAACTTTTGATAGCATGCTGTGGCATAAATGTAGTGGTTAAAGCGCTTGACCTTCAACAGGACGTTGGAAGAAAGCTGAGTGCGATCAGATATAAGGTGACATCAGTCAGTGAAGTTATTAACTGTTAGACTGAGCTAAATTTGAAAAATTAAACTGCCTGGTTGAAGTCGACGTGATCATCTTAATCGGTGTTTGAATACGTTATTTGATGTGGCTTACAAACGGTTACAATAGCGTAGATTCATTTGCTCTCGATGTTCTATTAGATATTGTTTTAAACTTATCTTATACTTTTTGGTCTGAGAAATCATACCTTCATCTGAAAACATATTGTGTAGGCTTGATTTCTTTATACGACCAATGATACTGTTACTACCTTTACTGCTCTGTAATTAGTAATATGAGTTAAGTGACATTGAAAAACAACAAATAAATAAATAACCTACTTCAGTTGTGATGAATTTATCAAGATACGGATATAATAATTTTTGGTTTATCTCATTGTTGTAACAAAATAAACATAAAATATATTTCGTAAAATGAACAATCTCATTGAATACAACATCGGTACACTAATTTTTTTTTGAAAAAGAGAAACAAACAAACAAAAGAAACATGAGAAATGTGAGATAAGTTGGTGATAGTGTGAAATTCAAACTTTCATAACACAAGAAACATTCAAAACATTTAAAACAATAGTTGTTATATGCAACTCTATAATAATAGTTAGCATATATTTTTAGTCGATAGAAGGTTGACTACCTCCAACCACCATCTTATCTCAACATAGTGCATGCAATGTCGAGTCACCTAGACTAGTGGCCACATTGCAACTTGGTCGATAGCATTCGATTTGCACTAAGAATGACTTGACACACATGGCATTGATCACCACCCAGTGATCAATCAATTATGATTACATTCCAGTCGTACAGGAGGTCAGTCGCGGCCTGGATAGCCCAGTGGTAATGTCTCTGACTGTGAAGCTGGGTGACTCGGGATCAAGTCCGTCAGGGAACACCAGTTTCCTCAAGATTACACGCACACCTTGCTGATGAGTGCCAAGTAGCACGAAACCTAGGTCGACGGTTTCCTGTTGACTACCTCCAATCGCCATCTTATCTCAATAAACATCAATTAGCTGAATAAAATATGAATTATAGGTTTGCCTCTTGGTATCCAACCCGACGTCATGGTAACTAGACAGAACTTCACAATTCGTTTCATGTTTAAGTCAGATTCACCAATTATCGATAGAACTGATTTGTGCACAAAATTCCTTATCTAAGGGAAGTCATATTATGTTACAATCGTCTAGAAGGACCACTTTCAATGGATTAAACTGTCGGTATAGTGAAAGGATTTAATGGTTGTTACATACGAGAATTCTTATAAAGTGACTGTGATTAATTTACTACTACAAATATTCAAGAGTGGAGACATTATAAGCTCGACGATTCACCCTAAATAAGCTTCATGAATACTGAAATTCATCGTTAAGAATAACACGGAACATAGAGATAGTGTTGAATATGTGTAGTTCAATTTCAGTATTAAAAAAGTAACAAACTATACTGTTTTGTAGACAGATAAGGTAATCACGATTCTTGTAGGGAATGTCCTCGGATCAGGTTAAAAGCATTCACGCTGATAAAAACACAGAAATATAACATACGTTGCACATTTAAAAAAGTGAACATAAAAGAAACATATATCTAGTTCCAAACGTTTTGAAATTCCAACCTTGCCATCTACAATCAGTAACTGTTGAGTCTTAAAATGTCGAAGACCTCATCAACTTCACTATTCGAGCCAGAAATGAATCCTTTCATGGACTGGCATCACGGTGTGATAAAACAAATTGTATGCCTTGGATAAAATTGCTCATTGGAGTGTGCTGTTGTTGAGCACAAAATATGGCTGAGACTGGTATATTACATAACGGTGAAAAAAAACATTTTAGGTCTCTATCAAAAATATTCAAAAACTTCTGATCGTTTCACTTAATAAAGAAACTGCTTTTTCGTTTGTCACAGTCTCCTGAGCAATTTTTTACGGACATAGTTCCTATATGGATGATGATGACGATAATGAACGGATATTCTTGTTCTTAGAATAGGTAAAATACAACAAAACTCACTTTGAATCGAATATTCAATAATTCTTTCAGTATAGTATGCACTCCTAAATGACGTAAAAGTTGTTGAATTTGTTCAAACGGAAATGATGATGACGATGATGATTTATCCATAGTTCTAAGTATTCTATTATTTATTTGTGTACTGATTTCAGTACTAAGAACATCCATGACATTATTTGATTTCTGTTCTATGATTGAAGTCAATAAATCATTATGTTCTAATTGACATAAAGATATTATATGACAAAGTATCTACATTTAAATATGGAAATGTAAGGAGAAAAAGAGACAGAATCAACAGAACAAATATATTTACAAGAAAAGAAAACAACAACAATACATAGCCAGTCGTACATTTTGAATTCACTTAAACAAAACTGAAATGAAAAAGACAAGCTAGTTGATCTAAAAGGAGTTCAGGGATTTCTAATATATATATATATATATATACATATTTACAACTGAAGAATATCCCCAACTCAAAACAACTGTCAACCAACACAAAGGTCAGAATTTTCAATAAAAATGTCAAGACAGTCCTACTGTATAGGGCGGAAACTCGGTGAACTATGAAAGCAGTCATCCACAAGATACAAGTGTTTATTAACAGTTGTCTACACAAAGTACTTCGGATCGGTTGGCCAGGCACTATCAGCAATAACCGACTGTGTGAGAGAACAAACCAGATCCCAGTCAAGGAAGAAATCAAGAAGAAGCGATTGAAGTGGATAGGATACACATTGAGGAAAGCACACATCTGCGTCACAAGGCAAGCCCTCACTTGGAATCCTGAAGGCCGAAGGAGGAGAGAGAGACCAAGGAAAACATTCCGTCGAGAAATGGAGACAGACATGAAAAGAATGAACAGAACTTGAATAAAACCAGAAAGGAAGGTCCAGGACAGGATGGGTTGGAGAATGCTGGTCGGCAGCCTATGCTCCATTGGGAGTAACAGGCTTAAGTAATGTATGTATATAACACCTTATTTTTTTTTTTGAAATATTTTCCTTCAGCATTCAAATTTTAAGAGTGTAAGAATTAATCTACTGAGGAATTTTAACCAACTAAAACTCGTATTTAATATTTTTCCGATGGTGAACAAAAGAAATTTAAATGGATATGTGAATTAATAATAATAGTCTTTACTTATATTCATACATCATGATGTGTGTCAGTAAAGTAACCATGGACATAGGGGAAGTTTTTAATCTTAATCAAATGAGAGGAATATAAGTAGTGATATTTGAACAACTGAAAAAAAAGAATGCTACTCATATTTCGATGTGATGACTTAGATATTTTATTTAATTCAGTGTTTAATTAGACCTTTCATTTATTTGGTAATCATGGATGTCAGATAATGATATTATACACCTAAGCTGTTGTTTAGATGCATATAAGAGTTTAAATTTATAAAATGTATATTCATGAACATGCGTGTACCGATACAATCGATTTGGGTAGCCCTAATATCAAGAATCAGATCAAGTTGACTAGGTGATTAGATTATGTCATGAATAAAAATTGTTGAAACTGATAAAATGGGATTTTTAGATGTGCTAATTACATCTATCGGGTTACTAACCGAATATTTCTGTGTTGAATATTATCTAGCCAATCAAATCGAAATAATTGAAGATGACTTTGAACATTCAACCATGAAGACATAATTTAGAGTGAAATTGTATTTTCTTATTTATTTATTTATTAAAATATACACATGATGAATTATTGAATCAGTTTAACTTACATCTTTAACCAAAGCATAATTATTTATACAACTACATGGAGTGTAAATCTATCAAATAAATATTTTGAAAAAAATTTATTAACATCACAATTCAGTGTTTTATATTTATTTAGAAATACAAAATACATTGATGGTCATTTATATCATATGTTTTTTCAATAGTTTTATTACATCAGTAGGGATTTTGTGGATATTATAGTCCATTGAAATCTGACTATCTTGAAAAACCTAAAAGCACCGTCCTCAGAAGTGTACACCCACGATCCCACCTACCCCCCCCCCTGCGAGATTCGAGCCTAAGACCTATCGGTCTCGTACACGAACGCTTAACCTCTAGATCACTCAACCGGCATTTAACAGTGTTAATGTCTAATATCAGTAAACTTGAATCATGTTCATCACTAAGACGATATTGATTTTTATTCTATGTACTCCAACAATATGGTTAAAATAAGACATAACAATCTTTTTTGTTTTGTTTACATAACCTTATTTACTCTTTACGTCACTATGACACTGAATATGATAGGAAACATTGATTTTGATTTTGATTACATTTTGTACTATGGTTTATTTACGTCATCCAAATTTATCTTAAAAAATTATAATAAGACTTTTGTCTTAATCATACAAAAATGCTATTGAGTTGATTTGTTTGCAGTTACAAAATAATTGACTTGATTTTTATTATTTTAATGTTATAGATTTAATGGATATATATAATGGATATATAAACCCTATAAGTGCATTTTATGCTTGTTTTGATAGAATCAATGCAACTCCTTGTGTATGTGAAGCATTTTCTTCTTCATAGCCGGAGTATAACAGAAAATCTCCTGAAGCTAGTTGTTGTTGTTGTTGTCCAACCTGCATCTAATGTGTTTCACTGATTCCAAGCACCATTAAGTTGTATCTCCTCATTTCTTCAGCAATTTGTAAGATTCTCCCGGTCTCCTACATTGTACGAGCATTCCATGTACTTAAATAAATGGTTGCTCTGGTTATCAGAAAAGGCATCAGCCTCGTGACTTCCTAAGGAACTCGGATTTCACCATGAGGAGTTATAACTCTTCTAAATGAAGACCTTCTGACTCCCAGAGCAAAGTTTAAATGGTATGAATAATTTTTTCTAGCTAGCGTTCTTTTTTTAGCAAGTTAGCTTTCTACGAAATGGGACCCGTAGTAGCCTTAGAGGGCCTTCAGGAGGACTGAAATATTTCTAGAATGGATGTTTTTGAAAAACACACTGTATATTCTTACTATCCTATTCCTCTTTGTATCTGTATAATTCTTTTTTTTCTGATTTACATTGGAAATCAGTATTATATTGAATGTGAATAGTGAATTTATGTTAATATTGATTTATACACGATGTTTTATGCCTTATTTGTCATCAATTATTCATATCATGAAAGTAATTATTGTATCTTAAACAATTATACTGCATAAAATAATCTAATCTAAATAGAATTTCAATATTAATAATAGTATTAAAGATTCCCATCGTGAAAATTAGAACAACACATATAAGCGAATAATTGTTTTCAATTAGGTCGTCATCAGACTTTACTCTAATTTACATGAATATTTATACGAAAATGTTAAACCAATCAAGGCAATATGAGTCAATAATCTTGGCACATCTCATTGATAGCGGTCATGCTGTAGATAAGTCGAAATCATTTCGAGTGATCTATCGTATACCTCCATCATGTCCCAACGGAGTTCGTTCCCGCCTCTTACATATAGTTGAAGCCATAGGAATTCGTACATATAACCCCAATTTATGTGTACAGAAGAAATTTGTGACCTCTCTATCCCTTTCATGTCCAGTTATAACTTAACAAACGACTTTTATTTTATTTTGTTATCATTAACCCTATTTTCACATCTAGTATTTGTTGGTAATTTTCCGCCTCTTTCCGTTTGAATTCTTCACGACCTAGTTATTTACACACTTCTCATTGCGTAATGATTTTAATGTTTTGTGTTGATTATTCCAAGTCTATTTACCCACGTTTGTTCGACCTTCTGTTTCCAATGTTGAACTATTGATAAGACTTTTGTTATCGTATTTTACTACTATCTTACTACTATCAATATACCTGTATTCCTACTATCAATTTGTATTTTTACTTATTATGTGTGGTGACCTATTCTGTTTCATTGTGATTATTGACCCATATTACCTTGATTGGTTTAACATTTTCGTATCAATATTCATGTATATTAGAGTGAAGCCTGATGCCGATAGAACTGATAAACAATTGTTCGCTTACATGTGCTGTTCTAATTAATAATAGTAACAACATAATACATTATAAGTCTTACTTGAATATTATTATTATTAATTGAATTAGTCATACAACTTTTATCATGCATCCATAATTCAGATTTTTCAATTAAACAACGTAATGTATCTAAATGTTGTTTAAGTTGACGATAAATTTTTATTCCTGTATCTGATACTAAAAGTTGTACCTAAAATATTAAATAAACAAAAGCAAATAATCAGATGGGGTTTTGTGGAGATTTTAGAAATTTCACTGGTTGAAATCATGAGTCAATTGAAGCTAGACCAACATGGAAAACCTGGAGGCACTAGACAGCCGGTTCGTTCTAGTATGGGACTCCTCAGCAGTGTGCATCCACGATCCCGCACCCCGCGAGATTCGAACCCAGGACCTATCATTCTCGCGCCAGGCGCTTAACCAACTAGAACACTGAGCCGGCATCCAAATAAATAAACAAATGTATTTATTGATTAATTACCTGTTTTAATTTATTGATTAATTCTTCTTGTTGACTAAAATGTCGAAATAATAATTGTAATGATTTTAATTTTAATTCAACATTAGTTGATATACATAAACGAGCCAATACACCAATTAATAATTGACCATTATAACCATCTATATTAAGAATAGTTAATTTGTTCTCTGTTGAATTCTGTTTTGATAATTCATTAATTTCAAGATTTTGTGATGGATTGCTTGAAAATAGATACATTGAAATAAAAACTTATTATAAGGAAATTATCGAATTTTTCAATGTTTAGCTTATTATATAATTAAAAGAAATCGTTGCTTATAGTGGTATATTAGGCTATAATTTTCATTTATATCGTCAAATACTTGTAAATTCAAGCATTTACAACCAAATTTATGTTTAATGGACAAAAATGTACTTACCGCACATCATTGTCTTCTGTGAGCTCATATCTCACAACAGATCTGGTTGAACTCCACCGGTCATGGCTTCTCACTAGAACTCCAGGAAATATCTCTTGAAGTCAGTCACTAGTGTGCAGATGATTATTATCAGAGGGGGTTTTGTGGATATTGTAGTAATTTCAATAGTTGAGATCATGAGTCAGTTGAAGCTAGACCACTATGGAAAACCTGGAAGGTCTGTTGCGAGATATCAGCTCACTGAAGACAATGGTGTACGATGGCTCAATTTCGTAGATTGGCTGAAGTTAGACATTAACACCGTTGGATGCTGGCCGGCTCGGTGGTCTAATGGTCAAGCGCTCGCGCACGAGACTGACAGGTCTTGGGTTCGAATCTCACGAGGGGCGGGATCGTTGGTGCGCACTGCTGAGAAGTCCCATTTTAGGACGAAACGGCCGTCCAGTGCTTCAATGTTTTCCATGTTAATCTAGCTTCAAGTGACTCATGATTTCAACTACTGAGATTACTAAAATCTCCACAAAACCCCTTCTGATAAAATTTAATTGGTTAAAGTGTACCATTTTGCTATTCTTCTGTTAAATGTCTAAAAAAACATTCAATCAATCCCTTCAGTTTTTGCTACATGGCTTGTAAATAATGAAGAATAATGAACTGTTGATTAGTTAATGGTTGTCTTCAATAACCAATGAATAAGAAACTATCTTAGATTAGCTTCTACATTTTTCGTTTAAATGAAATGATCAACATTTTGGAACAAAATGACTTGAAGTGCATACATGTGTTCTCCTTTTTTTTTTTGAAGACAATGCAATAAATCACCATTGTTTTAGACAGGTTTTCATCACACATAAGTAGTTACATGAATTAACCTAACTGATATGTAACTTATGTAATAAAGAAATAAAGCCTATATGATAACTAACAGATTATTTAAGATAACACTATCACAAAATACTGATTTTCTTCCTCAAGTTAACAGATAAATATAAATTCTCCTCTCATAAATAATCTCTGTATTATTTAACATCTAATGAGTAGTAATTAATATTTGGTATGAAGTAATGTTTGTGATTTCACTTGTTATTTCTATTCAAGTAGCGGATTAATGAGATCATACTTAAATAGCTCGGTGATAATCTAGTGTTTTTTTAACCGATTTAGAATTGCCTAACATTACTAACTTATAAAACACGTAATCAATTTAATAAATAATATCCATTTGACCGAAATATACATTTACATGAGTTCAAAAGATGAACAGTATAGATTTATTTTTATTGTCGAAGATGTTTTCAAACTTGTTTACACTAACGATATGTTCATATGAGACACTAATAAATATCTTTTTTTTTGTTGAAAATAATATAATTCTCTGAATGTTCACTTACTTTAAAGGAAACAATGTTAAAAGCTGATTTCTAATTTCATTTGATAATTCTGTGAAGAAGATTAAAAAACGAAAATGATTATCACATTCCCTTTACGCTATTTTGTCGTTTGAATAGTATCAACTATTTGTAATTTTAATAAACATTATTATGATGAAAAGTTCAAATGATTAAATAATTTAATCAATCAAACCCTATTGAAATACAGCCCCCAAATGCTCTGGTACAACCGAGAGTAAAAGGAGTCAACTCTCCCTCTCCAAACGCTCTCACATGGCCGCGTGCATAAAACCACTATCAACGAAGTCCTGCTCACTGCCTTCTCGCGCCACGGGTGTTGTTTACGAAATTGAGAAGACGAAAAGCGAATATCCGGCACTTTAACCGGGGTGATGGATACGAAGAGTCCACCTAGGGGGGGGGGTGTTGGAAAACCCTGATTCCAAACCAATGGTGCACATGGACTCCAGTATCCTAAGGGACTAAATGATGTTGGTCACCGGCTGCCATGGGACTGCATCCCCTTACGTTGCCCTATTGCCTTGTGGATTAGACCTTTAGGTCAAAGACCCTGGGTGTAGCCCCCTTAGAAAACCACCTGCTTCGGTTTGAGCACCCGGGCATTATCCCATCTCTCATACAAATCGAGTGATTTGTGCGGCGCATATCTATTTGGTGCCTTCTTGTACCTATGTTTATGCGTTTAACTAAATAAATGAACTGACATATAGACGCTTTTCATAACGTTAAACACATTAGTAAACTTATAAAAACGTTCCTCTGTTGGTGTTGTTGTTAAATGCAACAAACATTCACTAAGCGTACAGAATTATAATCGTAAAAAACAAATGCACAAATGATAACTCCAGTTAACCAGTTGTCTGTAATACACATTTTTCTTTCTTTTTTTAAAAACAAACAAACAAATAAACAACTAATAAAATTATTCAATCATTGTTATCTATCTTGCACTACTGAATATGTCATGACCAACATACTTAATATTGAAATTGTCGAAAAAGAAATAAGATATTTAAAAAAAAGAAAACAAAAGAGAGAAACATGTAACCAAGACAATCTTCCATTAATATTAAATAAATTGCTTAGATACACATGCTTTGTCGCAAAGATACATAATGAGTGGTATTAAACTCATTTTCTTAAAGTGGTAATATGTTTTTTTTAATATCATCGGCATATGTTAGCTCTATTATTACGACATTATCTAAAATTATATATGAATAGTTGGCAACTAGATTACTTGTTTCCTATTTCTATTTTATTTTTTAAGGCTAATTTCTAGGAATTTTATACAATTAGTTCCCTTTATGAATTTGAATAAAGTCAGAACAAATATTGGGCATACTATCGACATTCCGCACGCTTTTAAAATTATCAGCAGACAAAGAAGTATGGCTGCAATCCGTTTTGCTGATGCGATCACGATAAAAAAACTTAAACCGGATTTATGTATTGAAAAAGAGACAGTAGTAAACTTATTATTTCCCTAGTCATCCAATTTTTTTTTGTCTTTTGGTTATTTGTGTTATTTCATTTATTTATTTTAAAAAAATATTTAGTTTGTGTTATATTCCTATCCCATTACCGAATTCTTAAACCACCCTTTCATTCACACATTTCCGCTCACTTGATCCTCTTAAATTATGTGAACTCTTCTAATTCTATTCAATTATTAGGTAACCCATCTTATCAGTTTTTAATTCCATGAATCCTTTATTACCTCTAAAATTATCACACAATTTATCTTATCTGTCTCTGAACTCCACTCAACTACTACACCATCCATCCGTAACGTTTCTTTGATTCTAACACTTAATAACCTATGACCTGTTCTTGCATGTATATAGTTATCATTGATAACATTTTTCATTCTACTCCTTTATATTCACTTATCTCAAATGTTCCATACTATTTCTTATCTCAATGTAAAATTCTATTACATATCAGTGGTTGTAAGCAGCTAACGAGAAACCTCGAACTATTATGAATTCATACTATTCTGCAATAATATTTGTTCTGGCTCTATGAATTTTGTTTACCAAAGATTTAATTTCACAAGTGAAATTACTAATCATAAATGAAAATACCATAATGAACGTGTTTTGTCCAACAGTGTATCTACAAAACATGACTCAACTTCTTATCATCATAAATGATAGCGTTATGGTACAGAAAGATTTTCTTATTTTTCCAGAAACAGTGAACTTTTACCAGGGGTCAACAGAACATTGTGTAACCACATTTATCACTTTATTACTTACTGGTTATTTGTTCAAGATGACTGTAAACTTAAGTAGTCAAAATAATAATATATTATTCGTTGAAACTAATTGTTATAAATGTTTTTCGCTACTTTTTCTCCATTTATTTAGATGGTGGTTGGAGGTAGTCAACAGGAAACCCTGGACCCGGGTTTCGTGTTACTTGGCACTCGTCAGCAATATAGTGCCCACAGTGTCGAGTCACCTAGACTGGTGGCCACATTGCAACATGATCGATTGCATTCGATCTGCACTAATAAGGACTAGACAAGCATGACATTGATCACCACCCAGTGATCAATCAATTGTGGTCTCCATTTATTCTTTTACATAGGTCCTGACATTCTTTTATAAGGTTAACTTTCTCTATACTAAATTTTATGATATACACTTTATGGATAGTAAGATAGATAGGAAAATTTGAATTTAATTTTTGGTCATACTGTGGCGTATGTTACTTATGTTGACAGCCATAAGTAATATGTAACATCAAATTGAAAAGAATGAGCATGTAAACAGAAAGTAATTTTAATAATGAAGGAATGATTAAGTTTCAGACAATTAATGTAAGATTTGCTAATAAAATATTTAATGTATGGTTTTTTTCCACATTTTACCAGAGAACTTTGTAATTGTGTTTCCTCCTCCCCCCCCCACACACACACTTGACTTCTCGTGTACTACAATAAAATATCGTTCCTGTATTTCTTATGAAAATCAAGTTGTCTAAGCAACTGTTAAAATATAATCATTGTAGAATAAAAATTTCATGTCGATTGAATGAAAACAAAAAAATACCAAATTATAATTTAACCCCATTAAAACCACTAGTTTTATGTTAGAACATAAAAATTCAAGCTTGAGTTTTATTAGTTCAAATACTCTATGATCAATGTATCTATTGTGCTTCTGTGTATTGACTAGAAATGATTAATTCTAATTAAGGATGTATAATAAAATATTTAATTACCTATAGTCTATGCGATAGTTTAAAGGGAACGAACTGTAATTAGTAAAAACAGAACTGTTCTACATTGAAGTTATGAATAGTATGGTATTTTTGTTGGATTCGTTATATTGTCTTGTTTAATATATGGACTAATATATAATTAATGTAATAAAATTTGTACTTTATGGTTTTCCTTGTTATTTAATTTTAATTGTTTATGAAATACTATAGTGGTGCGTACTACTTATATTGATATAAGTAGTATATGACGCGAGTTTAAAACTTAATGTCTGGTAGCAGAAGTTGGGGGAAGATCAAGAAAAAAAGAGCTGGAACACAATGCAATATGTAAGAAAACTCATGAACAATGAAATGTGAGACAATGGATTGATGTTTGCAACAGGAACAGTCTGGTTTAATATGATGGATTGATATTTTGCAAACTAATAATTTACTATATGGTTTTTCTATTTTACCAAATAATTCTGTAATTTCGTGATCGATGAAATTTGATTGTCCGCACCTGTGTTCTGTTCACTTCACTATATGACCGCCATATAATAGCACAATATAGTTTCTAGGGTGTACTTATTTTGTGGATAATTCAGTGAAATCGGTTAACCATTCAAATCTCAACGACAATATTCATTGAATCATATTCGTGCATAAATGATTATCGCTTTGTCAATTTACGTACATAAATATCTGGCATACTAGAAATTAGCCCCACTTCAAATATGTTGTTGTTAATCATATTTAGATTATCATAAGAATTTTTTTACCTAAAGTTTGCTTTTTTTCCAAATCCTCTAACTCCAAGTCATTTGAACAAGCTTCTGGCTGCTCAACGCTTCGAAGAGTAGTTAATAAACAGTAGATTTGATAGTCTATACGAACGTCTAAAATATACTAAAATGCATAACAAGGTAAATGGTAGTTGAGAAAAATCAGAATCAAACAAAAACTGTAAAAATATACCAATGAGGAAATGTCAACTAGTCACAAAAAGCAAACCATGTTGTCCCATCGATGAAACCCTATAAAAATTTCCTAGAAACAAAACTTATAATGGGATCAGTATCCCTCGGTAACTTCATCCTTAGGTTGAAAAATTAGAAAAATCTGGATAAACCTTCATAATAACCAACGTAATCCAAATTAGAAAGAAATATATTGTTCCTTTCGTCTTTCAAGGTCAACGAACTACTATGTATTGTGGTTAACAAAGTTTCTAATACAGTTTCTTCACATTTAAGCTCATCTCCATAACCTTTTTTTAAAAGCCTGACAGGATCTGATATACGTGTGCATCGGTTTTTCTGGACATCCATCATATGGGCATACAGAGACATAAAAAGTGAAGGACTAAGAATAATAAAACTACCGAACATTAAAGAATGTAATCGAGAAATGTGATGTATACAGCAATGTAGTACTTGAGACGAACAGAAACATGCAAGAAGAGTTCATTAGTATAATTGTTACTGATTTCAGAATATGCCACCACAGGTTTCGACTATTTAGTCGTCGTAAACATTAACGATACCATCAAAAAGGGTTAAACAACAATATAACTAGTTTCTTCTGAAATTTTAAGAGTCAACCACGACTGCAATGGTAAAATCTGGTATTTTTATCTGCAAGGAGACAGTGAGTTATTACTCTTATAAGACGTCTTTGTCTACTGATAAATAATATTTCCTCTATTTTCTTCCAGTTAGATAATATTTCTCTGAATCGATTATAATCGTTTAAATAAATATGATTATTTTCCATTCTCTCGATTTTGGACATTTGATCATTAAGTTAATTTAACCGACATACTTCATCCATCTGACTCGCTTTTTTTCTTTCTCATGATAGCACAAGCAGAAGTGAATTGTTGTCTTCTGAGGCATACTTTCATTACTGACTTGAATTTTTCAGTCACATAAGTAGTATACAATAACACAATTTTGTGCATAAGTAACACCTTTAATTTCCTGATATATATTCCGTCATTTTACAGTCACGACAGCATTACTAGTTCGACTGTCTCAGTTATTGTAATAGCTTTAGAAGTCATCAAGTAATTACTGCTACCATTACTAATACTACTCACATTTCTACTACTACAATAATACTAACACTATCATTACAGCCATTACAACTACTATTACTGATACTGCTACTACTACTGTGGTATGTGCTACTGTTGTCGACAGATATAAGTAGTATGTATCACCAATCAAAAGTGAAATATCTGGTGGGAAGTTAGGAAGATCGGGGAAAAAAGACTGAAAACAGAGAATGATTAGTGTGTAGACGAACGGACAGTCAAGTCTGAGACAGTTGACAGACATTTTGCAAATGAAGAATTCACAAATTTTACTAAGAGATTCTGTAATTTTGTGTTCAAATAGATTTGGTTGTTCCTGCCTGTGTACCCATTCACTACACTACTATTACTTCTACTACTGAAGATAATTCATTTAACATTAAACAAAATCAGACCAATATTATATCCGTCTTATTCTGTGTACACCATTTCATATTTGTTTTTTACAAATACAAATGACCATTTTCTTGCACAATAAAAAAATTTATATCAGATGGGTTTTGTGAATATTATAGTAATGTCAATGGTTAAGATCATGAGTCATTTGAAGCTAGACCACCATGGAAAACCTGAAAGCACTGCACGGCCGTTTCGTCTTATTGTGGGACTCCTCAGCACCGTTGGATGCCGGCTCAGTGGTCTAGTGGTTAAGTGTTCGCCTTGGGTTCGAATCTCTCAGGGGGGGAGGTCGTGGATGCACACTGCTGAGGAGTCCCACATTGAAACTAAATGACCGTTCAGCGCTTCCAAGTTTTTCATAGTGGTCTAGCTTCAACTGACTCATGAACTTTACTATTAAAATTACAATTAAAGTGAATTTTTCACTAGGTATAAAATATTTTTTTCATTCATAACTTACTTCAATGATATCCAGAGTTTTTAATTTTAAATCAAATAGTTTCTTATCATTTGAATTATTCAGTATTGATGATGAGTTGTTCATCTCTTTCACTTAATGTTAGGAAAACAAATAAGAGATATGTTAATGAAGAACTGTATTTACTTTTCACTAAAATAGAATTTACCTAAAACAAAAGGCTAATTATCTTTATTTAGTAAGACTAGACGATTAATTATTATATATCATTACTAAGCTTTGATTTGACAGTTTTAAAATAAGTTAATCAACAGGTAGACTGTTATTAATAGGATTAATGATATAGTTGTTAAACCTTAATGAATAAGAAATTGAATTACTGACGTTTCACAACCTAATGTTGCTTCTTTAGAGGATATGTAACCTAATTAAATGAATACAAGATTAAACAGTACCGTTGAGATTATTAGTATGAAAATTTGTAAAAATTGTTGAATTTTTTAACTCGTATTAATTAGACAACCATTTGAAACCAGATAGAACTGGATAACATTTTTTCCAAGTGTATAACTTTCTAGTATTATATGTACACAAGACCGCGCCAGAGATCATAGTCAAAACATGCAGGCTTTGAGGCGCGAATGTTATACTTATTATCGACATGTTTGAACTTCACTAGCCAAAGTTTCTCAATAGAACGTTTCGCGTACATGAATTAAAAGCCCCAGACTAGATTATCCAAAAGTGAATATATGACGAAAGCTATCTTGAAATGATAATATATTTCAATCACTATTTATCTATAGTCATGATGTAATCTGTAAGCGTAGAAAATATTTAGTTATTGTGATGGAGTTTTGTTCTCTGAGCTGGATGGTTTGGTCGTGGAGCTTTCATCGTTCTTCTGAACGACATCATCTATCTGAAGTTTGTGCTGATGATGTCATTCAGAAGAACGATGAAAGCTCCACAACCAAATCATCCAACTCAGAGAACAAAACTCCATCAAAATCATCCACCTGAGCTACAAATCTTCTCCACCATCTCAATATTTAGTTATAGATAAAATTGTTATATGCCCAATAACTATTGCTATTCATGGTATACTAGATAGTTGACCTAACCCATTTTGAAAACCTGTAGTAGTGGATATGCTTTGCCTCCTTAAAAAATAAGCTTTTATTTATTGTTACATTGAACATTTTTTCTTCGAATTGTCTCAAAGCGAAACAGATTCTCAGAATAGTATTACAATAAATATCATAGTACTATAAATTTATTACTTTTGACGAAAGTTTACATATTGAACGGATAAAAATGACTCATCTACCTCGGTGTAGTAAAATATCGTATAACACTAAACTGGTTTGTGTTATTTGTGGAATGCGATGAATTACTTAATATTGTAATTGTTGAGTACAATCATACTCCAACTGTTAGCAACACTTATACACCCATGGAAACATATATCAAAAAGACATATGGAAAGAATCATACTTTAACCTCTTCTCTCCAATAAGCTAAGAAAGAGCTTCAGTTTGAACGCTTTTTAGTCGTATAAGACTATGTATGAAGATACAATTAACAAGGAACTAACCATTGTTGAAAGTTATCTAAAGGATAATGGTGATCCAATAAATATGGGAAGATAGGAACAGGGATAATATAGTTTGCTCTTATCAAAAGAAAACTTGTCTTCATGTGAATCAACTTTGAAGGTGACGAAATATCTAAAGAGATCGATTCTAGGCTAAGTGCTGCGTTGAAAAAGACTTATTCAGCAGCAAAAATCGTCTCAATTCATCAAATAAACTGCTTGTTAAGACCCTCAGAAGTGAGCAATTATTAGCTTTGCTTTACTTCCACTGCATATAACAGTTTACGTGTGCATGTTGAAGCAGATATATTTGGGCGACCGAAAAGAAGGCTAGTGTTCACATCTCCGAGAACATTCTTCATACATGGAAACCACGAGGTCAACATGCCTTCAGCATTATGATCCCCAGTCATTTACTGGATAGTGAAACACAAAGTTGAGATTTTATAACCATTCGAAATAATTCACCAACAAATTACTTGAAAGCCACTCATTGTATAGGCTTAAACAGAAATTATGTATCCAAAAAAAAGTAATGTTGTCACTCTTGCTTCCCTATGATGACCACAATTCCCAATGTGCGGTTGAGTAACATTTAGGGTTTATGATTAAAAATTCACTTTCTTCACTCATTCATACATGTTACCTAAGCTTCACTTATTTTCCTCTTATAGTCAGTCCATTTTTGTTGCAGTCATTACATAACTACTGAAATCAGTACCTTCATTAACTTATCTCTATGTAATTCTAATTTTTTCTTCCAGAATTGTCATATTACTTAACACAGAATATTCAAAGATAATTCTTTCATATTGATTACTGTATATTCATATTCTTTGATCAAAATATTTCTCATATTATAACATTAAGTATGTACACTGTTTTGCTTTTTGAGCAATTAATATAATTGATTATAGGTTATAGAAAGTTGATGGGTTATCATTAAATAAATGCATTATTGTTATTCTGTTATGTATATTGTACTTTCGTTAGTCAAATTTATAAATGAGAAAAACTGAATGAAATTTATCTCACCAACTCCCAAATTATTAAAAAAACAACCCCTGACTATTGGTTAAAATCAGAAAGGGTTTTGTGGAGATTTTAGAAATTTCACTGTTTGAAATCATGCGTCAATTGAAGCTAGACCACCATGGAAAACCTAGAAGCACTGGACGGCCGTTTCGTCCTATTGTGGCACTCCTCAGCAGTGCGCATCCACGATCCTGCACCCCACGAGATCCGAACCCAGGACCTATCAGTCTCGCGCCAAACCCTTAATCAACTAGACCACTGAGCCGGCCAGCATGCAACGATGTTAATATCTAACTGTGGCCAATCCAAGAAGTTGCGCCGCCGTACACCATTGTCTTCAGTGAGCTGATACCTCACAACAGACCAGGTTGAACTCCACTGGTAACGGCTTCTTACCAGAACTCCAGGTTTATTATTTACTTTATTTATTAACAAAGGCATGAACCTAACTCATGTAAATCACCTAATAACATCAATGATGTAATTCATGAATCACCGTATGTGTTCATAAAGTTTACTTACTTTTGCATAAATTAAAATCATTTGTACTCCCCAATTGATTGAGCATGAATACAAGTTTTTGACCAAGAAGTAATAGTTCTTTAATATTGTAAAGACCAAAAAATACCAAATTCTTAGAAAGATTAATAACCTGTAAATAAAAAATTTACATTTTGTTGTTGTTAATAAATTATATGTCTGCATATTGTCAATTTCTAATTGATTCAACTTTTAGTTGAATAAAATCTGAGTTATAAATTAAAAATTAAATTAACTTAACTACCAGTTGTCTACGCAAAATACTTCGGATCCGTTGGCCGGACACTATTAGCAACAACCTACTGTGGAAGAGAACAAACCGGATCCCAGCGGTGGAAGAAATTAGGAAGAAGCACTGGAAGTGGATAGGACACACATTGAGGAAAGCACCCAACTGCGTCACAAAACAAGCCCTCACATGGCATTCTCAAGACCGAAGGAGAAGAGGAAGACCAAAGAACACATTACGCCGGGAAATGGAGATAGACATGAGAAAAAAGAAAAGAAATTGGATGGAACTAGAAAAGAAGGTTCAGGAAAGAGTGGGTTGGAGAATGCTGGTCGGCGGCCTTTGTTCCATCGGGGGTAACACGATTAAGTATGTAAGTAATTGCCCAGTTAAAATAGACAGTGAATAGTAAACATTTAAAGTTGTTTCTCTCTTCAAAATGATAAATGGGGACTATTTGTATGGAATTTAAATTATAAGTTAGTTTGAAGTAATCAATTATAAATCCTTTATTTGCTTTTTTTATAATAGTTATTGATTATCACAGAAATGTAACTACAGTCTCTAGGGAACTAATGCTCTGTGTTTTGTTCAAACCAGTTTCGGCTTAATGTCAGGTTTATTATAACTTTACCTATAGAGTTAAATCACAAAACATACAAGTTAACCATAGATTGATTATTACTAATTGGCCAATTAGTTTATGTCAATGCAAATTACAGATTATCTAGCAGAGTATTGTCAATTACATATGTCATTAACTTACATGACATTAGATACTATGTAAATATAATTGAAGTTTGTAAACCAATTAACTTTCATTTACATTTTCTTTTTGAAATTAACTACTGATATTTTGTAAGTTTTCATAACATAAAATAGTTCAATAAACAGTTCAGTCTATTTATTAGTGTGTTGTTTATTCTTTGGTTACATTAACACTAGCATAACAATATTTACAGAATAAATTGAATTCATTTTACTCCAAATTTCCTCTCTTTAGTTACCACTCTAAAGTGAAAAAGAGACCTGACACCATATTTTGTCATTAAGAAGAATTATTTATTTATAAGTTATTGACTTGAAGATTGGAAAATTTTATTAAGAATTACACTACTTAATTGCGATAATAGTAATATGAAAAAAGTGATAACATAATATAAATTCGGAATATAATCTATGTTGATTGAAATCTATATTCTGTGTCAAACAACGAGTAAACAAACAATATTGAAATGTGAAAAAGGAATTAGAAATGATATCTATTGGTAGAAAACAATCTAAGGAAAGACAGAGTGAAATAAACACTGATTGAAAACTATATGACACAAAGAAATGCGAGTAATCCAAAAAACGGTTAAAAACCAAACTGCCATAGTAATTCCAGTTTATTAAGTGATTTTCCTGCATGATACTCATGGAATACATGTATATATCTATTAGATATTTATGTATGCTGCATAAAGCGATGTATATACATTAGAGCATGTATGTATATTTACACATTACACTTTTTCTAACTTGAAACATTTGCTAAATGGGTAATTTTATGCACCACAGTTTAGTACCAATTGTTTTCTGCTTTCTTTGTTGTAAGTTTTCTAGAAGATTACAGCTTACATTCGGTACTTTTTATATACATTGGAAATGGTTGATAAAAAGCGTTATCTAATAATTATCCCTTTCTTTCATTGGTATTGATTTTTATGATAACTTTCAATCAGTATTAGTTTTATAAATATCAGTGCCATTGTTAATCGAATGGTTTCTTTTTGTCAAATACATTAACAGAAAATAGGAAGTAAAAATATATGAGATATATTTCTCAAGGGGAAGAGAAATCACTTACTATCCTCAGGCTTTTTCTATTGATTAACCCTAGGTGATTTAAATAAACAAGAAACAATAATTAAAGGTTCTAATCACATCACTTATTGGAATCATTGTCTAATTAACTTGCCTCATTTGTTAAATTAATGTACCCAGGTTCAGATAAATAACAACCATTGGAAAGCATATTATCCAAATAATCATTTACAAAATTCTTGATTTTCATAAAATCAGTTGTGAAATTTTCTTGTTTGTCTGTGGAACTATTTGCTTGCTCATAACTGTAAAATAATTTGAATACAATGTAGGGCATACATTAACATGTTTGGTTTACACAAAGAACAATTAAATAATCACTTGTTTGTGTCTGTTTGACAGAGGTTGTTTGTTTTCCAGTAAATTATCATATACAGAAATGGTTTATAGGAAAGAGAGTCAACAAAAACTCATCATAATAAAACATCTTCGGTTGAATTGAAGGCTTCCTAGTAAATTATATCACAATACGTAGGTACATTCACTAGCAGATTAAATTCAGACAAATTTTCATTTCCAAAAATAGGCCTTATTGTTTGCTAATTCAAACATTTTGTCTTGAAAAAGCTCTGAGATGTTGTACATGCTATATTACTGTGCTACCAAATCTAGTGTAATATAACTAGATTTTGATACCCAACGTGATTAAAAATATTACTTTGAATCTCAATTATGCTTAAGTAGTATCCATATTGGATGGAAGAGGTATTATGACGATAACTATCAAATCTAAATAACATTCAGATGTCCACAGAATGAGATCACGTTTCATATGTATAAATAAGATAGGGGTATAGACAGAAAAGCCTTTGGATCAAATCATATTTGGTGTTATGGTATAAATGTTGTCTTATTGTATTCTACGGTGTAACTATTTACATCTTTTGCAGAGTCATCATCAGTATTTCGTCAACTTCGAGAGTGAACAGACTTTTTGACTACTTGCACAATTTTTTTTGAAATGCAGCTACTATAATTCGTAAACAATGGAGTCACTAAAACGGACAAGGGAGATGTTTCTAATATGACACTGGATCTGGCGTGACTGGATGCGTCGACGAATTAGACACTGACAGACGATGACGACTTCATGAGAAACATATGAGAAGACGGAAACTCACAAGAAACTGAGGTATTTCAAAGAAAAATAATGAAATAAATAACAATCACAATATATAAAATATTTTATAAGATAGTTTAACCAACAGTAATGAGTGTTAATTACGTAGCACTGACTCACTCCAGGGGTTACAATAGTTATTTTTATTACGATAATCCCGACAAATGATAGCATCGTCATTGGTCAAATCTAACAACAACAAACTCAAACCCTAGTAACTAGCTGATTAGTTGCTTTTTGTAGGTGTTAAAATTCCTCACGAATATCAAGCAATTCTTTCTAAGTGGTCATTATATGATCATCATTGAATAACTTAACAAGTAATGATTAATTAGCGAACACTAGACAACTTCTTAGAAAACTTCAATAGTAATGACCGGAGTAGAAACTCAAAGCCATTGTTTGTCAATACAATGTAACCCAGGGCTCAAACATCTGGCGATGATTGTAGAAATGCTTTATTTGACCTCAATCAGAGAATAATTTAAGCTTTGTAAAGCTTATGACACGCTTTACCTAACAGTATTCTAAATAAGAAGGGTAATAACAATGCCCTGATAAATTTCGATTGCACTGAAAAACATTTTATAAGGGTGACAATCGTGAAGGTCTAAAAGTATTCGCAATGGTTAAGATCATGAATCAGTTGAAGCTAGGTCAACATAGAAAACCTGGAAGCACTTCACGGCTGAATCGTTCTATTGTGAGACTCCTCAGCAGTGTGCATCCACTATCCCGACTCGCAAGATCCGAAATCAAGACCTGTCAGTCTCGTTCGAGATCACCTAACCATTAGACCACTGAGCAGGCTGGCATCCAATGGTGTTAATGTCTAACTTCAACTAATACACGAAATTCAGCGACACATCCACCATTGTCTTCAGTGAGTTACTATCTCACAACAGACCTGGTTGAACTCCACTGGTCACTGCTTCTCACCAGAACTCCAGGAAATACCTCATGAAGCCAGTCACTAATGAGCGTATGTTGGTTCATATCAGAAGGGCTTTGTGAATATTACAGTAGTTTCAATGGTTGAGATCATGAGTCAATTGAAGCTACTGAGGAGTCCCACAATAGGGCGAAACGGCCGTCCAGTGCTTCCAGGTTTTCCATGGTGGTTTAACTTCGACTGACTCAACTATTGAATTTATTGTGATATCCACAAAAAACCTCTTCTGGTATTAAAAGTATTCAGTGAACAACACATGTAAAACACTGAATTCACTTTCGTTTATTCCTGACGTTATATAAAGTCTATTTATTGTGCTGAAAGTTATTGGTAAAAATAACAGTATTTCATCCACATGTGATTTGATAAGCAATCAGCCTTTTAGTGGACAAAATAGATGTCAATGAATGTTCACATATTTTTCTTGAAAGTTTAGGGAAACTTGACCTTTGAATTCATCAAAAAAAAGTATTCACTCAGTGGTATTTTAATGCCATTAACTCTTCTCAATACTCAGTGTTTATAGCATATTACCAAATCGAAAATACTATTTGAAAAACCTATATTGTACCTGTTCAACTTTTAGTCAAATACTTGTTTAATACGAGAAATGTCTTATAGTATAAAAAAATAGCATCATAAACACTGACTATACACAAAGCAATTTGTACTTTCAAAATGATTTTACCTGGAAACATCTGACTTTGTGCCTAATGTACTCCATAAACGAGCATACTGAATAGGTTGATGCAATTCTTGAGGATCTCGATCTACATGAAGATTTAATAATAACCGAGTAAACGATGCACGTAGACTAGGTCTAAGCCGTTCATTCCTCATACATCTAATGAGATAATAGAAAAACAAACAAGAATACGATGAATAATTTCTAAAAAAGAACAATGTTTCGAAGTTTGTAATTCTAAAACTAAAGTGAGTACAAAAGGAAAGGAATTAGGAGAAATTAATTTTTATAGTGTTAGAGCTTGTTTGCCATTAGGTATTTTCACAAAAGCATTTTTAATTAGATCAAGATATATTCTGTGTCAACTGCTATTTCTAATGCTCGTGATAATCAAGTTGAAAATATTGTATCACTCAATCGGTGCACTGACAATCATGGATGTGAAAAGTCAATACTTTTAGTTCATATACAATTTTGATTGAGATAATGAATCGATCATTGTCCGACTACCATTATGAACATGCAAGAACTGAACGGCCGTTTCGAACTGGTATGGGACTCCACAGCAGTGCGCATCCACAATCTCGCATGCCCGATACTAACCCAGGACTTTCGATTTTGCGTGCTTTACCTCTAGACCACTGAGCCAGCATCCAGCGATATTAATCTCTAAGTTTAGCCAATCCACGATATTATGCGACCATCTTCCGGTGTCTTTGGTGGGTAAATGCCTCACACCCGACATGAACTATCAACACTGGCCACGGATTCTCACTATCACTTTGAGAACTATCTCTTGAAGCTAGTCACTAGTGAGCAAATGATAATTGTCATGACCTCGATCAAAACTCAACAATGTATGCAACCATATAAATACAATTTTATTTAAGAACAAATAAATAATAATTCTGTGTTTTTAAGTAAAGATGTATCAAGTTTGCAATTAATGAAATTCCGGCAGTAAACTCAAGTCTATAGAGCTACTTAATTCTAGAGAAAGACTGAATGACCACTAATACAATTAAATTATCTTACAGAGTTTACAGCTCTAGTAGATTTATGAGTCCATATTAGGACCAAACAGTATCCCAACACTTTCTGGTTTTCAACGGATATTTAACTAAAATTAGCTGGTAATATAAACTGTGAAATTCAAAAACCTCCGCAAACCCACTATTCCAAACTATCTACGTTGAACTGGATCTTGTAACAGTGGTTGGATAGTAACTCAATGAAAAATTGAACACTTTAAATTTAACTCTCCAGGTACTTCAAAGTGTGGCAAGCAGATGTCCAGTGGTCCTATGCTCTTAGTGATCTCAAAAATGAGTCAAGAAGTATTTTTTTAAAACAGATTTTTCTTCTTAAACTACAACTAAGCCGAAAATGAAGTTATACGCGTAGACTTTTTGTAACTAACAATAAATTGCGTACCAATAGTTACCAACAGTTACATTTCGACTGCTCCTGTGGAACAAGTTATATTGGTCGAAGTTCTAGGAATTTAAACTTTTGTGCTCATGAACACCTCCCAGAGTGGCTAAACAAAGGTTTGATAAAGTGAACAGCTCGATATTGGCCCATTTAGTACAAACTAGTCATAGTACCAGTTTAAACCAATCTTTTTCACTTATTTATAGGGTCAGTAAATTTTTGCCAAAACTTCTCAGACTTAAAGTCCTTCAAACGGCTGAAACAGTAGCCAATCGGATGAAGAAATCGGAGCTATGCGTACAAAAGAAATATCTCCAACCACTCCTCCTGCCCTGGACAACCTCAAGGCCGATTAATGAATAATAATCTTAGCTACTGAATGAATGTACCTAAAACCTTCGTAGTCAAATGTAATTGTCCTTATTATCTTTATTCAAAAATCTTTGTATTATTATTGCTATTACTATTGGTTAAACATTATTAATAATCTCCTCAATACATGATTCATTCATTGTGCATTCATCCCTCCTTGTTACGTTTTAATAATTTATCACACAATATAGTCTTCCACTAAACATTTGATCCAACTGTAATTGAATTATTATTTATCTCTCTCACTCTCTGTTCCATGTTTATTCTGATCATGGATCTTAAAATTTTCACTTAACATATAAGCATATTCATATTAACATTCTATTTAAGTCATATCGACATGAACAATTTTATTCTATTTACCAGTATAGAGGTTGCAGAGATTGTTAAGTTTTTGATTGAGATTCTGAACCGGTTGATGTTAGACCACCGTCGAAAACCTGGAAGCACTGGATGGCCATTCTAGTGAGAAGCTGTGACCAATGGATCTAATTCGTGTCTGGCAGAGACAGGTATCTACCTCAGCACAATGGAAAATGGTTACGCAATTTCGTGGATTGGCTGATGTTAGACACTAACATTATTGGATGTCGGCCGGCTCAATGGTTCAGTAGGTTAAGTGTCCACGCGCGAGACTGAAGCCCCTGGGTCCGAATCCAGCAAGTAGGATCGTGGATGCGCACTGCTAAGGAGTCCCACAATAGAACGAAACGATCGTTCAGTTATTCTATTTTGTTTGAAAATCCTACTGTTCACATACATTAACTTTAAACAATGTACTTTACCCTTAACCAAATCATTTTTCGTCTTATTAATTTGGATATATATGAATTATCAGAAGGGGTTTTGTGGAGATTTTTAAAATTTCAATAGTCAAAATCATGAGTCAATTGAAGCTAGACCATCATGGAAAATCTGGAAGCACTGGAAGGCCGTTTCGTCCCAGTATAGGACTCCTCAACAGTGCACATCCACGGTGGTCTAGCTTCAATTGACTCATGATTTCAACCAGTGATATATATATATATATATATATATGAATTGTAGAATATGAAGAGAATCTATCGAAAACGAATATACTTCATTCAAATATTAGTTACATAAGAGTTAAGAATTTTCCCTAAAAAACAAACAAAAAAACAATCTCACTTCAATAATAAATGAACTGATAATTTTGTTGATAAATAATTAATAGCAATATATTGTCGTTGTTGGCATAATAAAGCAAATAAATCAATTTGTGCTTGATAATAATCTAAAATTAAATAACATAATGTAATTGATTTTGATGAGATTTCATTCATTTCTTGTTTTGATTGATTCATTACAATATCATTTAATATATTCAAATTAAATTCTAAACCTTTTTGTGTTTGATTCCATTCTGATTGATTTAAAATTAAATTAGAATGAATATTTTTCCAAAAATATTCATCCATGAAATAGGTCTGTTTCCAGATTAAAGTAACAATATCTGTTGTATAGTTGTTGTTTTCTGAATCAATAAATGTTTTGTTGCTAAGGTAAAAATAAATAAATAATATGTAATAGCTTTTATGAATATACATTTAGAGTATTTTAGTATTAGTGATTATTTCAATCCTAACTTTCAACTAATAAGCAATTTAAACCTTTTACAATTTTATATATTGTTAGATCTATCGAAGCGTCTAGTTCACCTGATTGAGATAAGCGCGAAACCGAAGTTCCAAAACAAATACTTGTCTACAATAGCGGTTCTTTATTGAATACTACACAAAATCTAGTTACAAACCTCAACTTGTGAAGTGCCTGTGACGTTTAAACGAGTCCTTCAAGTATGAAAATAAAAAGGCTTCGATAGTACAAAAGACAGCTGATAACTGTGTCTATATTTGATAACAGTTTATGAACAACCGAAACCCGAACCAAGAGCAAGACAATATGGAAACTGCTGCGTTTAAGAAAATGCACGAAACTGTTGATAACCGCCACAGTGATTAAGTTAAAGTAATTAAAATGATAAGTACAATGATAGGTACAATAAACGTAATAAATATATGTGAACATTACAGAATATTACACTACAGCTTGCTTTACTACATAGGTTTAAAAATTGTTCGGATTACAGCGGCTTACTGAATGTAAATAAGTAGTACAAAACAATATACAAAAAAGTGGAAAGGGAGCGAATGGAACAATGTAAAACAAAATATATATAATTTATGAAAGTTCAGTTAAATCATCAGAAACTGACATCAACAGATAAAGTATATCAGTAGTTGACCTCTAGTAAAGTTATAAGCATACACTGCAGAAATATTCCAAACTAGGATGGAAAAACAATACAGTGCCTAGATTTTCAATGATACTTCAGGTAATTTCAGTTCGTGACCATTAATATATCTCGACACGAATATTTGTGATTTGATTGATTCAACTCATCGTTGATACTTTATATTAGAATAAAGTTTTGTGGAGATTGTAGTGATTTTAATATTTAAATTCATGAGCTAATGTAAGTTAAGTCACCACTAAAAACGTGGAAGAACTGGACAGGCGTTCCAATTTGATGTAGGACTCCTCAGCAGTGCGCACTCACGATCCCGGATGCAGGACTCGAACCTAGGGCCTTTGGTCTCGTGCGCGAATGCCTAATCACTAGATCACTGAGTCGACATCCAACGGTGTTAATGTTTAACTTCAATCGATCCATGATCCTGTGCAACCATTCATCCCTTTTCTGAGGTAGATGCCTGTCTCTACTGCTGAGAAATCCCATATCAGGACGAAACGACTGTCTAGTTCTTTCAGGTTCTAATGGTGGTCTAGCTTACATCGATTCATGAATCTAACTATTAAAATTGATACTTTATAGATAATGTGCATATATGATTTACAGATTATTTTGTCGTAATTCAGAGGAGGATTTCATCTGATGTTCAACGACATTTAATGTACAAATTAGTCAGGATAATATAAATTAAAATAAGAAGACCTCTGTATTGGTAATTTCCATCCCTGGATAATACAGTCAATAAGAGGAAATTATGCGCTTTAGTAATCGATTTGAATAGAATTTCTAATAAAATTCTTCCAATTACTACTAAGACGTGATGAACAACAACAAAAAAAATACATTTGTAGACTTTATTCATCTTCTAATATAACACGTTTGAAAACTGATCTTACCAGAAAATCACACAAGTAATTCCTATCTGATCATCAGCCATACACGTAAACAAAAACAAGGTACGTGAATTACCAGTTTATACTTTCTTCGTTTTCATTCATCAAGACTACGATAGATGAATTTAACCAATAAATTCAGTTAAATAACCAGAGTTAAAGCTAACAAAAATTATTCATTTGTAAATAGTATTCTACATTAGTTACTCACCATGTTTCTACTAATAAATCTTCATTATTCTCAGATAATAGTTGATGACAAATAAGTTCTTGTGTAACAGGAATTGCTACACCACAAGAACTACATAACGCTGATAAATAATTCAAAAATCTGAAAACATAAAGAATAAAGTAAATAGGTTCCTAGTATAAAGAATGAATAGAAAGGATAATTGGTTATTTTTCCAAATAATGTGTTAAATATTTATAGATGATTTAACCATTGAATATCAATAATAACCTTATGTTAAAACATTGCACTGAAATAAATTCACATTGTCATTCAGGGATTATTTCTGGTTTCAGTTCCATGCTATATCTTTAACTAATTCATTTTTAAACAAAATAAATCAAATCAAATTCACTCGATCGAATGAAACTGCTGTTTATAGGGTACTAAATATATAGGAAATATCAATAGTTGAGATCATGAGTCAATTGAAGCTAGACCACCATGGGAAACCTGGACGCACTGGATGGCCGTTTCATCCTATTGAAATTACTACAATCTCCACAAAACCCCTTCTGATATAAGAAATGTATAAGTTTTCGAAGAGAAATAATCAAATGATTCCAAAACAAACGCATTTACACTCAATTTCCCAGAATATTTTTTCTTATGTTAGTATACTATATAACTAATGTGCTTCGCGTTCTTTCTAATATTTTTCTTGACTAGTCATTGTAAATAGTGATGCTCTTAAATAGTGCATAACTGTGAGATGTTTTGAAATGTTGTCTGTATATTATATGCATCGATATTTAACATCTATTCGAAGTATTGTTCTGATGATGGCCTTAGCATAATCAAATTACTGTAATAAACAAAACGGACTAAATTATTCACCATTTTCTCCAGATGATGGTGTAATACAACCCCTCGTCTTTATGATGAGTAGAAACTCATACATTTTTGTCAGTGATGGATGGATTATCTAAACGGATTATCATAAAAACGAAACATGCTCACCGGGCTTCAATATTGTCACGTACTAACGAAACAAATGCAGAAACTTCTAGTTCACCAACACGTTTTTCAAGTAACTGTCGATTGTTATGCAATAGAGCAGTAATCGTCTCTGATGCTCTTATACCTAAGCCAATGTGGGTTTGCATCAAATTCAGATACTGTGCTAGATACTCCTAAAACAATGTAAAAAGGATCCATTTCATATTTGATATTTTTGTAAATGTAGTATTAAACAAAGTTTACAAAATTGAGGAATACATTTTTTCGAAATGAGCATGGATTAACCACATTTTTATCACATGTTACAACAGTTAGATTGTCTAGAACTCATCTATTAGTGATGTATTTTTTTAAGCTGAAGCTTTCATTGTCATTTAGAATAATATTATCAGTGCTAAATTCAAATAAAAATGAAAATTTCTGAATCGGACAACAGGCTCTCAATCAACTTGTTCCTTTGACCGCTTTATTGATTGATTATGCTTATGGGTTTCGCTTTATTCAGACGGGCTTATATTTGCATTAATTGTAGTATTGAACTGATCTCACTAAAAGCGATTGATTGAATCAATGTCAAACAATCCACTGACCTGATTTCCATACTTCTATGAATTCCCCATAAATTATACAATGTCCTGGACCGAGAATTTAATCATCCTGTGTTCAAATTTGCGTCTATAGTTGACTATACGAGTCGATACGAGTGATAATATCCCGTATAACGGAACTGCTGACCCATATTATTGAGCTAGTAGGTTAGTGAGATGTTCATCTTCTCGGATATAACAGCTCCACAGTTAGTCCAAATGATAAAATTCTGAACTGATTAGACCTTAAGACTTCCGAATGACTTCTCTAAGTCTATTACTTAAGTTAATTCACTATCAATAGACATACCGATTTACATTTAAACTATCAGCATTCACCTAGACTACAAATATTATCTACCATGTTTACAATATAATAAAATGTGGATCGTTTTTATTTCAACAACTGGAAAATACAGTTTTTCTTTAACTAAAAATAAATGGGCACCTACATTTATATTATATTACCTCGTCATAACTTCACGGTCACACCGACAGCAACCATGTGCTCAACAGTGACTAACTTTGATACGAAATTTATAGAGTTCTGGTGAAAAGCTGTCACCAATGAAGATAAACCGTATCGGTTTTGAGGAAATTCACCACGAAAGACAGTAGAAGATGGTTATACAGTAACGTGGAATGATTAAAGTTAGACCTGTACACCATAGGACCTCAGCTCAACGGTCTAAAGTTTAGGCGTCCGCATACGAGGCTGAAGGTCTTAAGTTGAATTTTCAGTCGCAAAGTCGTGGATGCGCCCTGCTGAGTAGTTCCACACTAGGACGAAACGGACATTCAGTACATTTGGATTCTTAATAATTGTCTAACTTAGATCGACTAGTTATTTCAGTGAAACTAAGACTAACTGGACTGTTTTACTATTTCAGTAATGAAATAGTCGTTAAATCAATGATTTCCAAAATATTGGTATTACAGAGAATGAGATTTGTACTGTAGTGGCTAAGCTTCATTAATCAATCACCTTGATAACCGTTATTATATAACTCTCAACGGTTTTGAAATCAGAAGGCAACAAGAAGCGGCGACTACATTTTATTAGCGGATAGCACATATAACAAAGCTGCAAGCGAATTTGAAGCAGAGAGACGAATGTGTGTATGTGAACAAATACAGAGGCGAACTCATAGTCAAGTCGAATAAGGCGCAGCTAGGCAAGGCAATGGCTAATAATAGGATTCAAGTACATATATACATGGGGAAGAGAATGACTCATCGAGAGATATTTAAGCGGTTAACACTAGTTAGATAGAGATGTGCGTAGGGTATCATGTGACCAAGAGTACATGTTTATACAGACAAGACAGTGATTAAAATGGTGCAAAGAAAGATGCGAATTGTTACTATTCGAATAACATTATCTGTTAAGTGAGTCAATATAAGGAATTAACAAGATTTAACCATAATCAAAACTTTGTAGGAGAGTTGTTATAGTAATATGGTATTTATCAATGTATTAAAACATGATGAATGATGTTCACCTTAAGTTACAAATATGAAAATTTATGACACCCAAGATTAGAAGCAAGTTTAAAAATTTCATCCTCTTATATTGCCTACTTATAAGTAGAGTGTCAAAACTGACGTTTTTTCCAAGAAATATGTTCTACTCACATTTTATTGCCATATTCGTTTCATGTTTGAAGTTTCACCAGTCCTAACCCAAAATATACGAATAACATTTTATCTATCTGAATGTATCTTTAGTTATAAAACTATCAACATTACATTAAAACGAGTGAATTAAATTCGCTACTCCTCAATTTTCTGTTTAGAAACTTCAATTTAAACCATACTCATTCAACCAGTTATCTCATTTTATTCTTTTATTACTCGAAATCTACGTATACTTCGTTAATTATATCATTAATTGATTCAAGCTTTAAAATCCTCTGTTACCCTCTTTGCTGATATTCACAAATTTCATTTTTCATATAAAATTAAAGCAAGACACTTCATCCTATCTTTTTAGATCTATTTGGATGTTACTAATTTTCATTAAACCATGCCGAGACATGTTCATACTAACTTCTGATCAATTTTATTCCTATGAATCCATACGAAGTTCAGTTTTATCATTTACAACATTAATTGATCACACTTTTTCAGAATCTGATGAGAATTGAATGAATGAATGAAAATGAATTTATATTGCATATGTACATTTTAAGTTAATAAAACGGGAACTAAAATCATGAAGTTTCTAAAACCATAATTCAACAAATTTAAACATTGAAAGTATAACAGAAAAGCTTTAAGAATGAATAATTTACACAATATTAAATATTTTTTTAAAACTATTATTATTATTATTTGCAAAGATGGATAGTGGCTAGTAATGGAATGCAGTTTGACGTGTGTTTCGTCCTATTTAGGGACACATCAGCTGGATGTACCTGCATTTCAGAGTAGATGTTCACTTCGAGGCTCAAACTCAGTACCGTTCGCTTCAAACGACATTGCATTATCCACTTAACTACTAAATCCTGATAGTCACTTGCTTGTGCAATGAGGTGACAGTAATAAATCGAATTCATTATCTGGTAAGTGGCCTATAAACATTTGCTAATAAAATACTGATCAATTGCAGTCCTAAACATCAATGGGAAGATTATTATTATTATTATTTCACTGATGATCTACAAAATATAAATAGAGTTATATCATTTTTAATGTTACCTGATTTTTTCTATAACCATGTTGTGATAATGTAAGTATTCGATAACAAAGATTTCCAACAGTTTGCCAGGCTAATATTTCATTTTTTTCATCTAAATAAATATCTTGTTGTTGTGAATCAATTGTATTCATTTCTGTTTCATGTAGAATAGATATTAAAGAAATATCTGGTTTCCATATTAAAATATTTGAATTAATTAAATGATTATTTACAATTGATGTAGATTGTTTTGGTAAATTACTAATAACTTTACTGTTTAACATATTAATGATCTAAGATTAATAATAAAGAGAAGTAAATAATAAAATGTAATAAGCGGTTGTAAGATCAAATATCAAGATTAAACAAGTATATAAAAAACAATAAATAACTAAAATTAAGCACTCGCGCGTGAGACTGTTACGTCCTGGGTTCAATTCCCGCGGGCAGCGGGATCGTGGATACGTATACTGAGGGATCCCATACTACGACGAAACAGCCATCCAATGCTTCCAGGTTTTCCATGGTGGTCTAGCTTCAAATGACTCGAAATATCTCAACTATTAAGATTACTAAAATCTTCACAAAACCTCTTCTAATAATAATCATCTGCTCACTAGTGACTGACTTCAAGAGTCATTTGCTGGAATTCTAGTGAGAAGCCGTGACCAGTGGAGTTCAACCAGATCTGTTGTGAAATATCAGCTCACGGAAGACAACGGTGTACGGTGTCGAAACTTCGTGGATTGGTTGAGGTTAGACATTAGCACTGTTGGATACCGGCTCAGTGGTCTAATGGTTAAGCGCTCGCGCGCGAGACTGATAGATCATGGGTTCAAATAAATGTTCAAATAAAAATTATGAATAATTGTCAAGCTGATTCCATAATCAATAGAAAAGTCATCGGTGGAAATAGTATGGATTATGTGTTATTGATGTTGTCTAAAAAGACAATGAAATCCTCAGGATTACATTATCTGAGAAATAGAACACAATATCTACAGAAAGGAACACAACAACTTTTCAGTACTCTTCTCTTGTGATTGTGTTCATTATTATCATTACATTTCACATTTTAAATAGATTTTAAAAACTCTTCAGTGTTGTCTGATGGTAAATGTCATTGTTTGATTTTGACAGTTATTTATTAAAGTCAATCAGTCAGCTACAAATTAGGACCAGGCACATATAGTCCTCAGCAACAAGTTCCAGGCCTTTCATGATCTACTCAATGGAGAAGGAACTACTGTGGAGAGCAACTGGAAGGGGATCAAAGAGGCAATCACTTCAACATGTCATGAGGTCCTGGGCCACAAGGAGCAACATCACAAGGAATGGATCACTGTTGGTACACTGGATAAGATTCAAGAAAGGAGGAACAAGAAGGCAGCAATCAATACCAGCCGAACAAGAGCAGAAAAAGCCAAGGCACAAGCTGAATACACAGAAGTAAACAAACAAGTGAAGAGGAGCATCAGAACCGACAAACGTAAATATGTGGAAGATTTAGCAACGACGGCGGAAAAGGCTGCAAGAGAAGGAAACATGAGACAATTGTATGACACGACAAATAAACTCTCTGGAAATCGCCGCAAACCAGAACGACCAGTGAAAAGCAAGGAAGGCGAGGTAATCACCAACATTGAAGAGCAACAAAACAGGTGGGTAGAACATTTCAAAGAACTGTTGAATCGACCAGCTCCACTGAACCCACCCAACATCGAAGCAGCACTCACGGACCTCCCAATCAATGTTGGCCGACCAACAATTGAAGAAATCAGTATGGCCATCAGACAAATCAAGAGTGGCAAAGCAGCAGGACCGGACAACATCCCAGCAGAGGCACTAAAGGCAGATGTAGCGGCAACTGCAAGGATACTCCACGTTCTCTTCAATAAGATTTGGGATGAGGAACAAGTACCAACAGACTGGAAAGAAGGACTTCTGATCAAAATACAGCAAGTGTGATAACTACAGGGGCATCACTCTTCTCTCAATACCGGGAAAGTCTTCAACAGGGTATTGTTAAACAGGATGAAGGACTGCGTAGACGCCCAACTTCGTGACCAACAGGCAGGATTCCGTAAGGATAGATCGTGTACAGACCAAATCGCAACTCTACGGATCATTGTGGAACAATCAATTGAATGGAATTCATCACTCTACATCAACTTCATTGACTACGAAAAGGCATTTGATAGCGTGGACAGAACAACACTATGGAAACTTCTTCGACACTACGGCGTGCCTCAGAAGATAGTCAATATCATACAGAACTCACATGATGGATTACACTGCGAAATCGTGCATGGAGGACAGTTGACAAAGGCGTTCAAAGTGAAGACCGGTGTTAGGCAAGGTTGCTTACTCTCACCCTTTCTCTTTCTCCTGGTGATCGACTGGATCATGAAGACGTCAACATCTGAAGGAAAGCGCGGGATACAATGGACATCTAAGATGCAGTTGGACGATCTAGACTTCGCAGACGATCTGGCCCTTCTATCCCAAACGCAACAACAGATGCAGGAGAAGACAAACAGTGTGGCAGCAGCCTCAGCAGCAATAGGTCTCAATATACACAAAGGGAAAAGCAGGATTCTCCGATACAACACAGAATGCACCAATCCAATCACAATTGACGGAGAAGATTTGGAAGATGTAAAAACCTTTACGTATTTGGGCAGCATCATTGATGAACAGGGTGGATCTGATGCAGATGTGAAGGCGCGGATCGGCAAAGCAAGAGCAGCATATTTACAACTGAGGAACATCTGGAAATCAAAGCAACTGTCAACCAACACCAAGGTCAGTATTTTCAATACAAATGTCAAGACAGTTCTACTGTATGGGGCAGAAACCTGGAGAACTACAAAAGCCATCATCCAGAAAATACAGGTGTTTATTAACAATTGTCTACGCAAAATACTTCAGATCCATTGGCTGAACACTATTAGCAACAACGTACTGTGGGAGAGAACAAACCAGATCCCAGTGGAGGAAGAAATCAGGAAGAAGCGCTGGAAGTGGATAGGACACACATTGAGGAAAGCACCCAACTGCGTCACAAGACAAGCCCTCACATGGAATCCTCAAGGCTAAAGGAAAAGAGGAAGACCAAAGAACACATTACGCCGAGAAATAGAAATAGACATGAGAAAAATGAACAAGAATTGGATGGAACTAGAAAAGAAGGCTCAGGACAGAGTGGGTTGGAGAATGCTGGTCAGCGGCCTATGCTCCATTGGGAGTAACAGGCGTAAGTAAGTAAGTAAGTACATATATGCATCGGTCCAAGTTGCCACACCTCATTAACACAACAAGATGGACACCGGGTTCATATAAGCAGTTAATTAAATGGTTATAATGTATAAAAAAAGATTTCATATTAAGGATATAGTACAGAAAAAAAGAATTAGTTCGTAGAAAGAAAGATATAAAGCAATTTTAACGTCATAGTTTAAGAGAAGACAGAGAATGTATATACCAACATCATTATGATCGATCCTGAGCCATGTCATCCAGAGTCTCCAACCATAGTCACACAGACCCCAACCAAGTAGTCTGCATCTACCAATATGGCTTAGGCTAGAAGTTAGTGACTTCAATCACTGATGCCACGAGTTAAAATAGTTATCTAATAAAACTATAACTAAATAATTTTCTAAAGAAATTAGTTTAAAATCATACAAACCTTCGTAGATAATCAGTTAAATATGAAGAATACCAGCTACTAATTACAAAATGTAGCAAAATTAATGTTAACTGTTTATTTAAATCCTCTGAAAACATCCATTTTTTATGAAAATTTTATAGATCTAACTTTAGTCTATCTCAGAACACTAGAAAATGAACTGTTTGTGATTTTTTTAAAACAACTGGTGAGCGTTTTAAGATTCGAATGCCTTAGGTTCATCTAATATAACACACTAATCTATATACCCACTATATTATCAACAATATATTTCATCTAAGAATACTCTTCTAAAAACAGTTAAAATAAGTCACAAATAAATGATGATTATGATGATAAATGGTAGTTTTAAGTGATCTTATTTTAAAAACAATTAAATTGGATAAACAACGTGTAGTTGACTTTGTTTGATTCAAAAGTATCGATGTTTCAAAGACTTCATTTAATATTATGATATTTCACTGGAGATAGACTCTCGAGAATGATGAATTAATAGTAGTGGGTCACACAGAAAAACTTGAACCCTGACAGTTATAACTCGAATTCATTGCCTAGTAAGTGGCCTATAAACATTTTTTTTCAATTATATCCATAATTACTTTCGTTTGTATATTGAATATTTTGTATTCATCAAAAAATAGTTTCGTTAATTGTGTTATATCATCAATCACTCGTTCACAATTTCATCAGTATACTCAATCGATTAATAAATTCACAGTTTACAATCCAATCGTTCAATTTCGATCATCATACATCGATTGAATTTAATCGGCACTGAAGGCTAGTCAAGAATGATATTGATTACTATTCAATAACCGATAATATGATTATTACAATTTACACCATATTGCATAATCAATAACTAATATTTAGTTTTCTAATAAAAAAGATTATCTAATAATTCACATAAATATGAAAGTTGAAATCCAGTTGTAATATCCTCTGAATCAACTTAGAGAAATTCTAGTCATAACTAACTGAATAGAAACAATAGAATTATGCTTGATAGTTGATGGAGATCACACCTATCATTTGTCAGTAACGCTTACCTCTAATTTTGAGGGAATTGATGTTCCCTGTGAGATTTAAACTGTGTTACAGAGCCTTACAATCTGGAATGCTATCACTGAATTATGTGAGTGGTAGGAAAAGAAGTATGTTAACAGCATTAACAGGGTAATAATTCATTTCTATTTAGTGTGTGTCTATACCTTTGTTAATAACTAAAAGTTATTTAGTTGATTAATCTTTGACTGAGTTGTAGTTATGCACTGTTGGATATCTTCAAACTGATGTGAAATAGCAGTTCAGTCCTATATGGTTTTCAGTAGTTCAGAAGCCTAAGTTAGTCTGAGACGAAAACTTAATATAAAAGAGAATATGTAAACATAATTATTTTAAAATAATCAAGAACTATTCATGAAATATGTAATATGACTTTTTACTTGTGCAATAATATTGTGTTCACGTAATAACTTCTGTCTATCCCGTAAGCCTATTTCATTTTGTATAGTTGGATTGGTCGACTCAAATGTTAAACGTGTATTCCCGTTAAGAAACATTACTAACTCTGATAAAATAAATATAAGTGATCTGTAATTGAAAACATATAAAGAAATTAGTTACTACTAATGAGAATGATGTCCAAAAAATAAATGTGTATTTCGCTTCATTGTAAAGAACATTTAAAACAAAAATAATCCATGTATTAAGTATGGGTTTACGTGCCCATCTCTATGCTACACTGGTTGAATGTGACGGTCAAAATGAAGTTATTGACAGTCAAGCAGAATTGCGTTGGTAGGTTTAGATCAGGTTAGGGTAAGAGCGATTTTCGTAGCCAATAGATAGGGACTATGGGTGATATTGCTTAGAATCGTGCGCAATATGGTAATTACATTCATTCTTTGGCTTGCCTTAGATTCTAGTTTTTTAAATCGTCTTATAGTTTATCCATATATTCCTTGTAGACTATATCTTTTATGATTAATCTTTTCTACTACCATTTATATCAATGATGTTTGTACTTCTCTGGCATCTCGCTGTGTTTATGTAGTGTGTTAACTTGAATCGATGTACACATATTCCGAGTACTACTATGCATATGACTGACTGACTAATGAAAATACCAAAAAAGTTGTCGTAGAGTTCAATCTCACATACTTCTAGGTGAAAGGAGAGTACTTCAGCTACGAGACCGCTGCAACATAGTCAAAGTTTTTTTAATGAAGCCATGGAGCTAGTTATGCAATAATTTTAAACACTATGTGTATTTCTATGTGCAAGAAAACACAACAATCCTATTTTCAAAAATACATAGATATTCAGCACAATAAAATAAACAAATAAGCTTTGTAAAATCCAGGGTTAAAAAATCTGTTTTTAAACTATTTTATGCTTTAAACTACAAAGTTAAGGATCATTTATAAGTGATAAAAAATGAAGTGTTGATCATTAGAATTTTGACGTGCACGAAGAGATATTTACTTTTATTACACATATAATGCTCATTTATAAACTTGAAACGATGCTAACTATTCATTTATATCTAAGCCCAAAAACAGAATTCTGTAACTGTATTTGTGGTGACTTGATGGTAAGAGTGTTTAACTTTTAAACACAGAGTCATGAGTACGAACTCCGCCTTGCCTAATTTAGCTTGGGCGGTCGGATAGTATTATAATTCTTTGTACAAAGTGTGATTTCAAGCTGAGTCCAAGAGCATGTACACGAGAACTGAGTGATACGACTCAAGATGGTGTTGGACTTTGTCTAACATAGACTGATTAAAGGAAAATGACCAGCTTCCCTGTTAATATATTCAAATACCATATTTGTGAAATCCATAACATACAAACTGATTGGCATGGTTGATTATTTTTAGGAATAAAATGAAGATACTGATAAAGAAAGGCTTTTTTGGATTCAGAATTCTGTTTTAAGTAGAAAAATTTAAAAGAAATTTACAATAAACCAAGTAAGAAATAAACTTATATGGCAATTATCAATAAAAAACCGAGTTTTACCTCATTTGAGTTTCTGTTAACTTTCCTTGTTCATTCAATATACAGAGAATAGCTCTAAGTGCTTTGAAGGAGTCGCTGGCAAAATCCAAATCTCTCACAACATTCGCTGGTACGGGAAGAATAGCGAATACTTCTTTGTTATCTTTAAACGAAGTAAGATTAAGCTAAAGTGTTTAATTCAGATTCAAAAAATATTCATCCGTTAATATTGTCACACAATGTCAATGGTAATTAGTATTATTAATTATAGATTCTCGCTCATATTTATGCTAGATAAAGCCAAGTAATTGTTATCTTAAACTATAATAGATTCCTCTGGGATAGAACGCGATGATTCATAGCTTATACTATACTTTGAACAAATAATCTTTCTAGATAACATCAACACTTCTATCTTATGTTTGCGCTGATAACGTTACTTAAAAGGATAATGAAAGCTTTAAGACTAAACCAGCCAGCTCAGAGGACACACCTCCATCAAAACCATCGCTACTTACTCACTGAGATCTGTCACATCTCGTTGAGCATAGGTCTACGACCAATATCCTCCAACCAACTAGGCTCTCCTTTCCAGATGTTCCCAAGTGTCATTCATTCTTGTGACATATACATCCGATTCCTGGAGCAATATATTCCTTAGTCTGCTCCTATTCTTTTAGCCTTAAGGATTCCAACTTAGCGCTTGTCTCGTGATCCAGTTTGATAAAAATCATCCTACTGAACTATAAATCATTCTCCACCATCTCCATTCATTTTGAATCTACCAAATTTGCGATGATTAAATCTCGCATATTATTTATTAATTTATTGTAGAGAGCCATGTGCATATGATTAGTCACAATAAATCTGTTTCATTTATCATCAATAAAAGTGTGTCCTTATTATAATTTGCATTTCGAACTTTAATATACTGGCATAATAACAGTCGTTTGTTTCAAACATCTGCTCTAAATGTATACGCTGATCATTTCTAAAACTACATAAGGCCTGCAGTGTGTAAAATACTGCAAAAAACCGAAAATAGACATTTGTAAACGAACTAGTTAGTATCCACTAATGATATTTAATGCAATTCTAAAGACCGTACTTAATCTATTGATAAACCATGTGGAAACTAACTCAAGTAACTGAATGTAAAGCCATTTCATAAATAATTTTAGACCAAGGGAAATAAAGGTGATGAAGAATGATCTGAAACAAAATTATTAGACATGAGTTTCAAAACAAGTTAAATATTGGATTAACCATTTTATTTTTATCAGAATGCGTTTTGTGGAGATTTTTTAGAAATTTCACTGGTTGAAATCATGAGTCAATTGAAGCTAAACCACCATGGAAAACCTGGAAGCACTGGACGGCCGTTTCGTCCTGATATGGGGCTCCTCATGATTCGAACTAGCGAAATTTCGAAAAAATCTCCACAAAACCCATTCTGATAATCATAATAATCACCTGCTCACTAGTGACTGACTTCAGGAGACACTCCTGGAGTTCTAGTGAGAAGTCGTTACCAGTGGAGTTCAACCAGGTCTGTTGTGAGATAGGAACTCACTGAAGACAATGGTATGCGGTGGCGCAACTTCGTGGATTGGTTGAAGTTAGACATTAACACCGTTGGATACCGGGTCAGTGGTCTAGTGGTTGAGTGCTCGCACGCGAAACCAGTAGGTTTTGGGTTCGAATCTCGCAGGGGGTGAGGTCGTGGATGCACACTGCTGAGGAGTCCCGTACCAGGACGAGACGGCCGTCCGGTGCTTCCATGTTGGTCTAGCTTCAATTGACTCATGATTTCAACCAGTGACATTTTATTTTTATTCATTACAATTATTCAATGTCATTAACTGTTTTATATCTATTTATATCTTTATATCTATATTTTATTCAAACGAAATTAATAATTTCACTACCCTGTCATCGGTAAAATAAACTGTATTTTTCAAGGCATCATTGATTGTTTAGATGACTTTTTATCTACCTAAAATAGGGCTTAAAAATGCAGAACGAAATCAAAAGATAAGACAGTAGAACTATCCAATGTACAAACCTTATACATTATAGGTTTATCCGCGTCAGTATCAATAGGAATATCACTAGCTTTAATCCACATTCGTGAGGCTGTATGACAAATACGTACAAATGCATTATTTGGTATAAATCCATCACTTTCTTTATAATGACTTGTTGAATCCATCTCAAAAACAGTTTCATATGTCGGTTCTTTGGATAAAGTCAGAAAAGATTCGATACAACCATCATCTTGGTCTTGTTTACAAAAAGCACCTTGTTCTCCAGATTTATTGTTTATTTCGATAACCTTAAATAAAGAATTTTAAATGTTACATGAAACACTTCATTATTATCAAAATATCAAGAAAAACACTAACATTCTAACAGAACCTAGAATTAAGTTTTTGGATATTAGGAGAAATCAGTGTTTTAAACAAACACCATCTCAAAATGCAAAGTGGAGACATGAACTAATTTCCAAGTTACTGTTTATTATCTTTGATAAGTGGAAGATGATCAGTGTGGAAAACCACCAAAAAATGACCAGGGTACTGAGGTGGCATACTGAGACGTTAGGCTCCCTAACTTAACAATAGCACTAGGAAACCAGTTGACATCATTAACAGTTTTGATAATTGATTGATTAGTAACCCTTGACCGATTAATATGCTATGCTGAAATCTTCATATTTATCTTACCAGTTGCAATAAGTATAAGGAAATTGAAGTGGTATGTCATTTGTTAATTTATACTTTTTAAGTGTCAACAGATTTTTATGATAATTTTCATCCGCTCTACTTCATAATATTCCGAGAGAATCTATCAAAAGATTTCTGAGATGGGGAAAAATTGAACCATTAATTAACAGGAAAACATAAGAGAGAGGTTGACTATGAGTTGTTTTTCCGTTGACAGAGCTACGATGTTTCCCCGTCAGGTGGCTCCAACGACCATCAGTGATTCTCGTAGCTTATTATGTGTAGCTGCACTGGTTGAGGAATCAACGGTACTATCTGAACAAAATGTGGTCAGAGAGTTTAAATTTGTGTCATAGTGGATGACTAAACTTGAACTTATTAAGTAGACTAAACTTAGCAGTTTTTCCTAGTCTCTTGTATTTTACTTGCTATGATTGATTTGGTTGATGACAACAATATTATTTCAGTTAGGGAAAGTAAGATAGAAAATGTTTAATTTAATAATTTACTATGATTATTTATAATTTAATCAGCATAAGATAAACTTTACCTTAGGACAGAGATATAGTCCAGTAATTAAATGTTTTAAACGAAATAAACTGTTCCAGTGTCCAGCTCCAGTACGCCTACAATCCGAATGAATTACCTAGTAAACGCAAACACAATTAGAAATGAAGCGAGGTTTTCTACAAAATATTAATTGATATTAATTTGATTGCGCCCAGCATATGTTTAGACTCATACATTTATTGATCTCTCAAATGAACAAGACTGTACACAGAAAACAATCTACTTCCAGATACGTTTAAAACTCTATAAGCTACGTAAGACGAGTACACTTTTAGCAATACAATTATGATAGTCAGTGTAATTACTGGTTGATAAAACCTATGAAATTTTCAAGGTCACTTTATTTAGAGTCGCTCATGCTCATGAATTGGGTAAGGCTACAACCACAGATGCTAAATGATAGCTATAGTAAATGTACAATTTTTATCACACACGTATATACCACCTACATTCTTCACTATCATCTAAACATAACCATTATTCATGTTGATCATCATTACAGAAATTACATTTTTCTGGCTGTCAGTTAGAACGAAACAATTAAATACATAGTTTTAGAGCCAGTATCTTTCGTTGCCTATGATCATTCTAAAACTTTGTCGCGTTCATCTTAATTTACCACATCTAAAGAGGAAATATATTTTGTATGTCGTTTACAAACTTTTAAACGGTTCACAAATACAGCGACGTTTTTATGTAAACACAGTTAATTAAATAAAACAATAGACTCAAAACATTTTATAACATTACTACAAATAAGGATACATATTCGAAAACGATGCAGGACGTTAAAATCATTGAAAATTAAACGAAATGCGATTATTTACTCGGATACAAAAAAGATATATCAATCTACAATAATATTTGAGTATATAACTAAAAATTCGGCATTTGATAAGGAACCTTGAATAAATTTCTTGTTGTCTTATTATTCCCAGTTAGATACACCTTCCAGGTGCTAATGTTTTTCAGGAAACTTATTCCTAACATAATCGTCTAATAGAACCACGACACAACCAACAATAGTACCAACGAATCTTTCACAATCGCTCTTCTATCAACAGAAATTAATATGTGTCATTTATGTTATGCATTAACTCGGTTACTTTACTTAGAAACTAGGCTTTGTAGCACACGAGACCCTTAATAAAAGTATTCAGTGCCTTCTCAATAAGTCTGTAAACCGTCTCTTAGCAGTTGACAAGAAAATTTATTGTGGTTTTGACCAACGATGACACAATGTTAACTCCATGAGTATTCAATGAAATTATGAGGTGTCCCACTATTTCATACGCTAAAGCTGTAAGTCACAGAACTTCAAAATTTTAAAATGATGGTTTAAAACATGCCTTATGAATAATCCTGGTCAAATTCATGAAAACAGTATATTTTCTGATATTGTGCTTACGAACGGAATATAACATTTCCTAATTAACAAATGTATGTTTTAAAACCTTCAATAAAAGGAAAAATTATAAAAATCATGTCAGCTAACTAACCTCAACCTCCCACAAGGCTTTTGAACTTTTGGCTGTAGTGGTAGCTGCTCGAAATGTAGTACGCAAAAATACATGTAACTCATTTTCATATGCATCACAAGTGAGAAATTTTTCTGCTTCACTATGAAACAATCTAATGATATCACCCTAAAATTTAAATCAATTATATTCAAGTTTCACACTGATTACATCATAATGCAGTTAAGACAATATGATGATCCAATTCAATAATTATAAACAAAAGAACACTACAATACATTATCTTAAGTATGTGAATTCAGGAGAATATCTCTAGTTTACTTTGAAATTACACTAAAATCATTTGCTTAAGGGATTGTATTCAATAGAAAATTCTTCAATATTCAATAGAATGATCATACAATCTCAATGATAATTAGTTGCCATAAAACTGGTATTGATTAAAACTTATCCCTGTATGTAATATTACAAAGTAAGTTAAATTATTACATAATCCAATTTTATTATATCCTGATATTGTCAGATGAAATTCATTACAGTTTACAAATTAAACATATCTAACTGACTAATAATTAAAGTAGGCTATCATTTAACTTAATTATATATCTAGATTAAAGTTACTAGGTTTCAGATGTACAACAATAGGGAATCAATTTATGCAATAAAAATGAGCTGAAATAAGCATTTAAAAGAATATAAAATTAAATATGAAGAGTTACATTTAGAAACTTCAGAAAGTTACTTCATTTGTACTATTGATAACATTCATTAACTTCTAATATCACAATTGATTGATCACTGGATGGTGATCAATCTCATGCTTGTCTAGTCCTTATTAGTGCAGATCGAATGCTATCGATCATGTTGCAATGTGGCCACCAGTCTAGGTGACTCGACACTGCGGGCACTATGTATTGAGATTAGATGGTGGTTGGATGTAGTCAACAGGAAACCCTGGACCCGGGTTTCGTGCTACTTGGCACTCGTCAGCATTCGATCTGCACTAATAAGGACTAGACAAGCATGAGATTGATCACCACCCAGTGATCAATCAATTGTGATTACATCTCAGTCCTACAGGAGGTTAGTCACGGCTCGGATAGCTCAGCGGTAACGTCTCTGACTGTGAAGCTGGGTGACACGAGATCGAATCCGCCAGGGAGCACCAGTTCCCTCAAGATTACAGGTACACCTTGCTGACGAGTGCCAAGTAACACGAAACCCGGGTTCAGGGTTTCCTGGTGACTACCTCCAACCACCATCTAACTTCTAATATCCTTTGGATTATAATAAGTAATCTTCAAGATCTCTAAGTATCGAAACTTAATAGTAAGTGATTTCATATCCACTACATACTTTGACTTTCAGAGACTTTTTAAGATCTAATTTTACAACATCTAATATTGTAAGATGGTGGACAAGATTTGTAGCTGATGGAGTTTTGTTCTGTAAGCTGGATGGTTTAGTTGTGGGACTTACATCGTTCTTCTGAACGACATCATCAGCACAAACTTCAGGCAAAAGTGAAGTGTTCGATGTCGTTCAGAAGAACGATGAAAGCTCAACAGCCAAACCATGAAACAACAATTAATCCACCAAAAAAATGACAATAAGTAACTTAAATATAATAAACTGTCAACATTACCCCTTTCAATATATGTTCTAAATTATCTTGATAACTTAAATAAAGATTAATTTGCCAGCTGGTATTATTATTATTAATTTCATGATGATTAGTATCAGACATTAATTTATGCTGTTTAGTATTTGAATTAAGTTGTTTAATGTTCAATGCACAACCAGCACGACAGGCGAATAGAGTCACTTTATCCCCGATCACAACCTATGGAATATAATTTCAACAAAAAAACAGTTCATTATTCAATTAACTTTTAAAACATGTAGATGTTTTGCATTATATAGTGAGGTTTATTATTGGGATTACTAGAATAAATGATCATTCTCAAGTTACTGTTAAGTCAGTCAGTCAGTAACAACACAGAACTTCGTACCTACATACATCAGTCCGAGTTGCCATACCACATTAGCACACAAATACAATTGTCAGTTCAAATCCCATAGTGGTATAGGTAGTAAAAGTATAAGCGGTAATAGGAAACATTACAGTTTGGAGATGTTAGTCAAGGAGTATAATCCAGGGAAATAAATTTGGAAAGAGAAAAAAAAGAAAGGGACATGAAGAGTCCAGAAGACTAGAACTTTGGAGAACACAAAGAGTGGATGCACCTGCTCCACTGCAAACGATTTTGAGCCATGTCATTCAACATCTCTAACCATCGGTTGCTATCATCTCGCGGATCCCAGGTAGTCTGCACTAACCAACATGGCTCAGTCCACTTGTCAGTGACTTCATGGACTTGTGCCATGTTTTGATCTGGCCGCACCTAGCTTTCTTCCAACCTACTCCTACAAAATAAAACATCACACGTCGTGTCAGTCGGTGGTTGGGCGTACGTAACACATGTCCCAACCATCTCATCTGATGAAGTTTCACTACTTCATCAATTGATTTGCCATCCTTACCTAGTACCCGTTTCCTAACAACTGCATTACTTACTCGATGGTCCCAGGATATACGAGCAATGCTTCGAAGACACCTATGGTCGAATACTAGTAACCTATGAATATCCTTTACTCTTACCGGCTATGTTGCACTGTTAAGGGTTTATACGTTATATTGTTATCACACAAATATACACAAATAAAGCTCAAAATGGTTATCTATTACTTAACTTCTGTCAAATAATACTTTTTTGAAAACTTATATATTAAATTCTTGTTACTAAAACTTCACTTATTTAAAATGATTTACATGACCACTTGATATCATCTGAAGTCAGTTAAATAAATAAGAATTGATAATCGATTGTAAATAATGACTTTATTGTTAGGTTGTGGAATATCAATTACTGTTTCGTAAACTAATGTCTTGAAATTTAGAACTTAATGCTACAATGGAATAATGAATGAATAATTTTGACTGGTCACAATCAAAAACTACCTCTTGACATATTAACAAAATGATGTGAAAATCATGACAAAATAAATAAACTTCATTAAGGTTAGATAGTAATAAAAACAAACTTTTAAATTGGAACGTTCACACTCACTATTTGATCTTATTTCAATAGTCTTACTACTTAGTATCTATAATGATAGTTATTTTACTATTGTAATAGCAATTGAATTATAGTTTTAATTATTTTTTCCGGTTGGCGTTTTTTTTAACGAGTTAGTTTTCTACGGGATTGGATCGCTAACCCCATGCCCAATCCTTCTCCTTTATCCTGGCTTAGGACCGGCAGTAGGCCCAGAGGGGTTCCAGGCGGAATAGCAATCACCATAAATGAATGATCGTGGTTAAATTTTCATACACGAACAGTCACTTTCGCTATAGTTTGTGTTTATTTTGCAAATTAAATTAATATTCCTTAGTATTTTCTTATTGAGTTTCGGTCTAAGTACATACATAGTAATTTGTTGAGATGATAAAAATAAAAATTTTTTTACTTTATTTTATGACGACAATGTAAATTACTTAACCGATAACTGGGGAACTAAGAACAAATAAGAGTGGGAATAATTCAAGTTCTACTCATTAGAAATGTATGATACATAATGAAAATACATTTCAGACAATTTACATTTGATGAAGCTCATTAGAATCAGAAACGTCAGTTATCAAGCGACAAAATATCTGAATGGATAATTTTTCAAACAAACAAAAAAAAGCCTACTGATTTAAATTCAATCAGAAAGATTGGTAATAGTTTCGTTTCTTAACTTACCGGATCACCTATTTGTTTGTGTTTATATGATGGTTGAATTATAAACCATGACTCATCACCTTGATATTCTTCCAATGTAAAACGTACAGAAGCATCTTTAAATTCAGGAGATAATTGCTTTTTAGCTCGAAGTATTTTATTCGACTTTACGTGAAGAAGCTAGAAATATTAAGAGAAAAAGAAAACTACCTTTCATGTTAACACTTTTAGTAAATTGTAGTGGGAAAATAATAAATTATCAATAACCATAACATTTGATTATATTGACCGTAAAATATTTAGGATTGAATTCATCAAACAGTATGGCCATAGAACGTAGCATGCTATAGCTTATTCTATTCTACCTGATATGGTGAAGATGATGTGAGTAACTTCTGCCGTTACATCCCCTGATTCTAAAGTTTTCCTTGTCATGCTAGACAACATTGACGACACCAATTAAAGGAATTCATATGCTTTATTTATTCACAAGTTAATTACATTCCATTCACTTTACTCGACACAATGGTCTTCATTACTTGTTGCTTTGGAAGAAAATTAATACACTGCTAAAAAATTGTATGTATAAGCAGATTTGTGAATAACATTGTCAAGTTGTAGTTCTGTAAATCCGACAGAATTTGTCACTGAAGTCCCCAAACATTACCAATATCCCTTTGGTTGGTATTTCGCTTCACTATGTGCAACAACAGACATTGAAAAGCAGCTTACTGTCAGTTTCAAGACTAGTTGTGTTACGACTTATTGACCCTATTTCTCCACCTCATTTCTGCATTAAAAAACTGTATGCATATCTTCTGTTTGTGACTTCGGTTGTCATCACACCAAAACAGATGTCAAAATCTATGTGTGAAAGACATGCATATAATGTGAACTAAACCTTTTTCCGATGAATACTTACGCTTAAGCGTCCAAGAGGGGTCACAGGATTAGTAAAACACCAATGTAAAATTTCTTGAATGTTCCTTTTCTAAACTGAACTAGCTATTAAATCTAAAAATGATAAATCATAACAACTTTAACTTGAGTTGTTTACAAACATGATCTTCACATTATATCAGCATTTATTACAAAACAGGCCTTTCAAATACCTATTGAGTTGACTAACTTCTATATCGTAGACTCTGAACATGATCAGCCGTTTCGTCGCAATAACACACATACTATCATGTATGATCTGGTTTTTGACTAATGAAGCGTTAAAACTAAATTACAGATGACCGAACATGGAAACGAACTAAACAAATGCCTTGCATGTGAATTACTGTTTTAGTAACATAAGTGACGAGACCTCAAAAAAAGACAATCAGGTTTAGAGTTTAAAACGTCAAATATTAGTCAAAATCAAGTTTGCGGATTAAGGAAACGACAGATATATATTTAATGATACAGTAAACATAATTGTATTGGTTTCTATTCATATTGGTATTTAGTCAATCTATTATTTAATTTCAAATATTTAAAGTGATTAAGAATATTAACTCCGGAAGTGTACACATCAATAAACCGGTCACACTTGTTAAAGAATTTCTGGCTTTATTACAAATGTGATTCATTTAAACCATCAGTCATCCTATTTCCAGTCTGTAGTTTCTATATTGTTGATTGTTTATATTCTTCATTCCTAACACTTGGTGAACATTCTTGTAACTACCAGTTAAAAAACTTCCGCCTCGTATTACATTCATTCTCCCTACCTTACAGATTCGTTCGTTGACTAAGAGAATTTCTAGTAACAAAAGGCGTCCAAGCTAAAGTAAACTAACTGAAGACTGAATACTACATGTATATTTAAAAATCCTATTATTTTACTTATGTTAAACTAAAGACAGATGAATTCACTACAACCTTAAATCTAAATGTAGATAGTAAGAGAATTAGGTCAATTTTATGGAGTGGGCTTGTTGTGCCGTTGAAAAGAATAATCATGAAGTGGACAAATACTAAAAATAGTGTCATAATCCTTCGAAGAGCAAGAGATAAATAACCTTACCTTCATGAAAATGTTAAACTATTTAGGTTTTTTCTGCTGAAATTATTAAATTTATTAACTTTATGGTGTCATTCGACTGTAAACCTATGAATATAACAATCAACTAAATAAAGGTACGCATGATGAATAAACTTGTTTAAGTAAAATTCTTGCGATATGAGCGAATGATATGACGTATTAATTTTTATAAGCACTTTAATTTACCTTAGTTAGTAAGGTATAAGTTCCCCTACCCTTAGAAATAGAATTGTTTCAGTAAGATAGAATTCATCGTATGAAGTTAAGCGAACCTGGTTTTCACATAGTTTGGGAAATCGTCATTGTAGATGTGTGTAACTTTGATCCTTTAAATTATTCTAGAAGCATTCCGTTAAATTGTTCAATATTCAGTGTAAAGATATTGGGATTCAACTAATCTCAAAACAGTATAAATGGCATGGAAGATCAGTCGAGAGGTAGCTTAGTGGTTTAAGCGTTCATTTTAGATGGTTGAAAGTAGCCAACAGTAAACCATGAACCTAGGTTTTGTGATTTTTGGAGCTCGTTAGTAAGGCGTACCTGCAATCTCGAGAGAACTGGAAACTTCTGCCGGATTCGATCTCATGTAATCTAGTTTCACAACCTTAGAAACTACCACTGGGTTATTCTGGTAACAACTAACTCGCCGTAGAACCGGAGCATTCACAATTAATTTGTCATCAAAGAGTGACTAATGTTATGATTGTCTAATCTTTCAGTATATTCTGTCGGCTTTGAGTGGAAATAATAAAAATATTTAAAACCTAATAATCCCAATTTTACACCGTTTTAACTAATTTAACTTAAGTATTTTTGTTTTATCGGAAAGTTTCTTTGACAAAAACATTATATTTGATATAAAGTCGATCTGACGTAAAGGTGAACGATTGATAATATACAACATATGAGTAGACAATAACAAACTTGTAATTGGAACACCTCGTAACTTTACAGAACAGAGACAATCAGTTAATTACGGAACTATTTATTACCAGCAAGATGAAGGTAGTTAGAGAAAATAGGCCACTCACATGGTTAATAACTACAGTGAATTTCCCATAACCAAGAATAAAATCAGTTGTTTTTTGGAAGACTATGGGGCAATATTCTTTTAATAGCTTAAAGCTTTATAACGAAAAGTGGATTGACAATTATTCTGAAAATTGAACCACATAAAACGCTTGTTACACTGACAGCATTGTGTAGCGTGACGCTACATTAGACGAGTATAAACCAATCAAACGAAAGGCAATACCGAAATCTTGATGCCAAGTTTACAGTTCATTTTTTCACCCTTATTATTTACATCGTGTTCTTACAAAATAAGTAAAACCTCTGATAAGTCCAGTAGTAAGCTGATAGTTAACTGGAGCTCATCTTTCTTATGATGTGTAAAATATTTTGTAGAAACCAATTACGACTGGAAACTAAACGGTAATGAATTAAAAATTAATTTTTGTGCATGGATATTAATGATGGATATAAAATAAGCCTCAAATCCTTCTGGGAGTGTATGTGTTTACATACTTGTCCTGAATGTATAATATAATAGCGAAACTTAAAAAAAGAAAAGTAAGATCAGAAAAAGCAAAACATTCGACTTGATGTCAACAACAAAGGTATAAATTTACATTCATAATTACGCTATATAATAAAACTATTCAGTTACTACCCTGTTTACATAATGGCTGAGGGTGAAACCATTTTGTTAGTATGACAAAATATTTGGTTTCTTTCCAGTTAAGTTCAAACTTTATTAATTAGGCTAAACAGAGTAAAACAACGAGACCACGTAAATAAAGCTGGAATAGCAAATATTTTTTTTCACCTGGTTCAAGTCCGTAAAGGGAACCAACTGTATGAAATAAGACTATCAGTGATCAAATGTAATACCTTCATTAAACGTCAATTGTTTTTCCACAAAACTTTTCCCTCATAGTGATACATAACAAGCAATAGATACATCTTCTTTCTCAATGTACCGTTAAAAATACGAACAAATAAAGACTATACCACCCAGTGAGAGGATAAAACAATACGACCACCTTGTGAAAAACACAATCAAAGTGCTTCTAAATACCCATAGATAAAAACAAAGAAATAGCGATTAACTGTCTCAGTATGCTTCTACCCTCATTCGCGTTTCAGTTAATAAAACGTGCACATGATTTCCACCTCATAGTTAAACTATACCCAAAATTACCCTAATTATCAATTAATTTAGTTAGTTTTGTTAAGCATTCGTAAAGCCGATGACCTACACAAGCCCTTTAACTCAACTTAAACTCAAGGCATACTTCAGCAGTGCTCTAGTGAAATAAGTCGAAAGATATACGAATAAATGTCTAAGGACGTCGTCTCTTAAAACAAATCCCGACTGCCATTTTGATCCAAAGTATAGGAGAAACTTGGCAATCACAAAAGCCTTAGGTTGTGAAAACCTTTGCAACACTAAATAAAAATTACGCATACCCAGCCACATTCTACTCTTGAGAGTGATGCCGGTTATCATACGCGTAGGTTAGAAAATCCTGGTTGAGAGAAGATCGGGATACGCAACTGTGATCTATAGAACCACAGACTCCAGGTATTATAACTTCAAGGCTAAAATCAGTGAGATCACATCAATTTATGATCAACGATATTGGTTAGTATGGTCAAAACTTGATAGTAGTAGTAAACTTGTACCTATTTTTCACTTTTCTCGAAACCCTGAACTTAAAAGTATACAATATTTTGTATTCTGTAAACACATTTGTTCTCTTCGAATTAAATACCTCAAAGCCATATTTCGGTTGCGTTTGATATTTTACACTCTTTATCACTTTACGTTTTGTTACTTTCCTCCCCCGCTAAATAAATGTAAAATGTGACAAGAAACACACATTAGTGTTAGGTTCTACATTGAATATGACGACTTGACTGTCATGCTGCTTAATATCAAAACAACTAACTGACAGGAAAGAGTATTAAAATGAATATAAATGTAATGAACAAAGCATAGTTAAGTAAGGTTTTAGAAACTCAGAGGAAAAAAATAGTGAAACCATATTAGTCACTGCTGACACTCTTAATTTACGTTGGCTAAGTTCATTATTCACAGAGTTCCTAAGTTCCAAAAACCGTGATCACGTAGTCAGTAGCTATCTAGTATTTTTACACTAAAAACATCTAGCTTAACAAACACATGTAATGTTTTGAACTAATCAATTTTAGTATATTTGAATGAACACTGCACTCTCATTAAAGAGGTTAATTTTCCATAGCTACATTAGCTAAAGTATTTTGTTTTATCATTTTGATGCATAAACTGTGAGATCCCAAACATATTTTTATTAATAGCTAGTGTTTTTAAGATTTGAATATATATATATATATATATACATTTAGTTGTAGCGGGAATACAAGTTTCAACTTCTAAATTCAGATAGAAACGCATACAAGAACAAATAATCTTATGTAAACTTCGGGTTAGGAAATTCTCAGTAGAAAAATGTCAAGTACAGTGATTTAAAGAGCAGTAATACTAAGTTAGGAAACGGCAATACGAAGACAACATTTATTTAACACATAGAAATTTCGCTCAATACAAATAAACCAAACTTAGGACATACATGGCTTGTGTGTGTATGTCAGATGAATGGCTCGTTAACATTTATGTAAGCACTATTTAACTGAACAGCTCATCATTTAAAAACGTTTACTTGCTTTTTTATGCACTCATAACAGTTAGTAGCTTCACCAACCAACGAAATAGAGTGCTTTCATAGATTAGTTTTTACTATCGGGCCTCTCAGCAATTAAATAAGTGAAATTTTCCAATGAAGTCAACGCAACAGGTTATTAAAAACTCAAATCATACGGATACGAAAAACCGTCCGCCAAACTTTCAGATTATGCAAGGAAACGAAAACGTTGCGTACTAGGCAAGTCTTACAATAAGTAGTATTTGTTCTTTACACCAAATAGACCAACTCGAGCTACCTTGAAACAACAAAGGGATTGAACCTGAAGGTACTTGGCAATAAACTTCAGAATGCACTTCGTTAATCAAACTTACAAAATAAAGGTACTTCTATATTTCTATTCTGAAGAACAATCAAGCTTGACATACTGTTCTTTAAACTTAGTAACAAAATATGAATGACCCCAGATTATCGCAGGAGTTATCATGAACTGTTCTCTCTGAAATTACACTTATTCGCGCAGAATAGTCTAAATAACAGACAGCCTAAGCAGCAAAAAGATATTGAATACTGATTACAAACTTATTAAAATCAAAGAAATAGACAAACAGCAAGAACCTTCAACTTCTAAAGGAAATAAATACAACTGAAAGTTCCTTCTGATCAAAGTATCACGAGTATATATATATATATATATATACCGATTTGGTTCACTTTTGTTAATCTAAGTCCTAGTGTAAATATAAAATTCATCTCATTTTCTAAACCATATCACTGTGTTTGACGTCTCTTTATAAAAATAACCGAATATGCTATCACTATCAAACCATTAACCGAAACCTAAGACTTTTCCCTAGAGCTTTAAGTACTCTGACGCCTTAAGTACTCAAACCCGTCTTAATAACTACTCTGAACCTTATCTAACAAAGGCTCTATCAAGTCACCATATATAAAGAGGGACATAACTCTTTTCGGACAAGTCCAGATATCAGCAACCAAAGCAATACTTAGACCTAGAAATAAACCATACTCATCTCTCTTGGAAAAGCCATTAATAAAAAGGATAAAAGTGGCTACGACTACAATGTGCCACTCCAATCATCAAACCTCTATTTAAAAGAGTAATTATTAGACCTTAAAACTAAATCATAATTAACATGGTAACCGCCTCAAAAGCAGAACATGAAAGAGCATGTAATAAAACATTTTTGTGGTGAGTGTCCCCAAAATATAGAATCCACTGACCAAAGCGATAACATTTTAACCTCCCACAGATTTGTCTAAGGAATAACTCGACGTTTTTATTATTCCCAGCTTCCCTACTCTGCTTATCATTTTATTATTAGTTCCTTCATTACTCCGGACTTGTTAAGGATCGACTGAGAATTAAGCGTCCCTTGCTATATAGACTCAGAAGAAAAGGGACTAATAGTAATTATCTCCGCTCAAAAAAACCTAAAAACTATTTACCTGGATAATGTTACCATAATAAACTACGGACTCTTGTAAACGCCTTTGTAATTTGCTGTCCTGCTCATTATCACCCCCAAACTCCCCCTGTCGTTGACTGTCAGACTGAAATTTAACCTACGATTAGTTTATCTGGTCGAAAACGCGTCTCATTTTCTAAACAATTTTCATTTAAGTACTTTTGCATAGCAAGTATAAAGAACCGACAATCTATCAAGTAAGTGACCAAAGCAACACTTTACCCCTTGTTAACGACGTTGCAAAATTTCCTTCGCTATTGATCCGTGTTACGTTTGGTTTATTGCTGATTTGACTGGATTACTCACTAGTCAAAAACAAATCAAACAACTAACCCCTCCATACATAGCAATCCACCATCTTCATCGTTCGAATAAAATGTTACTTGATCTCCAAAGTGTAATAACTCGACGTTGTCTTCACTTTCAGTCCCAAAAATCATAAACATCAAACAGTTAAGAATTCGACGGACGTGTCTAAGGTGTTTTCGTGCTTGTTCATAAAGCCTCAACAATCAACAAAAAACAAGTCTTCAATACACAATATTATGTCACATGTGTGTATAAATTTAATAATTTCTTCCAGCTTCCTTCTTCATATCAACAACTAATTTTGGATTTTGTCCAAAATCTATAACTAGGAGATTTTCTGGAAGTATGATTTCTATTTGTTTTGTTTGCAAATATAGCTTAGCTTGTCTGGAGTTTGTTTAAATTTCAGGACTAATTTACCTCCAATTGTGTCACAGTAATTGATTTTATCACTTATAGTTAAAGAGAATAGAAAAGATACAGAGAGGGCAGATTAAGAGGTCAGAAAACGTAGAAACATTAAAGTGGGAAACGATATGTTTTATGGAAAAAACATGCAGTGGGAGAACGAGATACATTAGATAGAGGAAACCTGTATACAGGCAGATGTTAAACTATCTGACCTCGTCTAAACCACCTTACCGGTGGTCGGGCTGCTAACTCAACTGATTAACAATTATAAGTCTACAGACTAGTTGCGTGAAGACAATGGGTCCCACTTTCATCCTATGACTCTCACTTTATCCAGCTTCAGTCAACTCAACCCGTTACTCTATAATAAAAGTTGGCACCTATCAAGTTAGCCATTCCTCACCTCATAGCCTCTACTCTTTAAACGGCAGGTTTATTTTTGCTATACATGACATTTTTTGTTGCACTTTAGGGCTTAAAAACTGATCAAACTTATCGAAATAGTTGAAGATGCCACAGGTACTTGAAGTTTGACAAAGCTTTAACCAGCGTCAACTCCTAATACGAATCTTACGAACCAAGTGAACTCAAAAGACAGAAGCGAGGAAGTTCGAAGGTATATTTGAGGATCAACTGATCCAGATTGGCTAGCGATTGTAGGGGATGTTGAGCAACGCGTTTCCACTCGTGATCTGGTGCGGATGCATGACCGAACGCCTTCACCTAGATGAGTCCATTAAAACCAATGCGGTTAGCATCCACTGTCGAAGACTTACAGGGATATTTATTTTGGGGATTTATTTACCGCTACACAATCATTATATGCAAAGATGGATAGCGGCTAGCAGTGGAATACAGGACGCGCGTTTTGTCCTATTTGGGACTCTTTGTCTGGACGAATCGGCATCTCAAAGTCGATGCTTACTCTGGGGATCAAACCCAGTACCATTTGCTTCAAACGCCATCGCGCTAGTCAGGTGGATGGGAAATTTCAAACAAGCAACACTGAGTAATTTAAAACTTCACCCGGTTGAACAAGCAAGTGTTTATAAGGACTCAGTAGCTAGGTAGGTATCGCGATGGTGTTTAAAGCGAATGATACTGAGTTCAAGCCCCAGAGTGAATATCAACTCTGAGATGCACGCACGTCCATCCGACAAGTCCCAAATAGGACGAAACGCACATCCTGGATTCCACTACCGACCACTACCCATCTTTGCCCGGAATGCTTGTGAATTAGGGCTTTATCGAGGCAGTCCGCACAGTACGCACACATGCCAACAAGGGACTAACCAATTGCAATTCTTAATATCAATAAGAAAATTCAAACAATGCCAAGTTAATCTACTGAAACGATGTTTATATCCACAAACACTGTCTTCGTACTCAACTGAACTTGGTCGATTTGTTGAGTCATCTATTGGCAACAATTTCTGCCACGCATATTCCACACTCGGCGATACCAATGCACTTCCGTAAATGAGTATGCTTTTCAGAGGAAGTTCCTACTGCCTTTTACAAACTCCAGAATTTCAACAGACACCATTAATCGTCTTTTAAATGGTTGCTTAGGCCTGCCCCAGCCCACAAGTAGACAGCTGGAAACATTATAAGCTCACAACACTAAACAGCATTAGCTTCTTCTCTATTGCAATTAGACAGATAACTCACTAATCTTATGGATGCTGATCTACTAAGGCCGATCATACAAAGCTGAAAATTGGTCATAAAGTCTTCCCCCCTGAGATATGGAATGGATGGCTTCATCCTACGCCATCCTTAGAACCTCAGATATTCAAAAGGGATATAAGGTTGCGATTTCTAAAAGCTTCCACCTCCAGTGGATATATCCTTGACCATCAGTTGCACGTCGCAACGCAACTTTCATGAAGCGCGCCAACTGTGATACTGACTGGAACCATCTACATTCATATCTTATAAATTATCAACCCAGCTGAGTAATTTACTACAGTGGTTATTGTGTCATTTGTAACAATTTGATCTTACCTGTAAACTGGCATTCCTCATATAACAAACCGTTTTATGAGAATAACTTATTGTTATTATCATTAATATTACTAATGAAGTTTCGTAACAAACCTTTCATCATCTAAGCGGATTATGTCAGGTTACTTCATCATTAACTATCAGGAGACACAATTACTTGTACAGAACATTGATTTTTCCACGGAAATAAGTTAAGCAATAGTTCGCACAATAATTATGAGAAAATAAAAGACCAGTATCCATGGGAGGATCGCATAAATATCTTTTAAAGAGTAAGCCAAGGCTTTGTTTTTAAGGGAATTTTTGTTATGAAACCAATTAGCTATCTGGATTAAAAATAATAAAGGAGGCAAGTTCTTCAAATTTTAGGTTTCCTGTATAAATAACACCTGGATCGTGTGCTGATTTGAGTGTTTGTACTCTACTCTTATTTAAGTAACCTCGTGGTTAATGGAAATGCTTTCCAAAAGGTATGGTATCACATTTTTTAGGTTAAATGGTAATTGCAATTTTTCTCTCCAAAGAGTTAGGTTATTGAAGTCACTTTGAATTCCATTATCTCAAAGTTCGGCTGGGTCTATCGTCAACCAAGCACATCAATATGTGAAATATCAGTATTATCAGAGGCGTTCACACTAGCACCATGCCTTACATTCCCCATGTGGTGAGAAAGGTTCCCTATTCTTGTTGATATTGAAGCAGACGTTAGCTAACTCCGCACGGTCTTTAGTAACTATCGTTAGGAGACAATGTTCATCAAAAGAAAAGCACATGCATCCCAACGTGTGTTTACTTAAGCCAACACTTCGGACTTTTATTATTGTGAACTTTTCAGTGTTTATCATTGTCATGGATCTACTGGAGTAGATCCATACTTACTTGTCAACCTAGGCGAAGTAAGTTTAGTAGATGAGATATGTTGTGCAACATACTTAAGACGTTGAGACGATATGGTTACTTCATAAACTGGCGGTCTTTACATGTAGAAGTCACGTAGCGAAGTCCCATCACGCTTTACAGCTGCTTCTAGCTGTAACTACAGGGTTGTCAAATACACGTTGTAATGATGATCATGAGTTTCCTTCTTAAAGTCGAGACAGTTAGACTAATTCAATTCCTAGGAAGTATTTGGACGAACATATGGTAGACAATACAGTCGTGATAAGATGGGATTATCGTTAAATCCTCTATAACGACCTATAGGTTGACAACCATCTCTGTTCTTTTTATAGATCATATCCAACGGAGATTGTCTTTGACTATTAGTCCTAAATGCAGGATATGGTCGAATTCTTTTCTCATTTTTATTGTCATATTGGGAGCTAATCTAGCTCCTTTCTAGAATTCAGGCTGTCCCACTGTAGTGATGTAATATGTAACATTGGTGGGTAAATATGACAATTTCTACAATAATTTACTGGGTTTAGGGTATTTATTAATTGTTACGTCCAAGTTTTGTTTTCGTCCGTTATTGAGGCACAGTTAATTGATCAACTCGTAACCTACGACTCCAAATAACAAAAGTACCATATTCCAATTCAAGCGCAAGAGCTTATCCGTAAGTTACAAGTACTTAACCCAAATATGTCGTTCTAATAATATTTATAACAATCGCAAAACAAACCTTCATTTTTCGGGTCCCCAGAGCAAAAAACAGAGTGAAACCAAAATATCCGAGGTCAGGTATAAACAGAAAGTTCGAAATTTGAGCAAAACAAATACATCCAAAACACAAAGAAAGTGTTATTATTACAAAGGCAAATTTTCCAATCTTTTGGTTATTTTGACGTACAATTTTATGAAACTTTTCTCTTTTAAGGCATTTAAACTAGTACACTTCAAATGATTTAATGGTAGTTCCTTGAGCGTTGCATGCGGGAGTGAAATAGACTTGTAGTGTCAGTTATTATGCCAAGCCCATATACCTTATTCTGGCTTCCGGACATCCCATTTTATTCATTCTACTCGAGCCATACACTGACCTTGTTATTTATTCGCTTATCAATCTAGACTGTTTTTATATGAGCGTATATGTGTGTGCCCTTCTTATCCTATTAATCACATGTCTGTAGCTTTATTTTATCTGACTATAAATATTGAGTAACGCTTGACTAAAATGGAGTTGGCTTCCCAGCCATCTTTCATACGTGTCATTTTTGATTTGCTATGCTTCGTTCGCTTTATGTACGAAATATATGTATTCTCAAGTCAATCCTCGTTATTCGACTTATTTAATTCCGTTATTGGATAACGCGATTTAAGTCGACTATTATATACGAGAATCAGCGATGGCAAACATCCATACAATTATTCGTACAATCTAAACAGGAATCAGATCAAACGGGCCACTAAAGACTTATCTAGGGGCGCCAAAGTTCTGAGTAAGTTGAAGGCATCGTTTCTAATCAAGGCAAGGAAATGAGCTCAAATTTTATCATTCCTTAGCATCTCTCCTGGTCATATCCCAGATTTCAAACCTTCCTATGTAATCTTCGGAAGCTTCAGAACTTGAATGTATATCCAACCGTTCAACCACAGGCTCCATCACGATGCCAGCGTGATGAATAGAAGTATTTTAATTATTGTAATAACTAGTAATTCTCGAAATAGTGCAACTGAAGCTAGACAGAACTGAATGAGCACAAATGAATGTATTGTGTTTGGAACTCGTAACAAGCGGGTAATCAAGTACAAAAGAAACATTGGTTTGTACAAATAATACAGTGTAATGATCCAAATCTCTGTGAATCGAACAATCAGCTATCTGTCTAGACAAGCTTTGCTATAAGGTAGGTGTCTCCCAAAAATATATACAACCAATCAAATCAGTAATCATCGATGAAGAACAGGATCACTCGATATGACCACCAGAAATCAAAACTACGTAAAATGAAGATAAATCAGCAATCAAAAATGCCTAAGAATATCAGGGAGTTGATCACAATTCATAAAATATAGACGCGAGCGAGACAGTGGGTTTTGAGTTCGAATCCTATGAGCTTGTTCGTGGATGCGCACTGCTGACGAGTCACATACCAGAACGAAACGGCCGTCCAATTTTTCCAGATTTTTTATGGTAGTCTAGCTTCAATTGACTAATGAACTCAACTATTAAGATATCAATAAAGATTGAGAAAACAAAAGGCAGATAAAATATATGTGGATACAGAGAGCAATGGAGGACGCGTTACATGGAAAAAGAGAAACAAGGGAAGGCTGACGCAAATAATGTGATGATGAAGTGACTTTCTCACACTCGACTATCAACATGCCAGAGCGTCTTGCAATCAGAATCACTGCTCTATACTCACGGAGTAGAACAGGATAGGTTGTGAAAGAAGTTTTCATTATAATTGGCTCACAAGTGTATTATCACGACAAGAGAGGAAATATATGCAAAAATGTAAAACAAACAAAATCAAAATATATCAGTAGAAGTTATATGGAGTTATATAGGATATAAAATTAAAGAATTTTCTCCGGAATATTAAATGATACGGTGGACAATTGAGATTCTGTGGATACGACGGAATGAAATAATCGTGGTATCCATACCTTAGCAGTAACCCTTAAAACTAACAAAGCACTATACGGATTTATACGTATCACCCTCATCAAGTCTCCCAATTTCGTGAAGAACGGGGTTTAGGGTAACTTATTTAATTGTAATCAGTAAAGCATATAAAGGGGGGAATTCCACTTTAAATTTTTATTAAACATAAACGACCCAGAAGGGATTAAAAAATTGAGTATGTGATTATGAGCTTGTTTAAAAGGGAACTCCGTGACTAACCGCAGTAAGCTTCATTTAAAGTAATTTTACCCAGTTCTGTCACGTTCAGTCACCTTATTAACTGGTTATTGGAACAAATTCATAGGTTACCAATTTTTAGAATCTCATGGTCAGCTTGATCCTTGAAGTAAGAATCAAGACAACCGTGGAACACCAGCCCATAAAAGCATCTCAGTTTTTCATTTAAATTTTATACCTAATACATAACACACCAGAAATATGAATCCAAACAACGATTCGATGTCTTTAATATTTTTGAGGAGGTTCAAAAATAATGACTCAGTGATAAAATGACTCTTTGGTTCTTTATGAAAGTTGAGGTTGAAATGACCCGAAATTTAAGGCCAGCATGCTCAAGAGTGATAGGTAAAATACAGTTCTGGGAATCGCGAAAATTTGTGTAGTCTTTTGACCTCCTTTCGTAGCTTCTGAAGGTCGAATTATCAACATATCATCAGTTTCACTAAATAAAATATTCCCTAATGCTAACCGTTTGGCTATAAAATCAAAATCACTATTAGAGAAGGGATTTTGTTTTAGCTAGTCTTTGAAAATTTGGCGTCCTTATCGAACGTCTTTGGTCTTGAGGTATGTTATTGCCTAACGTTGTCATTTGTTGTCTGTTGACAACTCCCAGAATTAACACCATTTAATTGTAGGACTGTCTTATGGAGACATATTCTCAACTAAATCGTGCTCAGCTCAGTTATGACTATCTCCATACCAACTCGTAATTTCATCTCGAAATAACTGGATTTATTTTTAGAACGACACATGAATTCCTTTTCGGTGCTATTGCGGAACTTATTGATAATGCACGTGATGCTGGAGCAACAGAGTTGGACATATTCACAAGTGAGCTTTGAGTCTTCTTATTAGTAAAATTGCAGTTAAAGACAGCTCTGTGCGTGGTAACTTTCTTCTCTGCTTTGCAGACAACGGCTGCGGTATGACACCAGGTTAGTACAATTATTTTGTTTATTAGCTTAAGATGATGTGAAAAATGTCATAATTTTCGGGAAGTCTTTAAAGAAGTGTGAGGATACTGCCGCTATTGGTATGTATGGAAACGGCTTGAAATCGTAGGTTTGATAATAGTAATTATCCTACTATCTTTTATAGTGGTTCTATGCGCATTGGAAACGACTTAGTTTTGTTTACTAAAAAGGATGGTATTTACACCTGTCTATTCTTATCAAGGACTTTTCATGAAGAAGAAAAACTTGATGAGGTTATACTTTGACTCTTAATATTCATGTCTTGTAGGTAGTTGTCCCAATGCCCTCTTTTAGAGGTCCTGAGAAGACCCCTATCGCAGAGACTCCCGAGGATAAGAAAAAGGTAGGTTTGTTTTGTCCATAATGTTTCCTTAGCATGACCTCGAAATGCATTTAATCCTGAAGTACTCACCATTCCGCTGCCTAAAGGATTTCTATGCACAGTTCGATAAACTTAAAGACAGTTCAGGAACCGTTGTGATTATATATAACATGAAACTTCTTGATCATGGAGGACCTGAGTTGGATGTCACTACGAACCCACGTGACATTCTACTTAGTCCGGGACCAGAACAAGAAGAAACCGTTGAGCCTGATGCTGAGGTTATGTAAGTAGAATATTCATTTTCTCTTCTTAACAACTTGTATTTTACAAATGATCATTTGGTTGTTTGGCCAGTCATAGCGTAACCTGATATACGGACTGCCAATAAATGCTAGGTAAGGCTTGAAAATGTCCAATAAATGCAAACAGTCTGATCGTTCTGGCTCAGAACCCAAATTTATTTGAAGGGAACTAACAATGTGGCTGTAGAATACTGGTATTATAATTCCCTGGTTTTTATCCCTGTCAGTAATTAACTCTTCTTGTATACCATTTCCTTCCACTCATTTTCAATCGTGTTAAAATGGTATGCCAACCCCAACCATTATACTTGCGTACTAATTTGCACTAGGTTTTCATTTTCGGAGGCGTCAACGAATCAAGTTTAGGTATGGGTTACACGTACTTAGTGTTGTGTTGTAAGAGGGGTTGTTAACAGTGGATATTAGCATTGACTCATGATTTTGTTAAATCACACTAGAGCTCGATTAGTAATTTTGTATCAAAGCTAGCTCTCTTCTTTATGTCCTGTCTAGTTTATGAGGACCTACGTTTTCAATCTAAAGTGACTCATAGGGTGTAACCACTTGTGTATTGAAAATTTCCAAATGTAGCTGCCGGAATAGACTTTATCATCTGAGTTAACCGTAGTTATCACTTCCTGTAGCCATAGTATTAATAGGTGTGTGATGCAACCTCATCAACGATAAAGATTCCAAATTCTCGAAAGTAAATCTGTATATCAGTTGGACTATCTAATCAGTTAACACACTTTTTGCTTATCATCTGAAAGCAACTAAACGATATCTTTCCACCGTGAATAATATGAAAACTCAACCGTTCATATTACCCATTAAGTTATTGTTTTTTCCTTCTAACAAGCGGAAAATATTATACACGAACTTTTTTAATTTTCCTTTTTGCTGAACAATTAGAGGGTAAGTTTTAGATTTCATGTGCTTGATCTACGTTTTCCGTGTAAGTTTCAGTGTTACACCTGTTGTCATGTTCTTTTTCTTTATTTTCTCACTGGGAATTGATTACTAATGGTACTGACATTAAAACTTCCTATTCCTCATAACTTATGAATTATGAAAATAAAAACGAGTAAAATAAGCTTTAGACACGAATTAATCTCCCAGAGGCCATTGTTTCTTGGTTTTTTCGTTTAGACAACTGTAAACTCCCGTGGCTAAGAATCTAAACAGTACAATGTCACTGGTTGCAATAACCTTACGTTTTTGCTTTTTTCATTCCCACCACTTGCATGTATACTAGAATATAGATGTCATTTAAAATGATCTCAGTGGTTATATCGAAAAGCAGTACCAACCCATAAGATAACCGTCTGTCTCTGAGTTAGCGGGTAAAACTAGGCTCTTTGGTGTCAAACAGTAAAAATTAGCTGTAAATCTCCCAAAAACTGATCATGATTTAAATTCTCTCAACACTCCCCGGATTCTTGTTATTCTCTAAAATTGTTATGTGCGTATAGTTTCAACGGAAAATTATGATAGGAGTAAAACATAAAAATAACTGGAAAACGGTTGCGTTTAAGTAAGACTCATATTGTTTTCTGAAACAATAGTTTTGGCAAAAAATTGTAAACTACCTAACATGGGGCAACTGTTATAAATTTTCCTGAAGTGTTCAATTTCAGGCAGATAAAATCACCTCTCACTTTACTCGACCAAATTTTTTTATGATCAAACGAAATCTATCAAACATATCTAATACCCTCTTCACATTTTCTGCTGCCTTTCGAAGGTTTTCTCATTTCAGTTGCTATGAATTCTGTCTGTACAATCTTCTAAACTAGTTATAATTCAGAGGTTATGTGTGGATTGTTTAAAATTTCTGAATCCAAACTTTACATGTATGGGTATTACTTCGTAAGCTCCATTTTTATCGTTTGACCCAAGTATGACATTTAAAACAGTGAGTTATACCACTTGTCCACATCATAAAGCTGGTGTAACGTCCATTTAAAGATAACATCTATCTTCTAAATATGGCTTTTATGTTTTCAAATAGTTGTACTCGTATTTCAGAGATCTTTGGCGCCAGAATATAGTCCAAAAAGATAGGATACATTTCTGAGGTAGAACGTATAAAGTAGTAGAGAAAAACACGTGACCTAAGGACCCCACTAATGAATTGTAGGACTCTTCAAAATCCGGTTCATCACATGACAAATACACGTTATTTGGACATAAAAACGTTTTATCCCTTTTAAATTTCATAGAAAGGACAAATCAAGCTTACATTCTCTCTAAAAAAGCAACTTCTTATTTCATCCGTTTCTTTACAGTTGTATCGCTCTTGTCTCGATTTCTATTAAAGATTATACTCCTCTTCCTTACGTCCCGTTTTTTTCATTAATTTCCTCAGAATGTGTGATGTCACAACTTGAACTGACCCAAATGTACCTGGTCTTAAATCAACTAGAACTGGTTTTAATAAGTCTGGTATATTGTAAGTTTAAAGCGATAGGAGCAAAATAAATAAAGACAGAAGAGAAACACTCACTGTTTATAGTTTGCTAGCTGCTTCGTGAATGTCATTAACATAAAACTTAAAAGCGAGTGAGTAAATTAGGCAACTATCTCACTCGTTGGTTTCAACTTGTGGAGAGATACACTTGTATACTCCTATTTTGTATAGAGTTATCAATGTATTGATAGATCTTTCAGACAACGATTTCTAAGCTTAATCTCAACAAATTAGTCAGACTTAATATCAAGGAATAAAACTTTCTGGTTTATACTATGTGATGTCCAAGCATCTGACAAAGACTGAATGACTTGCCTAGCAGCCTTATAAACTAATCATTTACACATCAGAGAAAAAAACACGACATATAAACATCGATTTAATTTGATACAACAATGCCGAATAAAATTAAAACCTATATAGTTCATCGCCTCGTAGTAGCAGACATTGATTTACCTAAACTATTCAACATTCTTTTGTCAAATGGCAACTATACAGATGCACGCTTTCTTCCTATTCGAAAAGTTTATGGATGACTTCAATGTTATTTTAGTACCAATAAATAGTTACTAATACTCCCATTTACTCTAACATCAAAATTCTTCATGCTACTGCTAAACTGAGGATTTTCACACTATCAACTAGTTTTCTCTCTATTGAAATTTTTTTTATCTTGCACCTTACTCACTACTTGTTTCTAATATGATTTAAAAGTTAAACCAATTAATCAACCGATTGCATTTTTGTCTAACAAGTCTTTGTTTGCTTTCCTGACCAAATGTATATTGTTTCATTTCAAATCGTATATTATATAACGTTAGGCAGGTACACAATACATATCTTTTTGTAAATTTTCTCTTTCACCAATTTTAGGCTTCCACCAGAAAGACGTAGTCTTCGAGCTTATGTGTCAATTTTATATTCTGATCCACGTATGAAAGTATATTTACAAGGACGAAAAGTCCAAACTAAACGACTGCTAGCAACATTGCATAGTACTAGAAAGTATAATTTTGCAAGCAAAACCTTTCGTACTAGAGCTGAAGCAGATTTAGCAAAAGCTAAGAATGATGTGAGAATAGGTAAGTTGTGATAAATGCATTCGGAAATAAGACTTGATTTCCGACACATACATGAGTTATTCAAACTTTATCCCATATAATTCCTCTAATCTAGATAAAACTTTATATTGTCTTTTTAATCCAAATCATTTCTATTTAGCACCATAAAACTTAATAAATTTTAGCTCGAACACATCAACCCCTTAGTGACTTCCAACGAAAAATTCTCAAGTATAAAAACTGTGATATCTCCATCGCTTATCAATTAATCTTACCTGAAGTGCTATCAGTAGCTTGATTGGGGAGATTTTGTGGTTAAACTACTCCATTGAGCATATATCTTTTTGTGAAAGCAAACAACACTTGTATTCAACCTGAGAACTGTAGGTAAGAAGCGCCTCTTTCATCCAAGTGATTTTAAAAGTATAGGCTCCACAACAGATCGAATAAATATCAAAATGATTGTTGTTTTGGTATTGATATGTTTGGGCAAGAAGAAAGCCTAAAGTTCAGATATTAATTGGTTGAAGTGTGCTGTCTATGAATTCGATGTCGTTTATGATATTTAAACTTGTTTATTCTTGTGTTCAGTGTTTTGTACATAAGCATGTTATTTTATCAAAAAATTCTAATGGGCACTTGTTCTATCTGTTCAAATGAGGTTTCATAAACAATCACTAATCGATTGGTGCGTTGTATTCATTTCAGTCAGTCAGTCAGTCAGCTACAACGTAGGACCAGGCACATATGTGCATCGGTCCAGGTTGTCATACCGCATCAGCACAACTAGATGAACACCGGATTCATAAAAGTAGTTAATTCAGATGTGGTAATATATAAAAGAAAGATTGCATATAAGGATATAGTTTAGGAAGAAAGGATTAGTACATAGAAAGAAAGATATGAAGCGATTTTAATCTCTTAGTTTAAGGGAAGACAGGGAGTGTATACACCGACGCCACTGTGATCGATTCTGAGCCATGTCACCAAGAGTCTCTAACCATTGGTTACGATAGTCACGCAGACCCCAACCAAGTAGTCTGCATCTACCAACATGGCTCAGATTAGAGGTTAGTGACTTTAAGCACTGATGCCACGTTTTGGTTTGGCCGCCCCTAACTTTCTTCCAACCATCTCCAATACCGAATAGCATTGCACGTCGTGGTAATCGGTGTTCAGGCATACGTAACACGTGGCCGAACCATCTCAGTCGATGAAGATTCATAACCTCATCAACTGATTTACCATCATTCCCTAATACCCTGCGTCTAACCTCACTATTACTTACCAGGTGATCCCAGCAGATGCCAGCAATGTTTCTAAGGCATCTGTGGTCAAATACTAATAGCTTACGAGTGTCTTCTACTCTTAATGGCCATGTTTCGCTGCCGTAAAGTAGAACAGAACGGACTGCCGCGCAGTATACCCGTCCTTTTATTGATAGACGGATATCTCGCCTTCGCCACAGGTGACGCAAATTGGCAAAAGCCAAGCGAGCTTTTCGAATCCGTGCTGAGATTTCGTCAGACACCAACCCATTAGGGCTGATCAGACTTCCAAGATAAGTGAAGTTGCCAACGCGTTCGACTACTTCACTCCCTATCCTTAGTTCAGGTGTTGACGCAGACCAGTTCTGAAGCAACAACTTGCATTTAGAGGGAGAGAAGCGCATTCCAAACATTCTGGCATTGTTGCTTAGTGCTACCAAAAGACTCTGCATTTTGTCAGCGTCTTCACCAAACAGGACTATGTCATCTGCGTATTCTAAGTCGATAAGTGGACCTCCTGGATGGAGATCAATACCCGAGAATTCAGTCGACGAGAAAGTTATTTCCATCAGTAGATCTATGATGAAGTTAAACAAAAATGGGGAAAGTGGACAGCCTTGACGGACACCACTTGATGTTGCAAAAGTTGATGACAGTTCGCCATAAGCTCTGACTCGACTAGTAGTGTTCGAGTAAAAAGCCTTCACAAGGTTTATGTACTTCTGTGGTACGCCTTTCAATGACAGACACTGCCACAGAATCTCGCGGTCTACCGAGTCAAATGCTGCTTTTAAGTCGAGAAAGACCACCATTGTCGGACGTCGATAAGTATGCCTGTGTTCTAGAATCTGACGGTGGTGGTTTCGACTACCTCCAACAACCACTACATCTCAAAATGGTGAGATTTGTTCTAGTAGTTTACGGATTCTCTTACTAAAAGATGTGATTTAGTACATAATATATTGATAACCACACTTAGCAATTATATGTTTATGGTATAGTTAGTCTTTCCAGTGAACGGATTTTTTTGCATTAAACTAAGTTTTATGATAATACTAGTGTTCTCCAACTATATTATTTGTTTAGTAAAATGGTAGAGATGAGATGTTATTGTATCATGACTTTTTTCTGCTTGTACTTTATTCTTCTCGTTTAAGCTGAACTTAGAGCTCAGGAGGCGGAAAGCAAAGCGAGGGATTGTGAACTTCGTTACCAAGGTTCTGAGGATCCCGAACATTTGGTAAGTTTTGCTATTCGAACTGCATTTTGTTTACATATGGCTATGGCAAACTGTTACCGATAGAGATACTAGTCAAACTATATCTGTATTCAGAAGTGAAGATTTTTTATCACTTGTTAACCACATTTTTACATTAAAGTCACTGTAGAATATTCAATTTAGCGCTTTAACCGGATCCCAAACCAACGGTGCACATGGGCTCCAGTGTCCTGCGGGAACAAATGGTATATGAACCAGTTTCTTGGTCACCGGCTACCATGGGACTGCATCTCCTCACGATGCTCCACTACCTTGTGGGTTAGACCTTTAGGTGAAAGGCTCGGGGTGTGGCCCCCTAAGAAAACCACCTGCTTCGGTCTGAGCACCCGGGCAGTATCTCAGCCCACACACAAAACATGATGTGTGGCGCATATATATTTGTTCAAATAAGTAAATAAATAAGAGGGTATAAATCCCTATTGTTAATTCATTCTTAAGGTTCACCTATATTTCATTCCATAATATTGCATACTACTGATTTGTACTTTGTTAATAATGCTGTTAATAAAGTCGCCTGACAACTATTTTCGGCGGCTGGAAAGCCAGAATATACATGATTATTTTATATAATGATTCTTTTGGCTTCACGATTTTGATAAATTATCTATCAAAAACCCATATTCGAATTTGTTTGAAAGTGATCAATTTAACAACCCCTTTTCGATGAATGTATTACTTGGATTATCAGAATAGTTATGAAAATTCAATTCAAAAAGTGGTAACGGTCATCAAACACGATATTTTTTCCTTTCAGCGTCAAATACGTCGTCTTCGAAACACCGCTGCCGACCTACGCGGGGCTGTAGCGATGCGACAGAATGTTGTCACGCGCAAACTAAAATCAATCAAGGATCCGAAAACACTGACATTTTATTTTGGTGTAAATGTTATGAACCGCGCTTGTGACGGTATGTTTGTTTATAATTGTTCCCGTCTAATCAAAATGTACCAACGTATTGGACCACAACAAGATTCAAGTATGATGTGCCGTGGTGTAGTTGGGATTGTCGATGTACCCTATATGGTTCTTGGTGAGTACTTATTCAAATAAGTTGTACCTGTATCTATAATATAATACTGGTCTTCAATGATTTGGGATTTAGATCACTGGTCTGTTTAACAGTTACGTAAATATGTTGTGCATTGACCGTGTGATTCCTAATACTCTATTGCATCATTACGTGAAAAACATTGCTTGACAGTCTTCATCAACGTGTTTCAGCTTCAATTTAATTTTATAAATCAAAATATTATGTGATATCTAACACACTGTATTATATAGGTTATGTAATTTGCAAAGATTTTTTTGTGAATTCCTAAACTAATGCCTACTGAAGAGCCACTGACAACCACTAAGAGTTAAGCAGCTGTTTTGTCCTAGTTCGGGATTCCTCAACAGTATCAAACCCACGACCCTACACAATATAAAACCCATAATCATTAGGCTTCACGGCGATCAAAATATTTTAAGTTACTCGATTGCATTCCAATCGTCTACATTATAAGATAACACTATCTTCATCTGATATCGCCATTGATAAACTTTCATTTCCGAATCGGTTGACATCATAGATCAGAATTACACATTATAAACAGTTCTCATTCCTTTTATATGAATAAATCATTAATTGGTTACTTGGCCATTTATTATTTATTTCTTTATTAAACATAAACATTGATACAAGAAGGCACCAAATACATATGCTCCACACAAATCATTCGATCCTTGTAAGGGCCCGAACACTGCTCGGGTGCCCAAACCGCAGCATGTGGTTTTCCTAGGGGACCACTTCCCAAACCTTTGACTTACAGGTCTAATCACAAGGCAGTGAAGCAACGTCAGGAGACGTAGTTCTATAGTAGCCGGTGGCCAATAATTGGTTCATACGCCATTTGTTCCATCAGGCTCCTGGAGCCCGCGTGCACCATTGGTTTGGAATCAGTTTTCCAACTCCCGTAGGTGAATCCTCCATATCCACCAACTATATTAATCGTCGAACGATCAGTTGAGTGGAACTCGTCACTGTACATCAACTTCATCGATTATGAAAAGGCATTTGACAGCGTAGACAGGAGGACATTATGGAAACTCCTTCGACACTACGGAGTTCCTGAGAAGATTGTCAATATTATCCGGGACTCATACGACGGACTACAGTGCAAGGTCGTGCATGGAGGACAGCTGACAGATGCATTCCAAGTAAGGACCGGAGTCAGAAAAGGCTGTTTACTATCTCCCTTCCTCTTTCTTCTGGTGGTCGACTGGATTATGAAGACCTCGACATCTGAGGGAAAACACGGAATACAATGGACAGCTCAGAACCAATTAGACGACTTGGACTTCGCAGATGACCTAGCCCTCCTATCGCATACACATGAACAAATCCAGATAAAGACAGCCAGTGTAGCAGCAGTCTCCGCATCAGTAGGCCTCAGCATACACAAGGGGAAAACCAAGGTCCTCAAATTCAAAGCGGAGAACAACAATCCAATCACTCTTGATGGCGAAACTCTGGAAGATGTAGAATCCTTCACATACTTGGGAAGCATAATCGATGAACAAGGAGGTTCAGCTGCAGACGTAAAGGCGAGGATTGGCAAAGCAAGGACAACATTCCTACAATCGAAGAACGTATCGAACCCAAAACAACTGACAACCAATATGAAAGTGAGAATCTTCAACACGAATGTCAAGGCAGTTCTACTGTACGGAGCTGAAACTTGAAGAACTACAACAACCATCATCAAGAAGGTGCAAGTATTTATAAATGGTTGTCTACGCGAGATACTCAACATCCATTGGCCGGACACCATCAGTAACAGCCTTCTCTGGGAGAGAACAAACCAGCTTCCAGCTGAAGAAGAAATTAGGAAAAGACGATGGAAATGGATAGGACATACAATACAAAAATCATCAAACTGCACCACGAGGCAAGCCCTAACATGGAATCCTGAAGGGAAGCGGAAATAAGGTCAAAGAACACATTACGTCGGGAAATAAAAACAGATATGGAAAGGATGAATAACAACTGGAAGGAGCTAGAAAGGATTGGCCAGGACAGGGTTGGATGGAGAATGCTGGTGGTTGGCCTATGCTCCTTCACGAGGAGTAACAGGCGTAAGTAAGTAACTAAGTAACCAACTATATTGTTTCAATTCACTCACGTCACAACAGAATGTTGTTCGCGTCATCAGAAAAAATGTCTAATATAGTTCTACAGATCAGTCAGTCAGTCAGCTACAACGTAGGACCAGGCACATATGTGCATCGGTCCAGGTTGCCATACCTCATTAGCACAGCAAGATGAACACCGGATTCATAGGAGTGGTTAGGTCAAAGGTGGTAATATATAGGAGAAAGATTGCATATAAGGATATAGTATAGGAAGAAAGAATTAGTTAGTAGAAAGAAAGATATGAAGTGATTTTAATCTCTTAGTTTAATGGAAGACAGATGATCTCGAAAATAAGAATAACATTATTTTCTTTTTTTCTCTCAACTTTTTTGCTTTTCGAAATTTTTTATTCCGTCAGAACCTACACATAACAAGCAAGATTTTGCTGATGCTAAAGAATATCGTCAACTTATGCGTGCAATGGCGGATCATTTAATGCAATATTGGGATGATCTTGGGATTGATAAAGAACCAGACAGTTTAATACGATTCTGGAAAAGTTTTGGCTATCTATCAGCACGCTGGAGAGACCCACCTAGTGTAGAGGAAAAATATGCTCGTCGTCGATGTTGTTCTGTCTCCATTTGTGTTCAGTGTGGTAATCAGATATTTTTGTTGGGTTTAATTTTCCTTGATGAGTGTATAAGCCCATTTACACTTATAGTACATTCACCATTTTCACTGTGAAGCTTCACGAAATTAATTTGCCGCTTATTGCGTAATTTACCTTTTCAACCTCTAAATTTCCACATTTTTGATCTCAGGAGCCAACTTTTAGTGTAAACTCCAGTCGTTTTAGTCAGTATTTTATTTTATCGACTGCACCTTATATTTGTTCTCATCTAGATATAATGATGGTTCCGTTAAAAGATCTCGTTTTTTAGTTTTCGGTGATCCCATGTTAACAAAGACTTAAATCAACCTACGAACTTGCTCTTCGTTATTAATGTGTAAAGTCTTCAAGAAAATGGAGAAAAACTGCGAAAAAAATTAGGAGGATATTGTTTATGACCTAGTTCAGTCAGTCACAACCTAGAACCTGGTATGTAAGTACATCGATTCAAGTCGCCATACTCCTTTAGTACACCGAGATGAGATTCTCAGGCTAGATAAAAACAGATGAAAAGTAAAGAGGAATTAAGAATCTCAGAGTTTGGGGAAAAACAATGTGGAAACATCTGCTTCGTTGCAAACGATGTTGAGCCGTGCCATTCAAATTCTAACAATTTGGTTACGATAATCACTCTAACACTAACCAGCTGCTCTGCACCTATTAACATGGCTCAGTTCAATTGTCAGTAACTCTATGGACTGATGCCATGTTTGGGTTTGGCCTCCTCTGTCTTCTTACAGCCTACTTCTACACCAGAAATCATCACATGTTCTGAGCCAGACAGGATGAATTTTTGAGCATTTATCAGTTCTGTGGGCGCCGATAAAATTCACTGATTTGCCCTAACCTTTTAGCTTAAGTTATTAGTAGATATCACTTCTGTTTCCTTAGCTTTTCGGATATCATACCAAGCCACCTCGGTGTGGTTATCATTTTCATAGTTGACTAGCTGCTCTAGTTGTTCCTGAAATATATTCTTAACTTTTTTCATCATTACGTTGAACTCTAAAGAGTTTTCTTGCTGTGGCTTTTCTACACCGAGCAAGACGCAGACAAATACGTGCTCAAACTAGAGCACGATCTGAGTGTAAATATATGCTGTAAAATGAACGATAGTCTTCAATAGAGCTCATCCGACGATGGCTCATGACAATGTACTCTATTTGATTCCATCGATGAGTTGATTTTAAAGGTTGCCATGTCAGACAAAGTTCCTCCTTATGTTTGAGGATGGTGTTTGCCGAAAATGGATGGTTATCTGAGCATAGTTGCAACAAACGGTCGCCACTATCTGTTCTCTGAGCCTCAACACCATAAGATCCGCTCAAGTTCCTTTCAGTTTGGTTTAGTTTATGTAATTCAGCAATAAAATAACCTGTAACTATAACGACATCATAGCGTTTAGCTTTTAGATGGAGGTTGGATAACTTCCCATAAAATCCATCTTTAACTTCATCCGACCTGCAATTAATAATGGCGCAGGCATAGATAACGAAAAGGCAACGGCGTGCGTCCCTATCTTTTTGAGTTCTTACTGTTCCATTTGGTCGAACAGCTCACAAGCTACCCTCTAATGGAATCGAGTCTAGGAGATCTTATTCTGCTTTATAACTTAATGCTACATCTACACCTGCGAGGTTACCTGAAGTAGCAGTGTGGTCTCCAGATACTAGGACGGGCAAATTGTGCCGGTTCTTTATATTCACAAGTTGGGGTCAAGTGAATGACTGTACTTGGATCCTAAATGACAAAATATAAAGTAGTCATGTATGTGTCTTTATCCTTCTTTCGTTTTCATAACTCTTCAACCAAAAGACGAAATCTCTGTTGCTCAGTTATCACTGGTTTTGGCTTAGTATTGTCTCTGACATTATCTTATTCAGCTTTATGACTAAACGTAGCACCGCCAATAGATACCTATCTTTTTCATTCCACAGTATCACATAAAACTATCTATCTTTCAGGCTTCACAAATCAAGCCTGGCGTTAGCGAGCTGCACAGAAGCAGTTTTTCGAATGATGAATTACTGGATAGTTTTAAATGGAACTAAACTTTAAATTTATTTTAAGGAATCGAGGCTATTATTTCGACAAGATTTATCTGCTCATTGTAACAATTTTGTTGTATATTATAACACACACTAGTCCGAATTTGAAATTGTGAAGTATGTTTTAAAAGAAATGTCGTTTCTTCATTTATACAGCTGAATGTCTGTCAGGTAACTGGTCAGCAAGGAAAACATACTAAGTTGCTTATCTGCGGTAAATACACAGAATTTTGGTGTTTACCAAAAGCAGATGACCATCAATGAATGATCCCACTAATTTGTTAAAAATTTACATTTTTATTTGTCGACACAAACATCTTGTGTAAGATATCCTAATCTACACATTCAAGTTTTTATATAATACCAAAGTATGTGTCGCAGCTTTGAATCTTCTGCTTCGTTAGTATCTTTGTTTGCCTGCCTTTCTAATGTCTACCAGTTTTAAATTCTTATAAAGGGATCATTTCATCTCGTGAAATGACTGGTGGACATAAAGTTCATTCATTTTTGGTCTAGCATGTTGCAAATATTTGTCATTGATATATCGATATATTGTGATACTTTCTATTTCCTTATTTTTAAAAAGCATTACTATTTTTCAACAAATTGTAACACTTTTCGATTGAGTAACCTGTATGCATACGCAGTAGAACACGGTATTCCTACTTGAAAAATGCATTCAAATCGGAATCATTCTAAAGGATATTTTATGAGGTTTCGTATTACTCTCTGTACAATCTATCCAATTTTTTTATATTTTTTCCTCTAACCGACCATGTATGAATTACCGGTGTTTTTTATGAGTTTCAACATTGTATAGTTTTTCATCTTTCAGATAAATGCTTAAAATGGAGAATACTTCCATTCTCACAGAGCCTTGTCGGACGCGATGTTCCAGATAATTGGCAATGTCGTGATAATCCAGATCATAAACATAAAAGGTTGTTGCATCTATTTCATTCACCATTTTCTTTTGATAAATTTCTTTCACTTCATATTACTGATATGTAAAATTAATAATTTTTGTCAAGCTACTCTATTAGTCCAAACTGGTGTGTATTTGTGTTTGTACGCACATTCCAACATCATCAACATATTAGAATTCTGTGGAGTGTTGGTTGACAGTTTCTGATGTAGTTTGGTGATTCATTGTTAAAATTAATAGGAAAAAAAGTAAGAAACTAACAAAATTCAAGTATATTTGATGCTTTTTAATTACTACTGTAGTGAACGAAGACCTGGTGAGGATAACCAATTTATTGCTTAATGTACAATCATATAGTGGTTTATTAAAATGTGAAAATCGCATATCTTTAAATAGTCTCTTACAAGCTTCATTGTTCCTTCATTCCTGTTGTTATATTGATTGCTTCCAGTTTCCTTCTCTCTTTTGATTTCAATCTTCTCAACCTTCTGCTCACAGATATTCCACTTCTTACTGTTACATACTACTTATATCTGTCAACATAAGTAGCATACACCACACTACAATCCTTAAATTAACTTTACAAATACAATATATCTGGTTTTATTTTCTGAATATCATTCACAACTCAAATTCCCATTAGCTCAATAGAATAAATTGACACAATATATTACAAGTACACTTTATAAATCTCAACAAAAATCCAAAGCATGATTGTAGTGTTCTACACCTAAACAACTAAGTATACAACAATAAATGACCTTAAGATACAAGACTCAAAATTTAGTTTATAATAATCTTTTCCAGGGATTATTGACTTGTTAATGAAATTGTATTTACTGTCTTTTGAATTCATATGAAACTATTTGTAGCGTAACATTGTACATTCATTAAGGAACTCCGGTAAAAATTAGCTTTAGATTGACGTTATTCTTAATTAAAAATTAGATTACTTTCAAATAGATAAGAAATGATATAATCTCTACGACGTTTTATTAATAAAACAAGTTTTTATTGTCATATAAAGAATATTGAACTGGTGACTGGTTTTAACATTTGGTACTCCATTTTATGCTTCAGTTTCAAACTTCACTTCACACACCGATTATATTAACGTACACCTGGTTTCTAAGTTAATTTGAATTGATGTACTGGGAAAAATACACATAATTTAGATTCATAATACAATATCTTCGTTTCATATCGACCAAGACTCAAATAAGCGTTTGCACCTTGTCCACTGACTTTGTGGATGTAGATTTTTAACATTCCCGTAATAGTCTTAATCGATTCTCCTGTAACCTAACTTCCATCTCTCACCTTTTCTTAATGTTTCATAACATCATAATATCACTATTTTGATGCCCTCGGTGTACTGATTTTTTAAAATAAATTAGTCTGAAGTAAAAAGCTGTTTTTAACGATCCCTGTTTTATTTATCAAGCGTCGATACTAGGCGTTAAAACACTTATGTGTAACTGTAATTGGCTTCTTCAACCCTCAACTTTTCTAATCAGGACACCCTTACAGTTTCTTCAAACGGGGGCGCATTTGATGGTCTTTGATTTATATATACATACCATGTAGGGTTTGGTTACTGAATTTAGTCAATGACCAATTTTTAATTAACTCATTGACCTGGGCTACCAGTTGTTTGCTAAAGCAACGTAATGTTTATTCGTCTAATTTTTCTTTGTCCGATAAATTAATAAAGTGATGTTAACGTTTTCCTTGTTTTATCTACTCTCTTGCTTTCTAATTTAAACATTGTTGGTCAATCATCACTTTGAAGATGTGAGGATCCTGAAGAAGATATGAGCCCACCAATGGGAGTCTTAAAGAGGAAAATTAAAACTAAGGAACAAAGACAGGCAGAACTCGAAAAACAAATCCGTAAAAAACAGGTAAGTATCTATTCATACTGGGTATTTACATCGTACATTTCATTCAGTTAACAGAACTACTTTAGACATGACTCATATGTTAATAACATTTTATCAAGTCTGCTAATTGAACTCTCGGTCCGATTTTCTAGCCGCCTCTAATAATCTCAGACTAAATCTATATAGCAACTTGGACAGAAGAGAAAAGGTGCAAAGTGCTAAAAAACATTTACTCCAATGCACGGAAAACCGTGTGTATTTATACTATTTAACCTGGCCTGAGCAGTTCCAAAAGCATACCTTATATGATAATAAGATAACTACCCAATCAAAAGTGAAAAAGGATCTGTCATCATTCTAGATGTTTTAGAGAATCTTCTACTCAATACCGGCTGAATAAAATGTTTCCAAGTGTTTTCTAGACCCACTGACCTTTCTGAAAAGTATTTTGGAACTGCCTAATACATTTATTTCTAGTTTTTTTCATGTTTTGATGCAACAAGTTATTTAATTTGCTCTGAAAGTGTATCTGTCTAAGGATGATTCATTTTGAACGCTCTTATATGTTACTTTATTCATGATCACGCTTTGATTTTTGACGATATTTCATTCCATTTTATCCGTTTAGGAAGAACTTGAACTTATTCAAGATCCTGATGATGAAAAAGCTGACGATTCCAGTGCTACTACTCGTAGTGGTCGCCTAAGTGGCTCTGGGAGTTCAGCTCTCTCAAAATCTCCTCGTAAACGCCCACATCCACCTCCAGCTATCTCGGATCTCCCCAACAAACGGTCTACTCAATCCTCTTCCATTTCTCGAGCAATGACTGTTGCAGATAAAAAACGTCAAGCTGGATTGTCGTCATCAAATGGCCCTGTATCGTTATCGTCCCAAAAACGTACTGGTTTACCACTACCTACAAGTAACCAAAGACAACCACGCCCCAGTGGTCTAGTCCCTAAAGCTCAACAACGGAATTCAACTACCCCTAAAGTAAGTTGTTGTAATATATTATTATTCTCCAATAACAACTGTTACTGATAGATTTGTTCCATGTCGACTCTTCTATATCAAAACTCATTCAGTTTTTAAAAGTTACAAATTGAAATTCTAGTTTGTAAAAGCTGCATGTTTTCTGGACTTCTATTATCCCAGCTAATTAATGTTACTTTTTGTTAATTAAAACACATTTATAACACCTACTTTTAACCAAGCAAAGAAATGAAGTTTTCTTTTCTTCCCTAGACCCAACTAACCTCAACGAAGTCAAAATATTGAATAGAAAATAAATCCACCAAAAATTTGATTCAGTTGTATCGTAAAAATGTATTTACAAAGTCCCTGTAAGTTCAGCAATAAATTAGTTTACGGAAAGCATAAGCAATCCATTAGGAAAATACTGTCCTTAATGTAGATAAAAGTGGAAACACACTATAAAGTGTGAAAAGATTTCTAGCTGCGAAAAAATGTGTAGAGTAAGTTCTAAAATCGGAGATCCTACAATTTACTTTAGGGAATCTCATCAAAATGCAGGGTCTTCTGTTCGCTTTGAGCAATAATGCAAACATGTTTAGAATGTGTTTCTCCCCCTCTCAATGTAAAATATCGCTTCAGTATTGGTCTGAATCAACGCCTGAGCAAACGATAGGAAGTAAGATAGTTGTGTGTCGACCGCTTCACTTATTTTGGAAATCTCAACAGCCCTGTTGGGTTGGTTCCTGGGAAAATCTAAACATGGATTCTGAAAGCTCAGTTTTCTTTTACCAACTTGCATTACTTGTAGCATTGGTGAGATGTAAATCTACCAACCGAAGGACGAGTATACTACGCAACAGTCCGCTCTACATTACTCTATGGTCATGGAACAGTCTATGAAAGTAGAAGGCATGTATACACTGCAAGTTCTTGATAATAATTGTCTTCCAATTATTGGTTGCATTTCGTGGAACAGTCAAGAGGGCAATGTTGGGGTTAGGCGGAGTCGGACAATCGGTTCATGGGGATATGAGCCGACTGATGTATTGCGTATGCCTAACAATGACTTACCTCGACGGACAACGTCAGATGGTGTGGGAGTAGATCGGGAGAATGCTAGGGGCGTGCAAATCAAAACAGTGAGATCAGTGTATGAAGTCATAAACTGTTGGTCTACTCTATGTTTGCAGATGCAGGTTAGCTGGTTGGGGACCGCACAATGATTGCTACCAGTGTTGTAGAGTTTGTATGACATGCCTCAAAATCGGTCAAAACTCCGCAAATATCAATACCTTTTATTTTCTACTAGACCAGGAATTCTACTATTTCTTAATAAGTACTTCTTCGTTTTGTTTTTTCAAACGACATTGTCAATATTTTGCCTTTCTCATTGTCCTTTCCGGTGTATTATTTCAAGTCATTCGCTTTTCATTTTGGTAATTTCACCCTACCGCGTTAATTTAATCTGGTAACTGTAGTCAATGAATACTGATAAGTCGTAATCTGTATTTTAACCTTTTTACGCTCCCTTATTTATCAGTGTAGGTGTAGAAATTCGAACTTTTCTACTTTTTTGTTTAGGGTCGTAAAGTCACAACAGCAGAAAGTGAAAGCAGTGAAGAAGAAGAGACAAGTGATGATGGTGAGGAAGAAGAAGAAGAAGAAGAAAAAGAAATCTCTAAATCTATTTCTCGTAACAAACAAACTACATCCTCCCTTCCAAAAGTAAATAATTCCATTTCTGTAGTGAGTTTTGTTTTTCATTTTTAAATTCGAGGTGTACATATAAATCGCTTAGTATATGTTTGTCTATGTTGTTGTTGTTCATTATGTGTTATATGATTTATCGTTTTTATTGCCTGTAATGTTACTTACCGTTGATGTTAAATTCCACAGACAGTATAAAACACTCAAAGTAAACTGAAAATTGTCGAAATGAAATGGATTTACATTCTAATCTACAAATGATGGATTGGAATAATCGTTATTTCATTGATATGCCTGCTAAACATCGCATTCTTAATATTGTACTCTACTGACTTTCACTTAGTATCCATCCAATTCTTGCTGACTATCTCCAACAATTTCATTATAATCACTTTTCTTCTCTATGTAGTCGAATTACTGTAGAAAATTTCCTAAATATACACTATTAACAGATCGACAATGGTAATCTAGCAGTCAACATATTATTTTCCTTTATTTAAAGTTTGTCAGTTTTGTGAGCAAATCGTTTATATCTAATACGTCCGATACTGAAGTATACATAACAGATATCTGTTAATCATCTATTATCAGTGGTGCACTTACATAGGATTTATTTTGTTTCCGGTTAACTATAACGATAAATCACCGCGTTTTTTAACAAAGTATCAGAAATTTCACTGATTCAATCAGTACAATAAAGATGACACGTGGATAAACTTCATTGAAAGTCAGGCTTAAAAGGTAACAAAACGGTTCTAACGTTTATCTTGTTCTGTCATATAAATAATCTTAGTATTGTATTGAATAATATACAACAGAAAGTTTTCAGACCGGTTCATATTACCTTTATCCAAAATCAATATACTTAAGCATAAAAATATGGGGTTTCTTTGAGTCAGCATCTAAACGTAAACCATTAAAATCTAAAGTATATATCCAGATCATGGTTGATATACAATTTTCGACTTAGTAACGGCATACACAATTTTGATGCAGTGGTTTAGTTAAGATGTTTGTCTTTATCTAGACATAATCCAAAATGTCCGGATAGACATTTATTCCTTCTAAATTGTATTTCTATTATTTCGACTTTCGTTCACTTCAATTTTACTTTCCATTCTATACTTCTCATTTAATTGATTTCCTCTCACTGTCTTGTCTTATATAACAACCGATACTATACACCCGTCCCATGTCCGTACTTCGATAATGATTGTTCAAGTGACTTCAAACCTTTTTTCTTGTTTCAATAAAGTATATAATGTAAATGTTTTCATTTCAACTTGTTCCCAGACTAAAATCAATACTTCACAAACCCCTGAAAAAAGTCTTCAGAAGACAACTGATGAATTAAATGGCAAACGATCAACTAATAAAGATAAAAGTCCCGCACACGATTCAGTCACAATGCACCATCGTAATCGGACTTCAATAGATCCAAACAACGGTGATGCTACATCTATAGTAAATAAGTAAGTTAATACATGATTCAAATCCCTATTATCATTATTATTGATATTTAAATTCCCTTCTAGATCGTGTTCCATTAAAAAAATAATTTGTCACTATTAACTACTCCATAAACGCCCATAATACTGATGACAACAAATGTACACTAGTTCGACCCCCGTTACTTTATATCATTAAACTGAGGCGAAATCAGCAAGACTATTGATGGCGATAATAATAATGTTAACAGTAATCGAAAGATTGTTGTTTGAATTGTTTTAACCAGTTTTTGATTATTCTGTTGAAAATCGATTCCTAGGCATTTTACCGAGATCCTCTACGAGGCAATACGGTAGCTGGTTGTCAGTTCTAGGAAACTTTCTTTGTTGTGCATAGTGATTGTTAGTTTTGTTATGATTACCCTCTCATTGATGACTGCTCTGTCGATACTGTTACTATTTCTACTATTCTAGGATTTGCCCTAAAAAAATCATCTCTCAGTGCTAATGGGGCATGGTAACTTGGGTCAATGTACATACGTACCAGATGCCACATTGTGACTGACTGACTAATTGCTCTGTTGATTAACTAGGGACAATGTATCACAGTGAAACGTTCAAAACATGACAGACACTTTAGACACTATCCTTAATTACAACAGACTTTAACATTAGATCCAGAATCCTTACTGCATATATTTTAAATAACTGAGTTGTCAAGTTTTCTTTTGTATCATGAAGTGATTTGTTCGTAATTAAACCACTTAACTTTCAACCGTTTGATCTTAGATTTCAACCTCTCCTCAACTATCCAGGGAAACCGAGTAGTAGAGATAGCTTAGTGGTTAAGGCATTCGACTTATATCCAAGTATCTAGTGAATGGGTTTGTTATTTATTTCGTTGCTCAAATCTATGTGCCTAAGTTTGCACATGATAAATAAGTACTATCATTGCGCTTCACTTTGCTGTAAATTTGTTGTTCAATTGTAATTCAACCAGTCGGTTGTATATATTCATATTTCTTTCTTTTAAATAAAGGGATCAAAATAAAAACAATGATTCTATAGGAAATAAATCAAAAGAATTGAATTCAACAGTTAACTCTTTATCATCCGAAGCTGTAAGATTTAATAATCAGATGTTTTAAATAATTTTTGATGTCAATATTTTGAATTGCTGGACGAAAGAATAATTTGTGTGTTAGTTCACTGATTTCTTGATTTCTCATCCAGAAAGTTGTGACTAAGAAATACCAGTTCTTTAAATCTTTCTTTCATACTACGACACCATGTCATACACCGACGATATACATGGCATCGCATATCAGAAATATAATTCATTGATTTTCTGTGTAAGCTACAACCATAAGAATATCAAGTTTTAGTATGTTTGACAAACGAAACATTATATTATGTGTATTCATTTATATACACTCACTCAAGGCGAATGGAAGAGATAGACCATCTTTTCAAAAAAGTATCATTTATTTCAACCTTTTAAAATGATACATGAAATTAGATGTGGACATTTGTATTATTTCCTACTATCACAACACAACCACTATAACTAGTCTGCACTCCGACTTTTTTCCGAATTCATTTATCGTTCTTATCGTAAACTTCCTTCTAATTTCCCCTTGGCCGTAATCAATATTTTCCACGAAATTGAAAGGAAAGCTCATCACTTTAGTGCGTACCGTGCCTTCAATAGACTTGATTTCAATATAGTTGGAAATCAGTAACAAAGTTTTTGGGTACTGATGAGTTCTGTATTCGAACCCAATTCATCTACTATGTTTATCACTCGTTACATAACTAAAATGTCCATCGTCGACTCCCTTAATATGTATGTTTGTTTCTGTGTTTATTGTCGTCATTCATCCATTTACTTTATTAGTAGCTAAATTTTACCTACCAATATTCCCTAATTTCCGTCTATGAAGCTGTGGCTCATTGATCATAACACCCAACTTTCGATGTGGTTAGTTCAAAACATGCATCACTTTCAAACCACAAGGTCATATAGTACTTGTACTAGTTGTTTGAAAGCCACTATGACATGAGACTTTACTTAGCTTATTCATCAGCAGCAGAAAACTTCTTTTAGACGTTGAAATCACGAACTGGTCTTAGCTAGACCACCATTGGAAACCTAAAAACACTGGACAGCCGTTTCGTCCTAATATGGGACTCAACTGTACACGTTCACGGTTTTGTGTGTGGGAATCGAACTCAGGACCTGCAATCTCGCGCCCAAACCCTCAACCTCCCGATCACTGAGTCGGCATCTAGTGAATACAGTAGTCTTGAGTGCTGTTAGAGTTATGAGGGCGGTTATCACTTCCCGGCTGCCCACACCGTGGAAGGGTTCTTCTGGATGTACCTGAAAAGGAACTTGGATTAGAGGTGGTCTTGGTGACCTGAGAGCGTGACCGCAGTGCCCATGGGACAACTGCTTGAGGTCGGTCACACACGACCTTTCTTCAAGGGATTTTTGTGTTAGCTCCGTACTTGTTGAGACCTTACCGCCGGAGACGGATATCCGTGGGATAAGGTGAGGTGTGTATTTTTAGGGTCGGCCTTTTCTAACCCCACCCCTCCTTGTGGGAAGACAGCATCGCTGTCATGCTGGTTGTCTGAGGGAAACACCTTACTGCTATCACACTTCTGTACATTCAGCGGTACGAATTTGTCTTTGGACCTTGGGTTTGTTTCTTTTAGTCTTACCGACCTGTCTGACACGGTTGTATGGTGTGTGCTACTTATATTGACATGAGTAGTATATGATGTTAGTCGTGAACAGAATGTCTGGCAGCAGAGAGACAAGAGGATCAAACAGTAAAGAATGGGAACAGAATGCAATTTGTATGAAAATGCAAGAGCAATCAAGTCTGAGTCATTTTGAGACAATTGGTGGACATTTTGCAAATTAAGCATTTACTTTATGATTATTAGATTTTATTAACAAGTCCTGTAATTTTGTGTTAAATACATTCGGTTGTCCCCACCCGTGTTCTGTTCACTACAGTAGGACCTTGAGGAACGGTTGTTCCAGCCAGTATAGCTCGGTTGCTTCATCACAATAGGCAAGCCTGACCACCACATCAAGGTGGCAACAACGGTCGGGGCATCCAGTGATGCCAACGTTTGACTTAAATCAGTTCATGATCATGCAAAACTCTTCATCGATTATCTGCAGTGAACAACCGGGACTGTTTTCCACTGTCTATGGCTTCTCACCAGAACTCCAGGAGTTACATCTTGGAGCTAGTCACCAGTGAGCACATGATTGGTATTGGTATAAGGGTTTTGTGGAAATTGTAGTTGTTGCTAATAATCAATCTCATACAAAATCATTCATGGAACTCAGTAGCATCTGGTTTTGTATATTTGTCTGAAACTTCAAATAGCAATCAATCTTCATATTCAGGTCTTAGCTTCATTGACATTTGATTAATTTACAAGATTTGTATCTTCCAGTTACTTACGACTCACTAGATCATGTTTATTTTTGTGCTGAGAATCGGGATGTTCTTTCGTTGAAATCCCATTCCCTAAATAATGGTATTTTCGTTGATATCGGTTCATTCAGAGACGTGCGTCAGTGATACAGTTTTGTAACCGTTACATTCTGTTTATTTATCGATCGGTGTTCCATTCAGTTATTTTAATAGTCCTCAATCTTTGCATTATTCATCAAATCATAACTCAGAATATTATCCTATTAAACGTGTTACGAAAAATCAACTAGAAGATGGACTACACAGAATATCATAGTAAAATTGGAATTAACGATCAGAACCGATAGAGAAATGGTAACATAATAACTACGATAGGAAAAGTTGTTGCATAAGATGTTTTCAAGAATTGTTTGCTAAGTTATCCACTTAAACCATCAGACAAATCAATATACCATTGGTTTTAATTCTAATTTCGAACTGCTAAGTCGTATGTTTTTTAAAATATTATCAGCAATAATCATTATAAACACTCACTAAATTTCTTAAGCCAGCAATGCTTATGTCTTGAAATCACTTATCCTCCCTAGCGATCGATATTCTGTTTTCCACTAATAATGTTGTTGTACCCTTAGATGCGCTATATAAAATGATTGAACTGCTAAATGAAATAAGCGAAAATACTTAATTAGTATTGTCCTCAGTTTAAGTTTTCACATCTGTTACTGTTTTACTGTACGTTAAAATATTTATCGGTTTATGTGTTTCTAGTTCATAAAACACTCATATGAAGTGATATAGTATATAACGTTTCTATCATTTTACATAATTCAGTCATAATTTTTGACTCATTTGTTTATGTACATATTTTCTGTAGAATACTGCAATTAATAAGAAGATTCAGGAGAAATTCAAGTAAGCATTTCTGTTGAAGTGATATTTTACACTTCTCGTAAAATATTTTCAAGTTACCAAAAGTAAACTATGCAGATTAAGTTGAACGACTCCTTTCAGCAAATCATAAAACAATGTTTAGTTATAAAACGATTTAAAATAAGAAAGCAAGTATTAAAGTTACAATGGCGAAACAGTTTTGATATGATTAATGAACTTTTCCATGTTGAAAATTAGATCAGTAGATAAAAAAATTGAGATATGTTCGCTAAAGTAACTCATTCATATGACTGGAGGAAAAGTTTCCTCTTGAGCTAGAATATGACCCTAAATAGTTATTCAAGCAGCTCCTTATAGTTCCTATATTAATTGTATGTAGGATTCATAAAATATAGCTTATCTATGACAAGTCTGTGTTTGTATCCTTAGAACTATCTGAATGTATAGTAGTTCTCAGTGGAACAATTTTTTACGATAGGAATTAATATTTTCGCTTGTTGATTTTAAACATATTCAGAATCCCGCCTTCTAAAGGGACTGTCCCGAAAATCTACTACAGACAAAGGAACAGAGTGGCTACCCAACTGACTTTCCTGTTATACTTCTCGTTCCCGATGGCAGTTTCACCTCAACAATCTTACCAATTAAATAAGAAAGAAAGATTAGTTCATAAGAGTTCTCTTTTCGGCGAATTCATTTTCAAAGCTGTACAATCGCAAATATATATACTTATTTATACAGGGAAAATTTTTTCTAATACCTTTGTTTATTTAACCTCACCGTCACCATGTATATCATAAGTTTATTATCAGTATTATTATCACCCTGTATAAATAAGTATATATATTTGCGATTGTACAGCTTTGAAAATGAATTCGCCGAAAAGAGAAATCTTACCAATATCTAATGTTAACGGTGAACATATCAGGATTTCAGGACAGACTTACTTACAATTTCGACACGTTTGCTCAAGCCCTTGGAGTTTTTAGTTGAATTCATGGTACCAGATCATAAACAAGAACATCAACTGTTTCAGGTGTAACCTCGATTTGTTGGAAAACAAAACCCCACCCATATATGTTGTAACAGAATAGGACTTTTTCTTGTGTTTCTTCAGATTTTATGAGCACCATTTCTTGTCGACTGGTTTGTCAATAGTTTATGGTGTTTTCCTCCCTATTATAATCATTGGTGACGCGTTCCAATGGTGGAATGTTTAGGCCACCCACCACGGCACATATAATTCCGTGCAAAACTCTGAACACCACCCCAAATCTTATTAGTTTGTCATTATAGTTTACTTCTACCTAAAATTTCACAGTAAATTTACGATTACAGCTTTAGAGGTGTAATTACTTATCTGATCGTCTACAAATCTATACAAAAATACTGGTATCTCACATTGAATGTAAGATTTTCTGCATACTTATTCAGCTTTGATATGACGTGACATGGTGTTTCAGTTTCCACACATCGAACTTGCTGCATGTAAAGATATCTTTCATAATGTCACTCCATATAATTTGGCCTTAATATTATTTTCGAAATCTGGTATAAATGTAATTGTATGGCACATATATTCTATTTTTCCTACCATGTAGGGTTTGTCTACGGTATTTCCTACCCCCTGAATGGCCAATGGAAAAAGATCAAATTCATACCCTTACAGATTCTGATCTTGCTAGTTTTCCTTTAGAAGACTTCTTCGATCGCTATGAACAAGGTCTCCGATCTGTAAGTATCATTCTTCTTTTATTAGGCTATACAGTTTCGGTTAAACCATTTGCGTTACCAAACTTTAAGATAATTTCCCACCTTTTCTAAAAGCTCGAGTTTTTGTGAACTTTGGTAATAAGTGTCTGCTAGCGATACGCTTAAACTGTCTTCCTAGCCGGTTCCTATAACTTTCACTACTTCCACATGTCAACTGGAACAATCAAGAGATGACTCGGATTGCGAGTAAAAGCTTTATTTAAAGGTTAGGTCATGTACAGAAAAAAACCCAGTGTATTTACAAAGTTACGTACAACTTTGGGCTTCTAGAAATTTCCGTAAACATGTTAAATATAGTAGCAGTGTAGGTCAATATCCAATCAGAACCGTGACGTGATTCTTCATTTCCTAGATGTTTCCGCGAAGCTTCTATTCAACACTTATTAGATAAAACGTTTCCCGGCGTTTCTGAACCTCTCAAGACTGACAAGATATATTTTGAAACTTACCCAACGACTAGTCAGTTATTTGCTTTGTTTCTACTGCTCCGATTTTGTTTGGAAACGGAAGTGATCATGATGAGATGCGAGTTAAATTTAACCGAGAATTCGAGTTTTATATCAATTAATATATGGCCCACTTATATCAGGTACTACTCCCCTTTTATTATGACATATTTGTCTGAAAAAATCTACAAAATATTTTGTGTTTATCAAATATACAAATTGAATTACATTTGCTTTCGGATGAAATTTACGAAATGTGCCAAGTGTTGAGGGCGATTTAATAAAATAACTCACTGGAAAAATAGCTTTTCTCCAGCGAATGAATCCTCCAATAAAAGAAGGATAATATACCATCCAAAAATGATATTCCGCTATCGATGGAAAAAAGCATTTCATTTGTGTGCTATCTTATGCTCTCCCATCCCCAATTGACCAACAGAATAGTTACTCCTGAACTGAATTTGGAAACATCATCTGTATACACTTGTCTGACTAGATATGAAATGACCAGCCGAATTCAGAACCTGACTCTTTATAAATACTTCGAAGTATATTTCGAATAGCAGAAATTGAACTAAGATAAATGAATAGCCACAAATAAGTTATAAAATTGGCATATCCCGTGTAAAGAGTTTTTCATCACAGTTTGCTTTTTTACCGGACAAAGTGAGTAGATTAGTCTTTTCCTTTTATGATTTCTAACTCAAATTATATACTATCGAAAATCTCATTTCCTTTATACAGCTCTTGGCCACTTTCCAACAAGAAACCAAAATATGCTCTGATCGATTAACTGAGTTACGTTTCAACGTTTGTGAACTATTGAAAAAATATGATCCTGTAAGCTTTAATTAATTGAATAATGTTATCGCAAAATAACGGGCTAGTACTTATAATCAGTAATTAATACTCTTTTAAAGATGAAAACAAATAGCAACAATATGTTCATTATATGCAGTTTTACTCTGTGCAAAAAAAATTATTTTATGAATTCTAATTTTTAATTGGTACTATTTTCAGCCCAAATTTACTTTCCTAATTGTACTTTTCACCATAAATCAACTTACGCCTGTTACCTCTCGTGGAAGAGCATAGGCCGGCCACCAGCACTCTCCATCCAAGCTTGTCCTGGGCAATCATTTCCAGTTCTTTTCAGTCGCTATTCATCCTTGGTTGGTGGAGTGATATCTATAGGGAGGTTTGTAGGTGCTGCTTCGATGTCCGGCTGGTTCAGCGGAGCTGGTTTATTCAGGAGTTCCTTTATTCTTGGTTCTTCATTGTGTCGTATGGAGTTTTTAATAAGATCATTTTACGGGATTGGGTTTCCAGTCAGTCAGCTACAACGTAGGACCAGACAAATATATGCATCTGTCCAACTTGCCATACCTCATTAGCACAGCAAGATGAACACCGGATTCATAGAAGTAATTCATTCAGTAGTGATAATATATAAAAGAAAGATTGTGTATAAGGATATAGTACAGAAAGAAAGAATTAGTTTGTAGAAAGAAATATATGAAGCGACTTTAATCTCATAATTTAAGCGAAGACAGAGAGTGTATACACCATTGTGGGATGGGATTTCTGACCCCATGTTCAACCCTCCTCCTTTACCCGGTCTTAAGCCCGGGTAGCTATAAAAATAACTCAATCCAAAACGGTAGACTTTAAACTCTAATTCTTATTCATAACTCAAAAAGCCTAAGCCCTTATCCTAGCTGTGATCTTGAATTCTACATTTTTATCGTAACTCTGCCATTAAAATTTGAATATTAGTCTTGGCATTATAAATTATTCATATTTGCTGTTTTCCCATGGGCTGAACGGGGTCAAGCGTTTGTTAGGATAAAGTAAAAAGTTGCTCACCGTTGTGCTCCAGTTCAATCTTACAGTCGGTTCAGTAACTTTATGTAGTTTTATTTATCATAGACTAACCTTAGTCAGTGGACACGGAGGGTCCACCTAGGGGAGTTGGAAAACCCTGATTCCAAACCATTGGTACGAAGGAATTCCAGGATCCTCAGGGAACAAATGGCATATGAAACTATTGTTGGTCACCGGCTATCATGAGACTGCATCTCCTAACGTTGTTCCACTGCCTTGTGGATTAGTCTTTTAGGTCAAAGGTTCCGGATGTGTTCCCCTAAGAAAACCGCCTGCTTCGATCTGGGCACTCTGGCAGTATCACAGCCCACACACAGATAAAATGAAATGACAATAATTACTGGAAATACTGTTCTTACTCCAAATAAAATTCAGACAACTATCCATTTGATAACTTTTATTTTTTTTATACTACGTCACTTATCTACTCTCTTTTATTTCCACTTTGTGCATTCTTATTTTTGAACTTATGCAGCAGCTCACCTATGGTGGAAACCCTGTTCTATCTAAACGATCTCGAGTCGAAAGTTGGATGTTACCACTGATCACGAACACTGAAACAGTCTTATTTGAAACCGCGTATACCATTCAAAATGGCTTCCTTCAACGTTCGCACACTAATGCAGATCGGACAACAGATAGGGTTGGTTTTGTCTTTAGAAAATCTTAATATCGACGTCTGTTGTCTATCTGAGACCCGTATTCAAGACTCTAGTGAAGTACTACAAATTCGCTCTCCATCTGTCACTTCGAAAAGCTTGTTTTACGTGCGTTAATCTGGGAACCCCATGGCATTTTCGTTCGGTTTTGCAGGCGTCGGTGTCGCACTAAGCGTTAGAACTGATGCAGGACTAATCCATTGCATCCCCATTAACAGTCGGTTATGTGCTGTTAGATTAGAAAGTTCCAACAAATTAAGAAAAAATCGGGATAGGGAACGATGTCTTTTCGTCATCGCCTATGTTCCGACAGATTGCAGCCCGAATGCGATCAAGGATGAGTTTAACCACCAGCTAACGGTTCCCGCTTATAAGCACTGGGTTTCTTCAGGCTCCTTACAACTCATTGAAGCCCGTCGGTCTACTCCGAGTGACCGTGAGTTTGACCTCAAACGAAGGCTGTTATGTAATGAAGTTGAGCAAAGCTTGGGTGAGGACAGAGAAACCTGATGGTCGGAGTGTGCTAATGAGCTGGAAGCAGCAGCTGCATCTGGCAACTACCGAAAACGTTCGACTCATCCGAGCCACTGGCAGCAAGAAGTCTGGTGTGAGCGAAACAATCCGTGAGGATGACGGGATGCCAATCATTAACATTTATCGACGTTCTAGGCGAGGGGCAGTTCAACTAGTCTGCTGCCTCGGCAAAATCGATTAGGCTCTGCTGCTTTCCATGGCATCTGACGAATACTGATCCATCAAATTAGGCGGAAGTCCGCAAGGAACTCCAACTCTTGAAACGCCACAAATCACCTGGCCCAGATGACTTTCCTCCGGCTCTTGTGGTAACTTTCTGGTTAAGGAACCGACTGAGTGGTTTACAAAGGTTTGGCAGTTAGAGTGTTCCAACATCGTGAAATGAGTTGATAATCGTCCCTATCTTTAGAAAGGGTTCACGTTGTTCCTGTAACAACTGTCGAGGTATAAGTCTACTTCCGATTGCGTCCAAACTATTGGCTTCCGTCATGCTTCACACGTTGTTCAAAACTTGAGAATGATTAATTCGCTGTGAGGAGCAGGCTGGTTTTCGTTCTAGTCGAGGACGTATTGAATATACCTTCACCCTCCGCCAAATGTTAGAACACGTCCATACTTATCACGATCGTAGTGTATCTTGACATCAGAGCTGCCTTCGACTCCTTGGACAGGAGAAGTTCGTGTATCTAGGTAGCTGCACATATGCCGGTGGTGGCGTGAGAGATCAGATCGATTCGCTTATAGTGAAAGTCAGAGCGGTTTAGTGCCAATCTGGGCCATCTTTGGTGCCTGTGTGATTTATTCTGGCTGTGAGAGGTCGAATCTATAACGCTTCGGTGAGAGCAGTTTCGCTCTATGCTTGTTAAGCCTGGCCTCTCCGAGTTGGAGATGTTTGACGACTCTGTGTTTGATCGTCGTTGTCTCCGAAGTATTGCTGACATCCAGTGGCAACACCATGTTAGTAATGCAGAGGTTTAGCATTGTGCGTTCGGGCACAGCGACGATAATTCAATTGGTGTCACTATCTTGAAACATCGACTTCGGTGGCTTGGACATGTTCTAGGAATGTCGTCCCAGACAATTGCACGTCGCGCATTATTTACCGACGCTGGAACTGTTTGGAAAAAGCAGTGGTCAGTGTATGACATGGTGTCGTGGTATATCAGTTGTACAGGACTGGCTTATGTTGATCTTTCACGACTCCCTGGTCGGCTCCTAGAAATGGTGCAATACAGTGGCCCGAGAAGTTATTAGATATGACTCAGAATAGAAGCCAGTGACGATCCTGTCTTTACTTTATTTTACTTTCATAAAAAGTGGATGTAACTTCTTTAACTGGAAGAATTCTTTCTGATTATACCTTTGCTAACTGAACTGCTTCTCCCATTATTATTATTTTATTATCATTGTTATTGTGTGGCGCATATGTATGCCCCTTTACCCGACCGAAGCTGCTACCTTGACGCGGTGGTCGGGCTTGCCTATCGTGATGACCCAACCGAGCTATATTGGATGGAACATATGTTCCTGTAGGTTCTACCATGCCAGGCAGGTCGATTGGAGAACGGTAAGACTAAAAGCAGCAACTCAAGGCCTGAGGGCGAAGTCGTACTGCTGACTGTACAGAGGTGTGACAGCAGTAAGGTGTTTCCCTCAGACAACCAGCGTCGGCAGCGATGCTGCCTTCCCACAAGGAGGGGTGGGGTTGGAAAAGGTCGACCCTAAAAATGTCACACCTCACCTTACCTCACGGATTTCCGTCTCCGGCGGTAAGGCTCTTTGAAGAACGGAGCTAACACGTCAAAAATCTTCCACAAAAAGACCGTGCGCGGCCGGCCTCAGGCAGTTGTCCCTTGGGCTTTGCGGTCACGCTCCCAGGTCCTCAAGAACAACACTAATCCAATTTCCTTTTCAGGTTCCTCAAGAAATACCCTTCCACGGTGTGGGCAGCCGGGAAGTGATATCAGCCCTCATACCCGTAACAACACACGGGACCAAGTTGGTCACATTCAAATCCTTCCTACACCGCCTAATACCTCTCTTATCTCCATGACTAACCCTCCTCACGTCTCTTTATCACATCGCACCGCTAGGGCAAACGATTCGAGTACGCGGAACGTTATTCCTGGTCTCCTGAAACCACACTCTAGACTACACGTAGAAGCTTTTAACGTCCGAACACTGCGCCAAATAGGACAGCAGGCTTTCTCAGCTAAGACTAGAATCCCGCGCCATCGATGTGTGCTGCGTTTCCGAAACGCGCATACCGGATCCGAGTAGTGTCATTCACTTGACCTCACCATGCCAAAATAAAGAACCGACTCGATTCACACTTCGTGTATCTGGAAGCCCTGATTCTGCCTCCCATGGCCTCTTCGGCGTAGGTATAGCATTGAGTCCTAGGGCAGAACTAGCTCTCTTAGAGTGGATCCCAGTAGACAGTCGTTTGTGCGCTGTCCGACTGAACGGAACAGTAAGGATCCGAAAAGATAGGGACACTCGTCGTTGCCTCTTCGTCGTCTCTGCCTATTCTCCCACTGACTGCAGCTCAGATGATGTAAAAGATGAGTTTTACAGAAAGCTCTCCGACCTTCGAAAAGCTAGGCGTTCGGATGTAGTAATAATGGCCAGTGACTTTAGTGCTCAAGTAGGTAAACTAAGCGATAGGGAAAGACGCCTGGGTGGATCTTATAGCATCGTGGCTCAAAGAACAGATAATGGCGACCGTCTGTTGCAGCTATGCTCAGATAACCGCCTGTTCCTTGCAAATACTAACTTTAAGCATAAGGACAAACATCTTTTAACATGGCGACCCCCTAATTCGTCCCAACGTTGGACCCAAATAGATCACATCGCTATCAGCCACCGGTGGAGGGGCTCGATAGAAGACTGTCGCTCATTCTGGAGCACATGCTTAGATTCAGATCATGCTCTAGTACGAGCGCATATCTGTCTGCGTCTTGCTGGACGTAGGAAAGACGCTGCAAGTAAACCTCTTAGGGGCCTACTTAATGATAGTCAAGCTAAGAGTATATTTCAGGAACAACTAGGAAAACAGCTAGGCAGCCATGTATGTGATGCCCACCCCGATGCAGCATGGAATGATATCCGAAAAGCTGTGGAAACAGCAGTGATATCTGCTAGTACGGCAACCCGTAAGGTTAGGGAGCGACACTGGATCTCAGCAGCATCTATCGCACTGATAGATGCTCGGAAACTCATTCCACCTGGCTTTGAACATAATGAAGAGCGGAGTCAGCTTAAGCGCAAGCTGACAAGAAGTCTACGCAATGATCGTGAACAGTGGTGGGTAGCGAAAGCAAGAGAGATGGAAAAGGCAACGGCAATAGGTAATAGCAGACATTTGTTTAGACTCATTAAGGAAACCGGAATTAGGAACCCGACCGTTAGCGAAACAATCTCAGAGAAAGATGGACATATTATTCATTCTCAATCCAGGAGATTGGATCGATGGGCAGAACACTTTAGGGATCAGTTCAACTGGCCTTCAGCCACACTTCGGTTTCCCACGATCTCCAGTCAACCTGAATGGCAAGTTAATTTAGGTCCTCCGACTCTTTATGAAGTTGAAAAGGCTATCGCAAATCTGGAGTGAGAGAGAGCAGCAGGCCCTGACAGGTTTACTCCTGAGATTTTTAAGGATGGTGGTTCATTATAGGCAGTGAGATTAACCGAGGTCTTAGGTAGAATTTGGGAACTGGACGTAATCCCATCTGACTGGTCTCAATCACTGATTGTGCCAGTCTATAAGAAAGGACAAAAGTCCTCTTGTGACAATCACAGAGGAATCAGTTTGACCAATATAGTGTCTAAAATATTAGCTTCAATAATACTTCGACGCCTAATCAAAGCTCGTGAAGAGCAGATTAGAGAAAACCAGGCCGGTTTTCGACCTGGACGTGGTTGTTTAGATCAGATATTCACACTACGTCAGGTTCTAGAACACAGACACACATTCAGACGCCCCACAATGGTAGTATTTCTCGACCTTAAGGCGGCATTCGACTCTGTTGATCGTGAGGTTCTATGGCAGTGTTTGTCACTGAAAGGAGTACCAAAGAAGTACATTAACCTTATAAAGGCTCTCTACTCGAACACAACTGGTAGAGTGAGAGCTTATGGCGAACTGTCATCAGAATTGATTGCCTCAAGTGGTGTTCGTCAGGGCTGTCCACTCTCTCCGTTCTTGTTCAACTTTGTCGTCGACGTACTTTTAGAGATAACACTTTCCTCGTCTAAATTTCCAGGGGTTGAACTTCTACTGGGAGGTCCACTTGTTGACTTAGAATATGCTGATGACAGTTTTATTTGGTGAAGACGCTGACAAAATGCAGTCTTTTGACCACTCTAAGCAACAATGCAAGCATGTTCGGCATGCGATTCTCCCCCTTGAAATGCGAAATATTGCTTCAGGATTGGCTTGCATTGACACCCGATCTGATGATAGAGAGTGACGTAATTGAGCGTGTCGATCGCTTCACTTATCTTGGAAGTCTCATCAGCCCTTGTTGTCTAGTGTGACGAAATCTCAGTACGGATACAGAAGGCTCGACTAGCTTTTACCAACTTGCGTCATTTATGGCGTAGGCGAGGTATCCGTCTATCAACCAAAGGACGTGTTTACTGCGCAGCAGTTCGTCCCGTCCTACTTTATGGCAGTGAAACATGGCCGGTTAGAGTAGGGGATATTCGTAGGTTACTAGTATTCGATCATAGGTGTCTTCGGAACATTGCTCGTATATCATGGGACCATCGAGTAAGTAACGCAATTGTTAGGAAACGGGTACTAGGTAAGGATGGCAAATCAATTGATGACGTAGTGAAACTTCATCAGTTGAGATGGCTGGGACACGTGTTACGTATGCCCAACGACCGACTGCCTCGACGTGCTATGTTCAGTGGTATAGGAGTAGGTTGGAAGAAAGCTAGGGGCGGCCAGACCAAAACATGGCACAAGTCCATGAAGTCACTGGCAAGTGGACTGAGCCATGTTGCTAGGTGTAGACTACCTGGTTGGGGACCGCGAGATGATAGCAACCGATGGTTAGAGACCCTGAATGACATGGCTAAAAATCATTTGCAATGGCGCAGGTGCATACACTCTTTGTGTTCTCCCAAATTTTGATCTCCTTATTCCTCCTTGTCTCTTTTTTTCTCTTTCCAAATTTATTTCACTGGATTATACTCTATAAATAACATCTCCAAACACTAATTTTCCTGATTACTGCTTACGCTCTCTACCACTACGGGATTTGAATCGACCGCTGCATCTCTGTGCTAATGTGGTGTGGCAACTCGAACTGATGTACTTACGTACGAAGTTCCACGTTGTTACTAACTGACTGATGCCCCTTCGTACCAGTATTTATTCATTCAAATAAATAAATAAAATGGTCTAGATAATGGTGAAAACCAGAAAGCTTTGGCTATTTGCTTCTTCCTGTTGTGGTACTAGATCATGAATCCATGACCAAACTTATAATATTCAGGTTCATTCAAGAACCACGTTCCCAACTCCAACGTTTTTGCCACGATCATCTAATACTACAGGCAGCGATGGTCTTGATCCTGATACTCAATACCATAGCATTTTACTTAAAACCTGGTGTCCCGATTCGTTACTTAACAGGTCGCTAAGCAATGGTGATTTTAAAACTAGTTTACCATGATATATTCCTGACAAAACATTTCTGAACTGATGCCGTTTATATCCAATCTCACATATATACGATTTTTGTTTCTATTGTAGAGCTTCACTGAACCACTGAGCGACGGTGAAGAAGTTGACAATTATATCAGAAATTTCCTTAATAAAGATTAATCTAATTGTAATAAAGGCAGCCAAACGTGTTTTTAAAATTATTGTTGTCAACAAGATCATTGTATACCACTTTTTATCTCTCATGTATTCAGTCACTCCGAATAAATTCTCCTTTCCCTCTAATTTCTTACATTTTGTAATTTTCCCATGCTTTATTCATTCCTCTATTATTGGAGTGTATATGCAGCTATTGTTAAATATTGTGTTTATTTATAAACATAACTACTTCTAATGTACACCTTATGATACTATTCTGATCTTGTTGAATCTCTCAAACGATCCTTAAACATCTTTGTGCAGATTTTATTGTTCTTCAGAACTACTATTAATTTCACGCTTTATTATTTCAGAGGGGACTACATACATTTGTCTATTTAGTACATAAACATTCTCTGTATATGTCTATAGAACTTGTTAATAATCGTAATCACTATAAAGCACTCTTTTTCACTCCACTGTTTTTGTAATTATTTCTCTCATCCCATCCATTCATTTCTTGTTGTTAATCACTTTGCGAATGTATCTTGATTACATATTACTGAATGGTTTCATAAAAAAACGTCAATCATGTCATGCATTCATCTCACGTTTATATTCCTTTATTCATAAAGATTTGACCACGACCACCAGTAAATCCACTATAATTGCTACCATTGTTACTGGGAGATACTCGTAAATAATCGATTAATTTGCCATTAGCTTTATCGCTGTACAGTCATCACCATTTTGTGTTACCCATTTTTCCTGTCCCTTTCATGTGTAATCGTTTCCAAACTAAAGATTACGAGTTATCCGGTAGTCTTTTTCCTTATACACATGTTTGACATGCATAAAAATTTCGTATGTTAATACCTCATAATGATACAAATGTTTCCCGTGTTTTTATAAAATTAAATTAGTCAAGTATGTTCTGTCTGTTTGTTTGAAGTTTCTAAAGTACCTAATGTTGGTTGTAATGAAAAATAAACTTAATTGTCATAATCAGTAATTAGCAAGACAGTCTCTGACTTAGGTTGTGTGAAGGGAATGGCTACGCGTGAAATTACAGTGATCAATAAGCATTACTTAGGAAATATACTTCTAATCTTATTGAAAGCATTAGTGTCAATATGGTGAATGAACAAATCATTCTAGGATCGTCCATCCAAATACATCGTATTAGACCGAGTAAGGATATAATATTACGAGAAATTGCTTCGTATAACAAAACGTAACCCTGAGCCACATTTTTCGGTCCGATGCTCAGCTTCTCAATAAGTCACAAGCTCAAACCTTGTTCAACTTAAGATTTGGCAGCTCCACAGTATTACTTTTCTACATACAAACGATATAGCTTGAATAAATGAATTAAGTTGAGGGAGGTCAGAGCAAGATTCAGAACGATCAGACGAGGACTAAGCACCCGGCCTTTTATGAGGATTCACTAATGTTACCTCCCCACTTCAGTTTTCCTTACCACCAAACGGAAGTCCATAGGGTAAGGTGAGGTGTCATATTTCTAGAGTCCACCTTTCCTAACCCATTCATTCCATTGTAAGGCAGCATCGCTGGTTGTCTGAGGGAAAAACTCCTTACGCTCATGATTTTGAGATGGTGAAGATTTGTAGCTAAGGTGGATAATCTTGGAGTCTTGTTCTCTGAGCTGGATGATTTAGTCATGGAGCTTTCATCTTACTGCTTTCACACCCTTACACAGTCGGCAGTACAACTTCGCCTTCGAACCTTAACTTACTACTTTAAATCTTACCGTCCTTCACCTGACATGTTAGGACCTAAAGAAACATGTGTCCCGGCCAATATTGCTTGGTTTAGTCCACGATAGGTAGGAATGGCTGTCACGCAATTGTGGTTGCGTTATTTACCACGAACTCCACATGTTGCCTTAAAGGCAGGTATGTTTGTCTGATGAATCCAATCGTTTCCCTTACCGCATTACGCATACTACATTTTATTTTCAAGATAAATAAAAACTTCATGTCTTAGCTGTCTGAACTGTGCTTTTTATATTGGATAAGTAGCGGTAAGTAAAAAGCCCCAAGAGACCAATGATAGTATTATTTTGGAGTCGCCAAACGGATTCTGAACAACAAATAATGATGATATCTTCGTGACACTTATAAACGACTATTTTTAAATCAACGATAACATACCGAGGGTACAGATCCAGATGTTTAGTTTACCTCCTAACATTTATATTGTAATATATTATAATCGTTTTTTTTCGCTTGTAAACTGAAGAATCTAACACAAGCAAACAAATGTGTAAGATCTTTATTGAAGGTTAGGAAGTAGATAGTGTTCAGCGGCAACAAGTACAGGTTCTTAGTCAAGAAATGAAACTGATAAGAACATAAAGACAATGAATTGTGTTAGTCGTACACACAAGAATGTATAACCAGTATCACGAACACTGTGAAATTCCTACAGTTGGGTGGAAGATATATTTAGACAACTAATGACATGGACTTCAAGGTTCTAAATTTGGTATCTGGAGTAAGAAAAGTCTCAGATTAGGTCATCTGCCGAAGTAGTTGTGTGTACCAACCGCTCCACTTATCTTGGGGGTCTCATGAGTTCTGATGTCAGACGAAATATCGGTACACATCTTAAAGGCTCGACTGACTTTTGCTTAACTTCAGTCACTTTTGGTGTAGGCGAGATACCCGTCTTCTAACCAAAGGACAAGTTCATTGCGTAGCAGTTCGCTCCGCCCTACTTTATGAATGTAAAACAGCCATCAAGAGTAGAGAATATCCGTAGGCTACTGGTATGCGATCATAGACATATTTGAAGCATTGCTTGTATTTCGTCACCACGGAGCATAAAATGTCTGGGCTGGGAGTAGGGTATTAGGTAAGATGGGAAATCGATTGATGAGGTAGTAAGTCATCAACTGAGGTGATTGGGACATGTGTTACGTATGTTAAACCACCACCTACCTCGACGGGAAATGTTTTCTGGTGTAGAAGTAGGCTGTAAGAAGCTAGAGGAGGCCAAACCCAAACATGACATCAAGTCCATAAATTTACTGACAATTGAATTGAGCCATGTCGATAGGTGAAGAGCAGCTGGTTAGTGTTGGAGTGATTATCGTAACCAAATTGTTAGAATTTGAGTGACACGGCTCAAAATCGTTTGCAACGGAGCAGATATTTCCACATTGTCTTTCCCCAAACTCCGAGATTCTTAATTCCTTATAGATTTTGTTTTTCTTTCACTAATATATATTCTCCTAGCGAATCATATTTCTGATGCCTAACATTTTGTATTACCACTGATACTGTTACTACCTCTACTATGAGATTTAGCCCGAGAATTTCACCTCGGTGGACTCAATGAGTACGGCGAATTTAACCGATGCACATACGTACCAGGCTTTACGTTGTGAATGACTGATCTAGGTCATAAGCAATATGCCTGGATAATACACAATAAAGTGAATATAAGTTCAAGGAATCACATTGCAAGCGTGTATGTGGTTTTCAGAAATTGCGAAGAAAATACTTATCGCAAGACATAAAGCGTAAATTCGTCGATGAGCAGTTAAAGGCAAGAACCCCACCATACACGTAATTGGTTTCGCTAGTTTGTGTGAAGTGACAAACATTCATGTAACGTGATACATTCAATTTCCTTTTGATACACAAAATGAATTGTATGAGAATGCTTCAGAACGGTAAAATCGAGTTCAAAATAGACAGCAGTTGCTTCTTGCATACAGCATTTTGTAAGTACTCTGGGACTGGTATCAGGTTGGAACAGGTTCATGTAGGAAGTTATATTTATGTTAAGCGAAAACATCCATTAATTCCTCAGGAAATCAAAGAGTTGTGCAATAAACCAGTTCATCCAACTTCATTATTGACTGCATTACGACCTCCGAGTAAGAATAATGTGTGTCTTCACATCATGGTGTGTTTACAACACTGTTGGTTTGTGGGTCGTTTATGTAAACCAATAAACTAGAACCAATCAAATATTCTACAAATCATCAGCACTAAAACATTGAATTAAATACTTTTACCTTATGATAGTGATCTGGTAAATTTACACAAAACCTTGAACCTTAATAACTTAAGGTAATCCAAGGAGGTTGCATTTAACTTGGATGTTAAGACTTACTAGATATACGTTCTTCTTTTAAAAGGTAGAAATAAACCATTAGACTCTGACTCACAGAGAATCATACTGACTAAGCAGAAAGACAACCTATTCCCATTATAAACTGATCATGGAATAATTTATTAGCATTGATTTATGGTGATAATAATAATAACAATAATAATAATAATAATATTCAATATATCATCATAAATATCATCATAAATCGGTTGGAAAATATTTCATTTTAATTGTCCTTTTATTATCAAGTAGATTTCATTCTTAAATTGAATTCGATGTAGAGAATTGTATCGGTTCCAACAAACCAGCTTCAATCATAGGACAAGTTGGTCCACCACTACTGTTACCATTTCGATTATTATATGTTAATAATAATCTCGGACAATATCTTATTGTGTGAGCACGATCTTTAGTAGCACCGCATAATGGACAAGTAAATTTACGTAGAATTGGACAAGTTACTCGACCAAAACGATCTTTAACCTGGATTATAGATGGGAACAAAGCGTCCGTGTACTTATATATTTATATATCTTGTATTTACTAGAATAACAAAATTGCATTTTTGGTTTGGTACGTCACGAGATTGAAAACAACAACAAGAAATAAAGTATATGATCTTTCCAACAAACACTCGATTAAAGGAAGTACTACTAGTACTGTGGTGTGCTACTGATGTCGACAGATATAAGTAGTATGTATGATCAATCAAAAGTGAAATGCCTGGAGGTAGAAGGTTACGAAGATCGAAGAGAATAAGAATAGAGAATGATTGGGTGTGGAAATAAAGGAGCAATAATGTATGAGACAATTGATTGACATTTTGCAAATAAAATATTTACTGAATGGTCCTCAGATTTCACTAAGATATTCTGTAATTTCGTATTCAAATACATTCGATTGTCTCCACTTGTGTTCCCGTTCACTACACTACTACGACTACCAAAGGTTTTAATCACCTATTGTGTTGATATATGATTTACACTTACTCATAAAACATCAGAAATCAGACTTCCTATTTATTATATTACAAATAAATTGTTTTATCACTACAAACCATCCACTGCTCAATCTATTTAAAATTATCAAAGTTTTACTTAGAAACTGATAACTAATTGTTCAATTATATTTAAACGCTGATAACCTTGATTCTATTTAACCTTGTTGGTCAGTTTCTATCCAAACTATTCTAAGATTTATATGATGTTGGTGTATGACTTTTGCCTCATGACAATAACCCCGCACATTTAGCACTGATTTTATCTGAGATTATGATCCGTTATAAATCAGCCTATCAACTACTCACTAAACTTAATTCTCCCCAATTTCCTATGATTCCCGCAATTCAAAATGCGAATATGGAGGGAGGGTAACATTGGAAAGATGTAAAGACAATAAGGTGCGAAACAAAGAAGTTGAATAAATCCAACTTCTGTATTGAACCACGAAAATGGAAATAGTACATTTATATTGTCATAAATGGTGACCATTACAAAAAGACGTCAAGACTGATATACTCTGAAGTTTGTGAAGTACTTTTCATGATTTCAATTAGAGTATTTATCTAACAGATTATATATTTGCCAGCTTTCTGATCGACTCTTCTTATCCAAACTAAACAGTATCGACAAGATTCGTGTTAAAAATCATCGAATAGAAATACTAGTTTTGGTTTTTCTAGTATACAATTGTTCGAGCACTAATAAATCACTCTATATTGGTAGACACTAGAATGTTTGCCCAATTCTTTATGGTGATCAAATTGTATCGATCGTGTTGTAATATTATTCATCAGTCTATGTTATTTGATACTGTAGGTGGACTGTTTGGTTTTAAGTCGTTCAATTCACTCATCAGGTAAAAGTGAATTTAAGTTGCGTTCTGACCTGTGTGACACTCTTGATTATAACACTGAATGATGACGCGACTTAGGACCCAGTCATGCAGCGCCAATCACCTTAAGACTTCAGATGCACAGCTCGCTGATGAGTAATGACATTAAAAAACTTAAGTCTAGAGCTTCTTTCCAATTTCACCCGAGTTTACACATTGCACAAAAAAACATATCATTTAACTTGTCACAACTCACAAGAGAAAACCAGTAAAAATGGGGAGTTGACGATATAAGGCTACGAGTTATGTAAGTTATATTGAGTAATGAATGGTGGAATGCTCAGGTCCTCTAACCACTATTTTGCATTATCCTAAGGCTCTCATTGTTGGGGTGATCCAGAAAGCTTCTCGCAAATGACGAGAAAGGATTAGGAAACACTAAGAGGCATTTTAGCCAATCAGCGTTCATTAAAAGTCTAGACAGAAACATCAAGTAAGTGAAGTCACATGAAGAGTTTCTGGTTGGCTAATTACTATACGGCTACTATGTTTGGTAGCATTCCAGAATTTTCGGGAAACCCAAGGACATCTAAAATATTATAAAAACCCTATATTTTCTGTATTAAAACGAATGTTTGGAGTAAAGTACCTATCGTATACTTTGCCCCTTTTCTCTCGTGTTCGGGCCGCTGTGTAGTTCTAGCTTGGGGGTTACGAGAATAGCTTAAGAACCGAATACAACGTTCAATTAGCGAGATTTATCATTCACTTAGAAATTCTAGATCGTGCAGTTTTACTTTTGGACGTATAGTATTAGATTTACTTAAAATCCCTACGGGTCCAGCTATATGTAAGAGGCAAAATCATTATAACGTAGACGAGTTGGAAGGAACTTAGTAGGTATCTATAAAAGTTAATTTTCATGTGTTTAGTATCTAATAACAGTTAGATGTGCAAGAATAAGAACTGATCCTGTTCTTAGTTGATCCATGATTGATGATATTCAGAAGCGAACTACTACAGATCTTCATCACATATCATCTCAAGTTTATCTGTTTTACTACAACAAGCAACGGCAATGAAGAGTTAAGCCTCACTCTAATGGAACACTTCAACCACGATTACTAAGGTGTTTTGAAATTAATTCTATAATTTAATCCTGGTCGTAACGATTTGTAGCCAAGTAGAAAACCACTTCATCTGGACTATAGTAGAAGCTTTTGAAAATTAGCCCGATCATTTCAAGTATTAGTTGAGCTACCATCGATTAATTTACCTCTATCTCTGTTAATTAGCTGGTAGTTTTTCAACAAACTTTTAATCAATCATTCATTAAAAATAACTAGACATATTCAAATCAATTACGGCTGACTGTTTCAATGACTATTACTACTATTATCACCATTATTCATTCAAACGTTTGGCATGATTGTTTAATTCATATATCTAGGTTATACAGTTATCGAAAAAGTCACTCATTGATGAACCATGCATAACTAATTACCCACTGTTGTGGATGCGGAGGAATAGACCAATAATTATGATGTTAAGTCCAATGGTGCCCTTGGACTTTAAATGGACATTTCCTATTGGTCGATATCTGTTTACTCGTTGAATATTGTACAAAATGTTGTTTTCTATTTTTATGGTACGATGTGGTATGCTTGATTGGTATGTAAACAAAGTATGTTTGAAATATAATGATTCATAACCCAGAGGCTGTGACTTGCGTTCTAGACTCAACTGGCTGGGCTAGACAGGGAAGCGAGACCAATCAGGGCACTAGGTCGTCCTTATGTGTTTACGTGTCACTGTCCACTGTAATCGATCGATATAACGCTGCTTATTAAAACCTGCAGACACACCCGTTACAACATCCACCTCTTAACATCCAGGTATTATACACAGATACAACCAGCCACTGTCATCAAGATACATTTCCTAATTGAGAAGCTCCCAGATATAGTTAACTGTAACTTGATTTACACAAATTTACCTACGCTGTACAGATTAGTCGATATATATGGTGAGGTTTCATATCACACAGAATATTTAGACTACTTTAGAAAAGAAATAGTTCAAGCGATAAATCAATATAGAACCAATGAACTGGGTATTTTCTTGTAAAGTAACTAGTTCTATTTCTGTAATCAAAATGAAAAACAAAACTCTTGAAAATAATAATTTCACTCACTTTATGACTAGTATACATCTCTTTAGGTTCATTGTTGTTACGACAAAATACACACAAGTCTACATTTGCTTCTAATAATCTTTGAGTAGAAATAGCCATATTTTGTAGAAATTTTGCTAAATCTAATAAATGACTTTCATCCAATGTTTGATTTGATGTTAAACATGTATAAATGCTAAAAAGAAAGGTAATCGTCATGTTGTAAATTATTGAATATATTTTAAAACTAAATAAGACCGTTATGAAAAGACTATATTTGCTAACATTACTCTCCAATAATCTAAAAAGAATAGTTCCTAAGATGTTTTGCTTAAATATGAGATAATGTAGCAGTGTAAACCGACAGCTCCCCCAAGGATGGAAATCAGGACTTTTAAGCCTCATAACGAGTATAATAAGTATGGAATTCCTTTCATTCGGTAGAATTCAAATTGGGATCAGCCACTGTGATATAAAGATTCTGACACTGAGTTGTTTGGGTGGCCTAAAGATTAAAATTGATGTTACCCTCGGTATTTTAATCCACGACTAAAGGTACTAGGATGACATTTCTCCAACTTTCCCTATTTCTTAATGGCTAACTTGAATCAATCCGTGAATAACAACTGCACACATGTGCTAACAGAAACTTTTGGAACTAGTCACTTACTGAATATCACCCTATTTATCCACACTGAGATCATAAATTGTTCGAATTTTTAATAAGATTTCAAGATATATATATATATCTTGAAATCTTATTAAAAATTCATAACCTGTAAAGCCAAACAAGCTGGATGTCAAATAGAAACTACTTAATTAAATTGTGTGAGGATCGAGTTCTTCTACACACCAATGAAAGACTAGAGTAACAGCAATTATTGTATTCCAATCCGACAGCTCAATGGTATCCCAAGGGTAAAAAGATGTTTTTATGTTGATTGTTAAGTGTATATTGATAAGGCATTCGGAAATTAGGACGAATCAGCTACGCAGTGAATCTTGATTATAAAAGGTTTTCCAGCCTGAATAAATCATTCTCGTCATTCGACTCAAATTGCATTACTGAGTTCACTACATTTTTGATATTGATGACTCAAATTTTACATCAAGTTAAAACTCATTAAAACCGTTACAGAATTAAAACAGATAACATTTTATGTTCACCTTCATTCACAAAGCAGTCAATTTGTAGAATATGCAAACCTACGTTAAGAACAATTCTTCAGTCAGTCTACATGTAGTGGCTTTGCTTCTCTAATCTATCACCCTTGTAACCATTGTAATATAAATCTCAACAGTGTTTGAAATCAAATTGCAATGAGAAGCGGCAACTACAGTTTATTAGCGGATAGCGAAGATCACAAAACTACAATCAGATCAAGCGAATTTGAAGTAGGGAGGCGGATATGTGTGTGCGAGCAAATACAGAGGCAAACTTATACTCAAATCGCATAAGGGCACAGTAAGGCAAAACAAAATCTAATAATAGGATTTGAGTATATACATACATAAGGAAGAGAATGAATCATCGAGTGATGTTTAAGCAATCAACATCTTAGCTAGAGTCTGTCATGTGATCTCGAGATCGTAGTAGTGCAAAGAAATAGACGAATTGTAACTGCTCTATTAATACTGTCTGTTAAGTAAGTTAATAAAAGGGCTTAATGAAAATTAACTATGATCGAAATTGGTTGTAGGATAGTTGCTATATCCATTTGAAAAACATAGGTCTGTAAAAAGAAGTGAAGTCACTTCATAACAGAATTTTTACATTTTGGCTCACATGCCTAATAAAAATTCAGATCAAACTTCATAATTGTACTACTGACTCAACAGTGAGTAGTAAACGTTCACTCAATCAGTAAGGTAAACTTCCTAGCTAAATCAACTCTCTTCAGTTAACTGAACTGATCAGTTTGTAAATAAGAATATAAGAACAATATCAAGAAACCAACAACTCTATTGGTGGAGTTTTGTTCTCTGAGCTGGATGGTTTGGTCGTGGAGCTTTCATCGTTCTTCTGAACGACATCATCAGCACAAACTTCAGATAGAAGTGAAGTGTTCGAATTTCTCCATATGTGTTTCACAGCTTGTTCTGTGCACCTCGATGTTGATTGGTTCTTGTTGACCTTAAATTTATCATTGTTTACTTCTTTGTTTTGGTTGTGTCTCCCATTGGTTTGATTTTTGTTCCTATATTTATGCATGATTTTCCTGATTGGTTGATAAATTGGATTGATTTCAATATGTTTGTTGATTGCTGATTGACCTGAGTGCCAAGCTTCTAAAAATTCTCTGGTGTTTTTGGAGTTTCCTCTGTCTAAGATTTCTACATTTTCCCAATCGAATGAATGTCCGTAGTTATCCACGTGTATTGATATAAGTGAAGAGATATCATGGCGTTTGACTGCTAATTGATGTTCATGTAGGCGTAGGTGGAGGGGGCGTCCGCTTTGTCCGATGTAGTGTTTGTCGCAGTTGGTACAATTTATTTTGTAGATGATGTTTGATTTGTTTTCCTTTGTTATTTCATCTTTTGGTTTGCATAGGATTGATTGTAATGATTTTGTTGGTTTGTGTGCCACACCTATCCCGAAGGTTTTCAGCAGTCTCGTTGCGGTTTCTGATATTCCTTGTATGTACGGTAGGGTGATCCTTTTGTTGATTTTTGTGCTTGATTTGGGTTCTGATGCTGTGTGCCGTTGGTGCTTTTTGATGAAGTTGATTGGGTAGCCGTTCTTTTGAAATATGTCCTTCAGGTGTTTCTCTTCATTTTTTCGTGCTGCCAGTGTGCTGCAGTGTGTCCTCGCCCTCTTGAACAATGTGTGTACGCAGTTGATTTTGTGAGCTCTTGGGTTGTTGCTGTTGTAATTGAGGATTTGATCTGTATGGGTCGGTTTCCTATATACTTGAGTCTCCAGTTTTCCTGTATCGGTTCTAGTGATCAATATATCCAAGAATGCTAGTTGGTTGTTTGACTCCTGTTCCATTGTAAACTTGATGTCGTTGAAAACGTTGTTGATCAGTTTGTATGTGTTTTCCAGTTCATCCTTTTTGACGATGACAAAGGTGTCGTCTACGTAGCGAATCCAAACTTTTGGCTTGATCACTGGTAATATCGTGGCTTCTAGTCTTTGCATCACTGCTTCTGCGATCAGTCCTGATATTGGTGATCCCATTGGTGTCCCTTTTGTTTGTTCGTAGATTTTGTTGTTGAATTGAAAATATGTTGTTAGGCATAAATCGATGAGTTCCAGTAGACTTTTAATTTGAAGCGTCGTGTATTTGGTGAGATTTGTGTCGTTGTTGAGTAGCAGGGATATAGTTTCTTTTTGCTAGTTGTGGTTCAATTGAGGTGAACAGTGCTGTTACGTCGAAGGATATCATGAGTTCGTCGTTGTTGATTTGAATATCCTTAATTTGGTCCAGGAATTGTGTTGGGGATTTGATGGAGTGTTTGGCTGAATCTACTAGATGTCTCAGTATTCGTGAAATTTCTTTTGACAAATTGTATGTTGGCGTTCCGGGGAGTGCTACTATTGGACGTAGTGGAATGTTTGGTTTGTGTATTTTGGGTCTACCGTGGAATCGAGGGAGTACTGGTCCACTGGATTTCATTCTCCATTGGTCTTGTTTTGTTATTTCTCCTGCTTTGACTAGCTTGTTTAAAGTCTTTGAGATTTGATTGTCTAATTTTTTGACGGGATTTGTGTCCATCAGTTTGTATGTGCTCCTATCTTCGAGTAGTTCTTCGGCTTTGTTGATGTATTCTTCTTTGTCCATGATTACTGTGGTGCGTCCCTTGTCCGCTGGTATTATGATAATATCTTTTCTATTTCTGAGTTCTTTCAAGGCCTTTTGTTCTTGTGGAGTCAGTTGGTTGTTTTCTTTCACCTGTTGAGTTATCGGTACTAAAGTTTGTCTTATTTCCTGTTGTGTTTCTTCACTGATTCCGGAAGTCTTGAGTGATGACTCTAGTGGTGCTGCGAAGAACTGTAGCTTTGAGGCGTCGCTTGTATTGTAGTTTAATCCTTTTTGGAGCAGGCGTTCTTCCGTATTTGTTAGTGGTTGTTTTGACAGATTGATCACGCAGTTGTTTGTGTTTTCTTCCATGGGTGGTTTTGAGATCTTGATTAGTTTTTTCTTTAAGGTGTTTCTTCTTTGTTCTCTATGTCGTTTGCATGATATCTCGATGGCTGTTGTCACGATTTCCAAATGTTCTGATGTGAGCATCCTTTGTAGCTTTATCTTTTGGTCTTCTATGATGTGTTGGTATTTGCAGATCCTGTAGTGTGCATCCGTTATCATTAGGTGTACCATTTTTCTTCCACTTTGCTCGGCAATTCTCCATCCTAATGGGCAGTTGATTGGAGGTCTATATCTTACACTTGTTGGTAGAACATGCTGGCGAAGACACCCATGGAGAAAATATAGTTGTTCTCGAGTGGAAGCCTGCCTTTTGGCGAAATTCTCCCATTTTCGAACAACGAGAAGCGTATTACGCTCATATGATTTTGAGATGGTGGAGAAGATTTGTAGCTCAGGTGGATGATTTTGGTGGAGTTTTGTTCTCTGAGCTGGATGGTTTGGTCGTGGAGCTTTCATCGTTCTTCTGAACGACATCATCAGCACAAACTTCAGATAGAAGTGAAGTGTTCGAATTTCTCCATATGTGTTTCACAGCTTGTTCTGTGCACCTCGATGTTGATTGGTTCTTGTTGACCTTAAATTTATCATTGTTTACTTCTTTGTTTTGGTTGTGTCTCCCATTGGTTTGATTTTTGTTCCTATATTTATGCATGATTTTCCTGATTGGTTGATAAATTGGATTGATTTCAATATGTTTGTTGATTGCTGATTGACCTGAGTGCCAAGCTTCTAAAAATTCTCTGGTGTTTTTGGAGTTTCCTCTGTCTAAGATTTCTACATTTTCCCAATCGAATGAATGTCCGTAGTTATCCACGTGTATTGATATAAGTGAAGAGATATCATGGCGTTTGACTGCTAATTGATGTTCATGTAGGCGTAGGTGGAGGGGGCGTCCGCTTTGTCCGATGTAGTGTTTGTCGCAGTTGGTACAATTTATTTTGTAGATGATGTTTGATTTGTTTTCCTTTGTTATTTCATCTTTTGGTTTGCATAGGATTGATTGTAATGATTTTGTTGGTTTGTGTGCCACACCTATCCCGAAGGTTTTCAGCAGTCTCGTTGCGGTTTCTGATATTCCTTGTATGTACGGTAGGGTGATCCTTTTGTTGATTTTTGTGCTTGATTTGGGTTCTGATGCTGTGTGCCGTTGGTGCTTTTTGATGAAGTTGATTGGGTAGCCGTTCTTTTAGCTCCACGACCAAACCATCCAGCTCAGAGAACAAAACTCCACCAAAATCATCCACCTGAGCTACAAATCTTCTCCACCACCAACAACTCTATTGCCAACAGATTATAGATTACAACTGATTGAATGAAATTACTAAATTAGAATTAGTTTGAAACTTTAACAAATACAAGAAATTGATTAAGAGGTATTTCATTCCAAGTGACAAACCACTAAATACAGTTGCAGTGCATTGTTTTTGCTAACATTAGACTATTAATGTACTTCTTATATAAAATATGCGTATATACTGCACTTATCAAGATTAAACATCAGTGTACAAAGAATTTATTGTTGTTATCTTTGTAAACATTCACAATACAAAACATCAAAAAGTGGTTCGTTCACAACTAACTACATTATTCTTGACTGTAAACAACTAAACAACAATATAATGAATACAAATGAAAACATACAAAGAAGGTATGTCACAATATGATATGACATGATAAATAGATTTCACTTACTATTTTTAAAAGTGATATCAATAACATTGATGTAAATGAGTGTACTTTCAAAGTAATAAAAACAAGATAACGAGTTAATTACTACTAATACTACTACTACTGCCACTCACATATTTCTCCATCCAATCATACATCGAATATAATCTAAATACTGTTCTGTTTGTCTTCTACTACCATTACTATTATTATTAGTAGTATGACCATCACTAATTAGATCTCTAGCTAAAAATAAAAATAAATATGAAATATAGATGAATTTTGAGATGGTGGAGAAGATTTGTAGCTCAGGTGGATGATTTTGGTGGAGTTTTGTTCTCTGAGCTGGATGGTTTGCACAGAACAAGCTGTGAAACACATATGGAGAAATTCGAACACTTCACTTCTATCTGAAGTTTGTGCTGATGATGTCGTTCAGTAGAACGATGAAAGCTCCACGACTAAGTCATCCAGCTCAGAGAACAAAACTCTACCAAAATATAGATAAATTGTAATATATTTATTAATGTACATGTTCTTTTACTTCCAAGTGCAACTACTAAATAACTTGATGAGATGTGGAATCATGTTTTGATTGAACGTGTTTACAGTGAATTAGTAAATTAAATATATCAAGAATGGGAATTTGTGGAAGATTGTAGTAATTTTAATAAATGAATTCATGAGTCAAGCTAATTTAGATCACTAGTGAAAACCTGTGAAATTACTATAATCTCCACAAATCCAAAATCATGTGCTTACTGATGACTAGCACTAAGATGGATTACTTGGAGTTCTAGTGAAAAGCCGTAATCAGTCGAGTCCAATCCGTGTCGAGTGGAGACAATTATCAATATCAGACAATGAATGAAGGGTTAGGAAAGATCATGGATTGATTGAAGTTAGACATTAATATCGTTGGATGCCAGTTCAATAGTCTGGAGGTTAAGTGATTGTGCGTGAGACTAAAGGTCTCGGGTTTGAGCGCCTCGTGAGGGATTATGGATGCGCATTTGTGAGGACGGGACGGCCATCCAGTGCTCCCAGGTTTTCAATAGTGGTCTAACCTAAGATCGACCCATGAATGCAATTACTAAAATTACAATATGTCAAATTCTAGTTTCTAAATTACTCAAGAACATTTGAATGTATTTACAGTATATCCGGAGAGTAGGAAAAAGCTTGTATATATTTACAAATTATATTACACGTAGTATATTTGATATGTAACCACCACCTAGTGAACCAGAAAGTGATAGTGCTATATTACAGGATGCCCGAGTTACTAAGAACACCAAATCCTATGTAATAGTTATATCAAGATTGTAAAACTGCATACATAAAACCAGGTATTTAACCGGTAAGATAAAATTTGCTCAATATGGAATAAACAATTGAAAAGAAAAATGAGTCATTCAACCCAAGGTGGCACAGAACCTTGTACAAATCTCCGTTGTTGATTTAGACTCTCGAGTATTTACTCGTTTAACTGTGAAATATAAAACTGCAAAGGAAACTATCACGTCTCATGGTGCATAAGCTGAGATCAGTTACTAACAATTACTATAAAACGAGCATCAATTAAAAGTAAATGACTTCGTCTAAAAGAAAATTTTCTTTCAGTTCAAAAGTTCCTAGTCAACTTTCGACACATTACTTCAAAGGAGTCTTCCTTCAAAATATAAAAAAAGTTATTGTGAACATTCTGTAAGACGTCGATTGAGTTCCCAAGAAACTGGACCTCAAATGTATACAAGAAATCATACAGAGAGTCGACAAACTCCTGGAGATTGTAATGGCTCAAGGAAATGCTTAGATTATTAGTCGACGCATCCTTATTTAATACTGACAGTTGCTAGAAACCCGATAAACGAGGTCAGCAATTTTATGGCTGGGACAAAATACGTGTTGAGTCAAATTTGATCGTATTTATATACACTTATGGTAAATAATTATTTTCCTTTGTAAAAAGACCATGAAAGACAACAGAGGTGTAAAATCAAAAAGTCTAGAATTTGGACTAATACCATGTAGTCAAGCCCTTATATGTACCGGCACTACAAACGAAACACACAGAATGTAGTCTGTTTGACTACATTGTAACGTTAATTAATTACCAAAACATGGTCTTCAATTCTTGGACCTACGTTGTACATCCAGTAGCATAGACGTCAGCTGCGATGCACTTTTAATGATTTGTTTTTTTATTCTCATTTATACCCACTTCTTAATTGGGCCATCATGTATCATCGTTTCTACGCATACTTTGACAGTCGTAGTTATATCTACTTTTGGTTTTATCATGTAACGGGTTACTAACGCGACTCTAGTTATTCCTAAAGATTTAACTTGTCCACTGAAATCCTAATAGCAATGATATACACACCACATTCACACTAAATGACTCACATTCTCTCTATGAAAAAAATGAATTTTTGTTTACTGGACATATATTCACTTCAGAATTGTTTTGTTAATGATCATGTGTGGTAATTTCCACTGTTTTCTGAAACTTCGAACTACGGTCCCAAACACAAGATTGGAACTACTTTTATTCCCAACTCTTGAAATGTTTCCAAATATAACTTCATATCCAAGAATTAATTTGTTCTTAATCATTTGAACGGACGTTTGTTAGCATTTGGACGGTCTTACAAAAATTTATATTCAAGATTTCGATTATTTTCTATCTGTTGGTAATCACAATGACTGATCACTGGAGTGGTAATAATTTCATGTTTACCCACCCCCATGTGACTGTGTGTTAGCGTTTTTTTAGCGAGTTGGTTTTCTACGGGATGGGGACGCTGACCCCATGCCCAACCCTCCTCCTTTATCCGGGCTTGGGACCGGCAGTAGCCCCCGGAGGGACTCCAGGCGGAGTTGATGAACAGGGTGGATCTGATGCAGATGTGAAGGCGCGGACCAGAAAAGCAAGAGCAGCATATTTACAACTGAGGAACATCTGGAACTCAAAACAACTGTCAACCAACACCAAGGTCAGGATTTTCAATACAAATGTCAAGACAGTTCTACTATATGGGGCAGAAACCTGGAGAACTACGAAAGTTATCATCCAGGAGATACGAGTGTTTATTAACAGTTATCTACGTAAAATAATTCGGATCCGTTGGCCGGACACTATTAGCAACAATGTACTGTGGAAGAGAACAAACCAGATCCCAGTGGAGGAAGAAATTAGGAAGCAGCGCTGGAAGTGTATAGGACACACATTGAGGAAAGCACCCAACTGCGTCACAAGACAAGGCCCCACATGGAATCCTGAAGGTCAAAGGAGGAGATGAAGACCACAGAACACATTACGCCGTGAAATAGAGATAGACATGAGAGAAATGAACAAGAATTGGATGGAACTAGAAAAGAAGGCCGAGGACAGAGTGGGTTGGAGAATGCTGGTCAGCGGCCTATGCTCCATTGGGAGTAACAGGCGAAAGTAAGTAAGTAATGTGACTGTGTGACTGAGATTCTAAATAAACCTCAGTACCAAGTGACGAAGTACGTTGGGGGCCAGTTTCAAAACACCGCTTTATTTTTTCTGACTCCAATGATGAAGTCTAAGCTATGACTTCAAAAGTGACAAGCCAGTATGGTGTATTCACGTGGTGTGAAACTTACTACTATCAGTGTCTGCGGACTAAATAGATACAGAACCTTCCAATCATTGCATAAATACTTAATTCATAATTATTATGAGGGTTTCTCCAGAAACCAATGAATCCAACAACCAAAGAGAATAAAAATGACAGAAAACTAGGAAATAAGCTTCAGAAGCTATTCATTTGGCAGTTTGCAGACCGCTTTCTTAGTTATACTTGGCATATATTTCGAATGCAATCGCAAGATACAACAGCTAGGTAAAATCGACACCACTTCTCAAAGACATTCGTTACGTGGTAAGGAAAAAAGTAAGCTTAATAAGATTACTAAGAAACTACCATACAAACATAATTCCAACTGAGAAATGAAGGTAAATTATGTACTTACCAAACTAAGCCCAGTGTTTGGAAGCTATATTATTCGATGAGCAACCATATTCCTTAATGGAAGTGATAGAAACAACCGATTCGATTAAGGGCTAGAAATCACACTGCACATCAGAACATTATATCGAAAAGTAGCTACTGAGTAAAATCAACAACACTATACCAGTCATCGGACAAAAGGTATAAACTTGGTTGCACAAACACTACATGAAAACAAATCGAAATTTTCAAAGCAACTGACAAAGTTGGTACATTAATCTAACATGTTAGGTTTACCGTTCTGAAGTATGTTCATAATAATGAAATCTATGTTCGTCGTCAACAGAAAACTTATGATCCCCAAAATGACTTTACAACGAGACCTAAAATAGGAAGTGCTTAAAAGACAACAGTGCTGTCAGATAAATATTCGGTAATTATAAAATAAGTGAAAATTAGCCCTTGACCCTGGTTCACATTCCGTTCAGAATTAAGATCACCTAGAATAACCGTCTCAATTACTAGAAACTGTCGAAAATAATAGAATCCTACAAACAATCCGCTTGACTTTGGTGTAATTAAATGTTACAAATTACAAAAGTTATGAATGACCAGTTGTATTCTGCAATTATATCGACTTACTGTGTCGTATAGCTACTCCTGTAGTATTCCTTTCTAACCCCCCATCTAGGGGTTGTTTAAATAAAACTAATCAAACACATTTCGCCTAAATCTCATGAATAGATTAGTCACATTCAACCGTCCTGTATTAGGATCACAAGAGGAACTCATCTGTTCAACATTACAGACCAACGATAAAAGTTTGAGGACAGTAGTAACAACTAAGAAAGCTTGGATCACGAAAAGTAGTCATATCCCTCCTTTTACTAATTTTATTGAAGCTTCAATTGTTCTGTATTAAATTGACTAACCCGCTTATCAAACGACCTGATATTGGGATCATAATGATGGGTTCGAGGTACAGTAGGAACACTTATGCTTATTAAGATCCAGACAAGTCAGTAAGTTGCAAGGATAAATGTACATCCTAGACACTGCCGCTAGCCGATAGCAAACAACCACAGCATATGCCACAGTGTAACTTCCCTATAGGCCTCAGTTTTTAAATTCCAATGGCCAACAAAATACTGAAAACAGTCAACATAAGGTATGGAAAAACCTGGAATCATATATTATAACCACGATGACACTGACGACCTACCATTTGTTTGAACGATTTCGACATCATTAGTCTTAAGAGACATAATCCACGTGTCCAAGCTGTCAAATGCCATTGCCTGAATTCTGTTTGCAGAAGCTTAACTGGTGTAGGCCAGTAATTAATTGACCAATCAGGGTTCAGCATAACTGAACAGAGGGGTGTAATAAATCTGTTCAGTAAAAAAATCATTATCATTACTTGACAACGGTTGGATAAAAAAATCACGATGAGAATCAATCATAAGTTAGAATGTATTTGAGATCTATGGCAGATTCACGTTAGGATTCATTGACGGCATAGTAGTGTAGATGTGTCTAGCTTTTATACGAAGCAGAAGCTGCCATATTGATCCAATCAAAATCTCACCTTTTAAATTCCCTACGGCTGCCTAGACTAAACCATCATCAGCACAAATCTGCCCTTGTGCTAGAAATTGCATTCAACAGAATAGTAGTTTAATTCGTATCTTTAGATGGAGTCTATCTAGACTAATATTCTATAAAACTCCCTATAAAATCCAATCAAAATTAAAGTGGGACGAAAATTGTCCAATAGGAAGGTGAATTCATATAACGATAGTTTTAGTTGAGTAAGTTTGCAATCGCTTCTTTAATTTTCAAAGCAAGTGAGAAATATGGGGACAAGTAAGTATGGAAGATTAGAAGTATGGTATTTTACACAAGTGGTAGTAAAAAGGTTTTAACTAAGTGTAGTATTCTAACACGTTGACAAATAAAACAATATGAAGGTTTCTTTTACAGTTGATCCTGTAAACAACTGTCGATTATTTTGCAGTAAATGAATATTTGCCATACTAACCGAGCTACCAAACTCCATAAGTCTAAAATGGTGTGCATTGATCATCCGGTGCGACTAGAATTTATAAATAAACTTTGAGCGATACTAAAGTGGTCTTGGAAAACAGCCAGCTACCCGGGTTGAAAATCGGTTATAAATCAATGTGAGAAATTAGGATTATGGGCAAAATTTGGGAGTTTGGGGTTAAGAATTAGATTAAGAGTTTTATTGCGAACTAGAATCAGTCATAATGTCGAAATTCTATTTCACGCAAAAGTCCAGCAACCATGTTTTTAAATCGGATTGATTCATCCATAAATTATAGTCTTGCTGCTGACCACCCTCTTTATTAACTAGACATGGCCTCCTGTGATTTCCTTTTGTTCATGAAATATATAGTAGACATACAAGAGTGACAGATGATACGAAGATGATAAGACGTGAAACGACATGGGAGCTAAGAAAACATAACTTCTGAAGACTTCCAGGGGTGTTTTGGCTAGTGAGAACGTAAATGCAATAAATACATCCTTGACCACCGATTTCTACTTAAATGTTAGATGAAGATACTTATTCACATCGAGACAATACATTCTGAACGAAGAATATGTGTTACGCTCCTATGACTGTGTGTGCTTTCTAAACTCATAATTCTAAATATTAATAATCTCCAGGACTTATTATCGACTATAATAATAACAATAACCTGTAAACACATTTACTTGTGACGTAATACTGTTGAGACCCAGTATAAAGAAAGTATTCATTCTCAGAGCTACTCCTATTCGTTACTATTGTTTATAAGTTTATCTGCAAAACAATGTGATAATTGGGAGAGTAATAGTTCTCTTTCAGTATATTTTTTACACTAATTAATATCAAAATCCAAAAAGTATTAATATTCCCAATTAATATTATGTTAGCCTAGAATTGTGGAGATTAATGAGTCTTACAAAAATCATGAACCAACCAAAGTTAGGTAATCATTGAAAACCTGGAAGCACTGAACGATCGTTCCGTACTAGTATGGGACTCCTCGTCGTTGCATATCCATGACCCTACAACTGGAGGTCGAACCATGAACCCTTGGCCTCGCGAGTAGATGCTTAACCTCTAGACCACTGAGCTGACATAAGATGGTGTACAAGTTTAACTACCAATCCACGATATTACGCGATCATCTTGTTTTACCATCGGTGGATATCCTCCTCACACCCGAAACAGTTGAACTTCACTGATCACGGCTTCTCACTAAAACGCTGAAATATCCCTCTCTTATCTAGCCACTAGTGAGCACATGATAATTTTCAGTATAGAGTTGTGGAGGCCAATGGCCTCAGGTTTGATTCCTGGTTGTGGGGTCGTAGATGCGTACTGTTGAGGAGTCCTTTACTAGGACAGAACGGTCATCCAGTGCTTGCAGGTTTTCCATGATTGTTTAATTTAGATGGGTTCCTGATTTGTCGACAACTTTTGTTTCGGTGTAGTGATTTGAAATTCGAAAGTTAAAACGAATTTTTCCGGAAATGAAACCTAAAAATGATATTAGAAGCTTTTACCTTGAAATTACAATATTTTCTTAATCTAAAATCCATCTAATACTTAGAAACATAACTTTTATAGTAATACTGTGTTTGTTTACCACCATTCAATTATGCACCAAATATGACATAATCTATAGTGTTAATACAAAGAGATGTATTTCCTACTGTTAACAATAAAACAACTATTTGGTTTTATGATTATGAAAATAATATAGAATATGACAATAATAATAATATATTCTGGAAATAATAATTGCAGTATTCATGATAGTTTACAGGCATGACCAGCCTAATATAGATGGTAATATTAAATGGAGGGGACAGATATGTGCTATTAGATTGTTTTAAGTGTTCTGGTTTAGGTACTACATTTTCTACACATACTACAGCAATGAAAAGCATCAGCCGAGAATTATTAATTCCTCTTAAGTGAACATCCTATCGATGTATGAACTATGCATTTAAGGTCATTTCCTGTGCCATAACGAATCAGTTATAACCTTTTACAACTAGAGGAAATATAACAGAAACAAAGAGCACAGAATGAAAAAGTCAATAATTACTAAGATAGGTTAACCGGGTCTACCATAATACATTTTATGATATACTGTTCGTGTTAGATATTATTCAAATTAATTAAGGTTGCCCAAAACAGTGTAAGTGTAAAATAACAGAAGGTAGGGATATTTGCTTAGTTTATTCAGTAATAAAAACGATTAAACATATGAAGTTCCTGTAATCTTACTTGTGGAATAAGATACACTTACTGGTGTGAGAACATTTAATGCATTTTCAGAGAAGCAGTAGGCATCGATCAAGTGAACAAAAGATGGGAGTGATTTTATCTCACAGATAGATTGTGATAAATTATTCTAGAATCTGGGAAATTTACTGATAAAATAATTAATATAAAGAGATTTATAATGCGCTTGTTTCATTAATGAAAAAGAGTTACGGATGCCGTAACTAGAAGTTTCTGCATATTGTGTTCGTTTGTTAATTCCAGAGTGTTCAATCATAAATCTATGTATGTTTGTTCTAAACAATAGTCATATACACTATGTCAAATAAACCTTCAATACATATCTACTTTAGGGAAATGTGAAACTAGTTTTCATCAAAATTATCGGAAACAAAAGGATCCAAACAAGTACTTCGAACTAGTTTGAAACTCCTCTGAAGTTATCATTCCAAATAACACATATGATCGAGTTTGGTATCTTCAGTTCTTAATAAGAACACCCAAATGCTTACTCATGGGTTTAATCCTGCATGAATTCATGAATGAGTACTAGTGAGAAGTTCTGAATCAGCCTAAAACAGTTATTTGAAGCCCTATATTTTCAATCGTTCACCGGACGATTATACTCCTTAGTGAATACTCTTCAGTCCGTCTAATAATCCACCAAAGCCTATCATTTAGTTCAAACACTAAGAATCCAATAAATAGAACAAATAGACCTTATACATGAGTATTTTCATTATCCTCCACCACAAAATAGTAAATATTCAAAAAAGTAGGCAAAGGAAACTCTAATCTTCTTAGAATCAGGTTCATATTACCTTAGTTTTTAATCCCCTGTTTACTGATCAACCTTTTTAGTAATATATGTCAATACTAACTCATAAAACTAATCCACATATTCATATGCATTATAAATTATAAATTTTCAGAAAGAGGATATATGTATAAATATATACGAGTTGACTAGTATCCATATTCATTAACTTCCAGTTAAAACTCCAGTCAAGAGTAAGTCAAACATTATTATTTTACGTAATGATCTGTAGATTACTTATTTATTTATTTTACTTACACCTGTTGCTCCCAATGGAGCATAGGTTGTCGACCAGCATTCTCCAACCCACTCTGTCCTGAGCATTCTTTCCTAGTTCTATCCAATTATTGTTCATTCTTTTCATGTCTGTCTCCATTATTCGGTGTAATGTGTTCTTTGGTCTTCCTCTCCTCCTTTGGCCTTGAAGATTCCAAGTGAGATACAATATCGTAAATATACTAATTCGACAGTACTGTATTTACGGAGCACTATTACCAATGATACGTAATCCTTATCTGACTAGTAAACAAATATTAACTTATAAGCAAAGATGGATAGTGACTAGCAATGGAATCCAGGACGCGCGTTACGCCCTATTTGGGACTCGTCAGCTGGATTCGCCTACATCTCAGAAATGATGTTCACTCTGAGACTCGGACCCTATACCGTTCACCTCAAACCTCATCACTTTAGCCACTTAGCTACTGAGTCCTGAGTGATACATCCGACTGTCAATTCATAGATAGAACAAAATGCGCTTCAAACTGGATTCCACTGCCAACAACTATCCATCTTTTCTTATAATGCTTGTGAATTAAGGCAATGCACATATGCTTACAAGAGACTGATCAATTACACCCCTTAATAACAATGGGAAGATACAAACAAATAATACCAAGTGGATCTAAATATTAGCCTAATTCACGAATAGCTATAGTAACACTACTTTCAGTTTAGTTTGTAAAAGTTCCATATGACAGTTCGCTGTATAGTGGGCTGCTATGATTCATTTTAGTCTCAATATAAACCATACAATTAAGATAATAAATTATTAAAAATTCAAGAATCATCTAGTAATCACTTTTCCCTTATTTAATAAAAAAAAAGATGTGAATTACCACTTATTTATTGAAGATGCCACAAGTATTTGTAGTTTGACAACACTTTAACCA